AATTATATGAACAAAATAATATCAGACCTTAAACTGAGTAACACAAGAACCTATACGGCGCACATGCATAGCTAAAAATATACCACTAGCTATTTATACATAAACCTAATAATGAGTGTGGTCAACTTATACAATCAGTATTATTTATTCTACGATCTTGTTGCTGCCACCCAAACCATACGTGATAGTTTCCCATCATATGGCTTTCCCTAAGAATATGGTATTTACTACCTTCATTAAACTAATATATATAATCACCAATCTAATATGAAACACATTTATCATTGGTCCTATAATACTGAACCTGGTTAAACCAGAGTAAGTATTATTCGAAAATATGCCTCCCATAAGGAGGGGGTATATATTGTTTATGATCTAATCAATATCTAATAAGATTAGATTAGATTAAAGATCTTTTGACATATATTATCGTTATGTCAAGGTAATTATCTCCACCATGTATTGGTGGAATAAATTAATTCTTGGTATCATCATGAATTATACGTAAATCACTGGCATTTAATTTACCAGCTTGTAGTAGTCGATGATGATATGAACAAAGAGGAATTTGTATTATATGTTGAATTACAAGTACATGCTTTACTAAATGTAGACTGAGTAAGTTTATTAGACCAGGTAAAACCTTATAATGTAAAAGGATCAATAGAATGATTTTGAGTATGATCATGATTAAACTCATGTTGACTTTAAGAGTATTGGGTAAATTGAGACCAATACCAGCTTCAGGACAGGTTAATTTTTTACCAAATCTTTTATACATTTTAGGTGATGATGCTTTATATTTAGAGGCCAAAGCATAAGCACAAGAACTTTGTAGATATCAAATATTTCTTCCTAGTCTGCTAAAATTAGATGCAAATAATAATAATTTAACAATCCATTAATCTTTTGATTAAAGAATTTAATAATATCAAAATGATCCAGATTAAAAAGTTTTGTAAAGGCTAAAGGAGAGCATTGACCAACTTTAAATCTTCTTATAAATTCTTTTTCGACTAATTTATTTATTAGTCTATTTATAGGTGCGTTTACCATCAATCTGTGCTTAATTCTCATTTTATCATTATTCCTTTTAGCAAAGTAAACATGACGTCTGATTTTAACAATTTCAGCACCTGAGAAATGTCATTTCTTAGCTTTTATATTGGTTATCGCAATTTTTTCGTCATTTAGCATAGCACCACAATTTGGGATTAAAAATTCTTTTATGTAATGTTTTATTAATTGTGCATCATTTAAATTTCCATGAACTCGAACTATAAAGTCAGCCTCTGGACGGCGCAGGCCCGGTGCGCGACCCAGCCCTCTGCGGGTGGCTTCGATTCGGGCACTTTGGGGCAGAGGCCGCCTGCTACATCCGCGTGCACGCACACTGGGTCTTCCGAAGAAAATATGCCAGAATTGGGAGAAAAGATTCCAGGCCCATCGTATACTCAACCAGCACCCATGGGGTGTGTGGAGTCCATGCATCCAAATATTCATCGTTGGCAATTGCTTTATTCCTTCTCCCAGTCCATATGCATAGAGACTATGGGCTATATCCTGGGAGCGGCGCGGGCTGGAAGCACGAAGCTCAGAACAATACAGCACACGCTCCAATGCGCAGAAATTCCCTTGCACGAGAATATTAGAAAGACGTGACATCCCGTGACTGTTCGCCCGCCTCGAACTGGTGAAAACTATTTTTCAAAACATCAACCGATACCGTGGCCAATCCACTTATTCATGTCAACATCGCCTAGAATACTTAGAATACTGAAAAGTAGTAGGATCAGATAAAGAGCCGTGCCGCGAAAGAGCTATCCGTCAATTTTTTCAAACGTGATGCCACAAATGATTTTCCAACAGAAATATTCATGTCCTGTTGTATGACTCATATCAGGTTATGGCGTTATTCACCGATATCTTGCTTCTGGGATTCTATATTTAAAATGATACACTTTTAGATCCCATTGCATCGGTACATATACATGATATGGTAGCTCCTTATTACCCAAGACTGTTGATAATAGTCGCACCCTAAGCGTACTAATGTTATTTGATATAATACACTACAAATATAATTCACCTCGAGCAATTGGGAAGCATGATGCTCGATTGGCTATAAAGCTGGATAATAATTCTGATATAGCCGTTACCCATAGTTATTGCCATAGGATTCAACTGCTGTTGATGGAAAAAATACACTAAGCCCAACAGACAAACTTATAACGAAGCCATGGGAAGGGTTTGATAAATCTAGAGGTCATTAACAATTATATTTAGAAACAGATAAAAACCCATATCTAGCCAATCTGAAACATGAAAATGTAAAGGAAAAGCAGTTGGACTGGAACTTCTAAGAACCTTGTAAAAGATTATGGATCCTTTCAATATGACAAGACTTGTTATGCTTGAGTAGAATATATTCTGGTTGTTGGACGCTGATGGTTTCTAATATCAATCACTGTGTATAAAGAAAACATTCGCTATACCTGCTATTAAATAATTATGAAAACAAAAACTAAATCATTTAGTGCAAATTTGATAAACTTTTGAGAATTAAATTTACCCTATTGACTCACCCTAAAGGGTAAAAAGTAGATATATAATGTAAACGACAGAAATAAAGCCTGATCTGGCATACCCCGTCATTACCTAAAATATAGATGATTAAATCAATCAATCCGTAATAACTATTCAGTATCCCCGGTGCTAAAGCCCGGCTACCCCAGGAATTCAGTAGCTCAAGTCAAATTAGAACCTTGATACCAATATCTAGAAGATTGGTTATGGGCAGAAGTCTTTTTGGAAGTCACATCCTCCTTGGGAGCTTTCGTGGATTGGTGCTCGCTCTCACCTGAACCGATGTTGCGATGTAATATAGGTTTTTTTTTTCTCCATAGTTTTTCGTTAGCGGTGGGGATTTACATCCCTCTAGCGACCCCTTATAATATGATGTTGACCAACGGAGCTTTGAAAACTGTTCTTGCCACACTCAACTCCGAAGAGCTACTGGGAAATTTCAATAAAAATTCATTAAACTTAGATTCATTTCGCATCTCTTTGGCTCCCAGCATTGCTCCACTTTTACATGATAGTGAAGAGTTGCACCGTATGGAGTCACTACAATGACTACTAAGATACAACCTTGTCGGAATTTCCTCCATTTTGTCTGATGACAGGCATCTTTCGAAGTATCGCTTGGATAGAATTCTCTTGTTCCCGGAGTCTGATTTATTAGATTTGTTTCCATCAGATTCGACAAACTTGAGAGAACAGGGCAATTCATAGGCGCATTCATCCTTGGCAAGTGGAGATGCATGAGGCATTCACACGAGATTTAAGCACTTTCAAACATTTTGAAGTCTTTGCTCGCAAACGCATTTTGTGTATTCGACAGTAAGTGGTATTTCCCCCCTGTTCTTTAGTTTGTTTATCTGCCTCGTAGATGCAATACTCGAATTGAACTCAACTGTAGAGCTCAAATCGGAGATATTGAGAATTTGAGAATCAAGAAGATCTTTCCGCTCTTTGGGATAAAGTTACGGTGCTCTGAATTCTTTTCAAGGCTAGCTGGGAACTGCGTTCAACTTTCTCAAAAAAGACTCCTCCAACTGCATTCCACCATTTCTATTGTACAAGTCTCGACAATCCAAGCTTGAGTTTGTTTCACTGATAAGAAAAGATACTGGCCAAGAGGGCCATCCAGGCCATGACTAAAGGAAGGGGGCAGGCCGAATTTTGAAACTAGTTATGGATCTAGGAGCTGTTGAAAGTTCACATATAATATCACTCCGCAACGAAATACTAACATCCACAGAAGAAAGATCTACGCCCTCAAGGCTCGAACTTACAAAACATATGGTACTAATAGAGCTGTGCATCTCGTTGAAAAATAAAATGTTGTGTTGTTCTGTTGCTTTCCTTAATGAGTCCAACAGAAGAAACAGGAAAAGACAGATACTGATGCTAGGGATAACTGCCAACTTCAATGCCATCAGATGGGATCTGCGTCTTTATTTCGTGGGGTACTTGAACTTTGAGAGATTGGCTTGAGCACCCATGAACTCAAAGGAAAGACTTCCCATTGGAAATATCACTCGAGAATCTATAGAATCATGGCTGGTTTGTCAAAACAGTGAAGAACGTTGATACTTACAGACCCAGAGGCGGCATTCACTTCAACAGCCTCTCCATCGAGGTAGTTTTTTTGGTTGTGAGTTATCGGTTAGAAAAACCCTATTATTCAAGGTAGATATAGTACCCCTCCCCGGCATATTGTAATTGTATATACCTTATATTTATATACATTTTAATCGTATGGAAGTGCAGGCGAGGCCCGGCTCATATCATTAAAGACATCCAATAATATGGTATTGCTAGTTCTGATCTAAATCATATCGTGCTTGACATAGTTCTATACTACTGATAGTAATCCAAGGTCTCCTGATTCTTTTCTGAGTGCTTCTTTTGATAATACCGAAATTATTCATGGTAAAAAAACAGCTACTAGAGTTAAAGTTAATTAAATTTTTTAGAGCGAATTTTCAGGAAAGTCGTTTTATAGCTGAACTTATCATGCTCGCCCGGTATATCAGCGTGTTTGCTACAACAGCATGTTTTGCCTACTATATCAGCATGTTTTGCCTACTACTCTTCATGGTTTGGCTACTATATCGTCATGTTTTGCCAGCTATAATAGGGTGTTTTGCCTAATATATCAGCATGTTTTGCCTGCTACATCAGCGTGTTTTGCCTGTTACATCACAGTGTGCCATCCTCTACATCACCGTATTCCGCCCGCCACGGCAACGCAGCGTGCGCCGCTAGGTCGCCGCCCACAAGTCCTTCAAACCCATGAGCGACGTCACCGCCCCCGCAAGCCCCACGTCGCCCTCGCTGAAGTGCAAGTAGTTCAACGTGTTGAGACACACAAACATGTCCAACGCGTCCCACACCAACTTGCGCTTGGCCGCGTACACCTTGCCCTGGAGCGCGCACGTGTCGCCCGCCTCCTCCACGGCCGCCATCTTGGCCCGGTTGATCTGGTATGTTCTGAGCGAGTGCACCACGCCCGCCACCAACCCCGCGAGCCAGCACCGCGCCGCCCACACAGGCACCCACGTGTACTTGCGCTTATCCACAAGCCCCAACATCTTGAAAAACGTGACCTGGTCCAATGCCAAGTAGCCCGCGTAGCCCAAGTTGCGCGCGACCGTGGTCAGCAGCAACACCAGGTCCATGAGCTTGTTGTCGTACGCCTTGCTGGCCGCCTGCAAGTGGTTCAAGGGCTTCAAGAACCGCATGCCTTTTCGGATGAGCGTGGCATGCTGCTTCAAGTCCGCGAACTTGCGCACGAGCTCGGCCGAGTACCCGCGTCTTTGCAAGTAGTAGCCCAAAAAGCGCGAGAGATACGCCACCAACCGAAACGACTTCTCGCGCTTGGGAGTGCTGTCTATGAACTTGAGGAGCTTCGTCAAAGTGGGGTGGTAGATGATGCAATCGGCCACCATGCTGGACAAAAGGTGAGAGGTGCTGCTGGAGATGGGGAATTCCGGCCGGTGGGTTGCAATTCGGCAGATGTGGAATATGAGCGTCAGGAAGAAAAAAAGAGAGCCGCGTGTGTCTTTATTTGTTTGTGCGGTGCTGAGCCCTCGGTGGCCACCGTTATCGCGATCATGGGGTACAGTGCGCCTGCTTGTAGTGGCCTTCCCGTGGACCGAGGATGCGGCGGGGCGGACGCCCGGAGCTGGCCCAATGCGGCAAGTCCAGCCCGGGGCTGCCTGTCCATTTGGGCTGCCAAAAGAGGAAAACAGACCCAGCCCAAAAGCCACTTTCGGCCCGTGGGGCGTAACCTCATTATTGCTTGGGTCCATGTACCATGGGCTAGTGTCATGGCGCGCTTTAGGGCTGCTCGAGGACCACCCATCAGACCACAGTCTCGAGGCGCCAGTGTTGGCTCGACTCTCGCCGATGCGGAGGGTTCAGCCATAAAAATAAATGATCCAAAAAAAAAAAAAAAAAACTAAAGAAAACAGACCAAAGAAAACAAACCAAGAAAAAAACCAAAACAAAATTGGTTCGCACGCCGGAGTTCGACCGCTCCGCCTCTTCTCAATGCTTTTCGCGGCGTCTCGTGAAATTGAGATGGGTCCATATATACGTGGGTCCGGCAGCCCATCTAAAAGAAGCCATTCCATGTGTAACATGCAAAAAAAAAAAAGAAAAAGAGTAAATCAAAAATCCAGTAGGCTTTGAAAGAGTCCTGAAGTTTTTTTTTCCCAGGGCCGAGGCCAGCACTTCAAGCCGTTCAGCCCTGCTGTTTTTCTCCACATGTCGGAGCGAGCCGTCGGCTCGCGTCTCAAACCTCGCATCTTCGCGTTCGCAGCTCTACATGCGCTCCGCGGATCATAAACACCAGATTGCACCAAATGGCGATGGAGCAGCACGAGCCCGAAAATGCCGGGAAGCCCCCGCCAGCAAACTCAGAAAACCTAGCTAGTCACATGACCTCGCCGCCCGCCCCTTTTGTGCTGTCGTCCTGGCCCCGCAAATCGATACTCAAGCACAAAGAGTCCGAAAATGCCACCGTTCCTATATCGTTTGGATCCAGGACCTCCCAACCTCAGCCGGAAAGACCGGTCGATCGACGCGTCTCGTTTGCAGAGAGAGTACAGCTACATAAAATCGACACAGGCCACAACGGCGAAACCCGCCGGGATCACAACTCAGATGACCACGCGAATGAAGATGAGAGCTCCGATATTGACACCAGTTTTCTGGCTCTAGAGGCCGACGCCGATAAAGTGCTTTCTTTGCTACAGCAAAACAATCTATCGGCTGATCAAGACTTGGGGCACTCGGATAATACCGATGTCGTCCCGGATCTCCATGGTTTGTCCAACAGTCCAACTTCCTACTTGAACGATGCAAATATATCCGACGAGGACTCTGAAAATTCCATGGAACTTACAGGCCCTATTCTGTCAAAACCCTCTCCGGCGGGCGTTTCCGAAAATGCAGTGTTGGACTCCGGGAGTCACCCACAAGATGGCCTTTCCGAAGCAGGCCCTTCTCACAAGCCTCTGTGCGTGGGTCCCGGGAATTTGCTTCACAGGGACAAGAACATGAGCACTCATTTTGATGGTTTGTCGCACGCAGACTTTCCCGCAAACAATGCTGGGCTTGAAACCATCACTTCTCAGTTGCCCGAAGATGCACCTCATGCGTTTGGTCTGCAATCTGACTTCTCGTACAGTGCCCGGAGCCTTGAGTTCAGCCACGCAAGTGCAATCTCCCCTGGGAATAACTTGATGCTATCGCACCACGAGAGCCATGCCCCATCGCTCACTTCCTCGGAAGACTTTCTTGATGGCGAGGAGGACATGGAGTTTACTCTGCAAGTCGAACACTTGAAGTATGAGGAGTTGACGATGGAATTGACGCTTCCCCAGACATCTAGCGTCGCCAGTCTTGTCACACAATCCGCGGGGCTCGAAAACTCGCTCAGGGTATTTGAAACCACAATGAACATGATTGACCCAAACATGTTTTCTCGCAGCTCTGACCACAACAATGCCGACGAAGTCACTATGGAACTCACCACGCCGGTGCAGGCGTTAGCAAAGGACTCACCGGTGAACGATGCGGAAGAGTTGACCATGGAACTCACCAAGCCCATTGACAGAGAATCGGTTGCTCCTTCAGAAATCAACACGGGGCCTTCCCCAGATCTCGATCAATCCGTGCCTTCAGACGACGAGTCGGCCATGGAACTAACTCAGCCGGTAAGCGCTCCGACCGAAACTGCAGATGCGAAGGCCCAAACAAATGACGCGGAGCTTTCTAAATTCGAGACCCAGATAAGCGTGTCTCCCATATATGTAAAAAGCCAGGAATCTGTCGGCGAGACCTCTGTATCCGAACCGGCAAATGATGACGACAAAAATATTGGGGCGGAGGATCTTAGCACCATCAATGAAGAAGACTCGGATCTTGACTTACTGGAAGAAAACAGCGCTGAAATGGCTCCTGCTACCGAAACGGTGCAAACACCAACGAACATCGAGACTCCAGGAGAGGATGTGATGAGCATTCCTAATGATTCCCAGACTGGCCACAACAAAGCCAACTTTGATTCTCGAAGCTCGAGCTTGTCTGCACTGAGTGATGTCAACAATTATGATGAAGACTCCCCCCAGGAATATATGGCAGGGAAGCATTCTCTCGGCCCGGCCATGAACCCGAGCCCTACAAAAAAGCTCAAAGCAAGTAAAACCTCTGATGACGCGCTGGACCCAGGGTCTATCGAATACAAGGAACTTCTCCAGAACAATTGGGACGTTCCAGAAATCTCCCTCACAGACTTTCTTGAGAACATCGGAGTCAAGTTTTATGATGATCTCGAGTTGGCGACTGACTTCTCGGCAATGTATCATGCTTCTTCATTAGGCACAGGTTCACAGCCCAGGGATGCCTATTATAAAGCAGTCATTCAGCTCCCGATCTTCGAAATGTACGAGTTGACCTGCAAAGAGCTAACGGCTCAAATACAAGAAGGAAAGAGAAATTTCGACAAACTCAAAGAGGAATGCCAACAGAGTAACCCTTTCTTATTCAAGCATTACCTCTCTTCGGAACCTCATGAACAACTGGCAATGAGGACCAATTATCATGTGGTAAAAGAATATTCAAGACAAAAAGCAAAAGGACTGTGGTATGAGTGGAGAAAGAAAATTATTCAAAATGTACTCCATGTGTATCAAAACAGCTATGAGGCTCTTCAAGAAGAAAGGATAGCACTTGAGTCCCAAATTGGCTCCATGGATCACCAAATAGCTTCGATTCATAATCAGCTTCGGGCCTTGACTTTTGATCTAAGAAGATTCAAAGAAATCCAAGCCGACTCAAAGGGGTTGGACAGACAGCATGTCTACGAAATGAAAGCTCGTATGGTTGAACTCAACAAAAGTCTCTTGAATCATAAGACTTTGATTTCTGAAAAGGAGGATTCTGTACAGGCTCTTCAGAAGGAAATAGACGACAGATCAATCGGCATGAAGCAGCTCAGGTCACTGCTTTCTGGAGCAGAGGAGGAGTTGAACAAAATGAAGCATTACAACAGCAAGGAGATCAAAGATTTACAAGTATCAACCCAAATTTTGCAAGCTTGTGCCGGACTCAAGTTTGTGGGTCACCAGAAACATTTGTACGAATTTGAGATCGATCCAAGAATCCGGATCATGGTGGACGCAACAACTCTCGCCGATCAACCGAAACTTCTGTGTCAAGTGTCAGAAACAGGAAATTCCTCCCTTTTCAACGAAAATATGATTGCTGCGTTCCGTGATGTTCTAGATAGGCAAGAGATTGCTAATGCTACAAACGCCACTGAGACATTCAGGAAAATAAGAGAGCTCTGGCTCAAAATCAAGCTTGTTGACCAAGAAATATACAGGGTCAATCTATTGTACCCTGTATGTTTTCTACATGATGATAGTCATCTGATCGACTTCAGATTTGACTATCTCTCTTTCGACGCGAAAACCAAGATTGAATTCACAGTCTCAATCCCAAAGCATAACTTGTTGCTCTACCCCGAGGGTAATACGGTAAGGGCGCGGTTGCTTAGAGGTGATGGCGACACCGACACGTACATCAAAAATGCTCTCCTGGAGGTAGGAGACAAGCTTGTTATTTTCACGCAAACGGAAATATAAGAATGTATAAGGTCCTATCTTTATTCTTGCAGTCTTCCGCGCGATAGTTCGGGGCGGAGCTCTTCTGCATCCGGTGATTCCGTGGCGCACGTGCCGCGCAGAAGCTCCGAAAAAGCAGTGAACGGGGTGTCACTTGTGTCATTTCAATTCAGCCCCATAATCGCAAAGCATGCAAGCAACGGGCCGGGCCAGAACTTCAAATGAAATCAACGAAAACGAGCTGCCTTTTGAAGATGGCGTGAATGATCTTGTGGATAGAAGCGGCACTGATACCGATTCAGATTTAGATGACGATGTGCCTGAACAGAAAGAGAAGAGTAAACGCCCCCCTGATAACAATTTCTCCCAGCAGAGGTTAAAAGCAGTAAACCCGGTGTTCACTGCAAGAACGGTGATTCCAATTCTCCTTCTTTTGGGAGTTTTCTTAGTGCCGCTTGGCGCTGCCATGTGGTTGGCTTCCAGCCGAATTGAAGATATACTCATAGAATACACACAGTGTGAAAACGAGGCTTCCAGAGACCATTGGTCGTCCATACCAGAAGAGTACTTACTGTATCATTTGAAGGACAATGCTAATATTGGCGATGCCCAGTGGATGTTGGCTACAGACGAGACCCAAGCGGATGAGGATGAGATGAACGTGTGCAAGATCCAGTTCGAGATTCCTCACAGAATCAAGGGCCCACTCTACCTCTTCTACCGATTGAAGAACTTCCATCAAAATCACAGACGGTATGTGAAGTCTTTTTCCGAGGATCAACTCAACGGCAAAGCTGCATCGGTCAGTGTAATCAAAGACACCGTCGGACTCAATTGTGAGCCTCTCTCGCTCGATGAAGACGGGAATAGGATCTATCCATGTGGCTTGATTGCTAATTCACTTTTCAATGATACGTACTCGTCAACGCTTGAGGCGGTCAACGGGACGTCTACAAGCTACAATATGAGCAACGATGGAATCGCATGGTCAACCAATAAGAACAGATTCAAGAAAACAGAATACAACTACGAGGACATTGTACCTCCACCTAACTGGATCAAGAAGTTCCCGGATGGCTACAACTCCACAAACGTCCCGGATATCCTGACATGGGCCGAGTTCCAGAACTGGATGTTCACCTCTGCTTTTGCTGATTTCCACAAATTGGCCCTTAAAAATGATAACGATGCCATTGATGAGGGCACGTATGAGATCTCCATCGGATTGCATTTCCCCGTCTTGCCCTACGATGGCAAAAAGTACATTTTCTTGTCGCAAAGATCTGTCCTTGGAGGCAAAAATTACTTCCTAGGGTATGTGTGGATTGCTAGTGGAGGCGTGTGTATTATTCTAGGTCTTGTTTTGTTGATAGTGAACATGCTCATGCCTAGAAGAGCGGGTGACGTCAACTTGTTGAGTTGGAACAGAGAGGCCATCACCAAAGATGAAAAGTGATTTCTGGGGGTTCCCTAGATTGTTTTGCTACAGATGAATTTTATGAACTAGTTTTTTATCAATGCATTCCAAGTCTCTCCGTATCTGTACTTGGGATGATGTGCTTCCAGTTTGCAAAGAGCACTTGACATGTGAGTGTTTTCAATATATTCTGTTTCATAGTTGATCGTGAGATGATGTTTTTGGTGTCTTTTGATTCGTATTCTCAGTGATGTACTCCGATATACTCAGTAGGCCTGGCGTCGAGGTTATCTCTGAACGGATGTCTATCATTATTTCAAACTCGCTCCGTCAAGATAACTCCTTTTTAGAATAAATTGGTCATTCCAAACCCCGCTCACGTATTCAATAAAAAAGTCGACCACAGTTCATTCATCCCAAAAATCTCTCATTGTCTTTTGCTGCCAACCATGATAGAATAAAGTGCACATAATGATGTCATTTCATTCTTTCGGTATGCAGACATCAACATATTCAGTCGTCTCTCGCAAAGGTAATATTTCTATAAACAATAAATAATTTGCAGCTTGATTTTATCTTATACAGACCACAATGACCATCGGGTTTTGCCCTTTGCGGCGTCAGCGTAAACAGGAAAAAAAATAAGCCAAATGAATTTGACAGACAGAAGTTCAACAAAGAAAGTTGGGTGAGCAAGACAAATTAGTGAGTAAGACCCGATTCGAGTTCAATACATAGAATGAGGCATGAGAAGTTTGAAAATCAATTGCGACAAAATGTCCAAGAATCTAAAAATATTCTTGATAGTCCTTGTCAAATACCGGTATTGGCTTTTGTCACATGACACCTAATCCACGTAAGAGCTGTCGGAAAAACCTGGGGTTGCTTCGTGAACTTTTTCCCGCACTCTAGTGTGGGGAACCTCGGATATAAACACTGGTCAGAAATCCTCAAAGCTTATATATGTAGCGGGTCTACGCCATTCGGCGTGATCCACAAACCATTTTCTTTGCAAGCATCATTTCCTAGTTTTTACATATTAGTATGGTCGTGCCGAAAGAAGCCAGATGTTTCGTCTTGAACGAGCCCCCAGTGGCAGAGGTGAACTTGGACCCGGAAAGTGCCAACGCCACTTTCAAGCTCGTCAAGAAGCCCTTGCGGGATCTCAACTCTGGAGAGATTTTGGTGAAAACTTTATACCTCTCAAACGACCCAACGCAGCGAGCCTGGATCCAAAAAGGGTTGAAGCCGGAAAGCATGTACGTAGAGCCTGTCACGCAGGGTGAAATCATGAGGCTGGTGGGGCTTGGCCAGGTGGTTGCTCTGAAAAACGGAAAGTACAAAGAAGGAGACATTTTGAACACCACGTTGAAATGGTCGGACTACTCAATCATCTCTGAGAGCGCCATCTTCAGTAAAATCAGCGACACCTCGGTGCCGTTGCCCATGTACCTTGATGTGTTGGGCACCACGGGGTTGACTGCGTATTTTGGGCTTTTGCAAGTAGCCAAGCTCAAGAGCTCGGACGTGGTGGTGATCTCCGCGGCCCTGGGCGCCACGGGCTCGATGTGTGTACAAATCGCCAAGAAGGTGATTGGGTGCAAAAAAGTGATTGGCATCTCCGGCGGCCGCGAAAAGTGCCATTTCGTGGAGCTTTTGGGCGCCGACCACTGTGTGGACTACCACAGCAAGTCTTTCCAGAAAGACTTGTCCCGGGCAATTGGCAAGGACAAATTCTGCGACGTGTTTTTCGACGGGGTTGGTGGCAAAATCTTGGACGCCGCGCTCGGCATGATGAGGCCTTTTGGCCGCGTCGTGGCCTGTGGGGCGATAGCAGGCTACAACGATTTCGGCCAGTCGCGGGTCTTGAACTGGCCGCAGATTGTCGTCAAGAGGCTCAACGTCAAGGGGTTCATTGTATTGGATTTCATCGACCAGTATGCGGAGGGCATCAGGAAACTCCACCTGTGGATCGAACTGGGTCTAATTCGATACGACAAGTCCACGTACTCGGTGGTAGACTTGACTGGGACGGACGCGGACTTTGCCAAGATCCCTGCTTCGTGGGGAGAGCTCTTCAAACCCACCAAAGGCCCGGGGAAGCTTCTCACGCAAGTCTCGCGGCCCAAACTTTGAGAAAGAGGAAGAGCCGTCCACCGGTGCTTAATTACGAATTAGAGTCTATGTACTGGTCAGCGTGCGGGTGGTGTAGTAGGCCAATGACATGCTTGCCCGTCCAACTATGCCCCAACTAGAGTCCCTGGCTCTGCGCCACGGACTTCCTTTTTTCCCAGATTCTGCACGCTTTCTTCGTATCTCTGTCAGATGGAGCCTTTGGTTTCTATGCTTTGTGCGCACACGCACTCCACGCAACCTCCAGCTCTGCACCATCTCTCTAATTGCAAACCCCATCTGCTCAACAGCACACGCTGCGTAGTCGCTTTTCCACGGTTTCGGTGGATTTTCCAAACACTCACCACGTCGGGAGCCGCTGGCACCTCACTTAGCCTGTACAGTGTGCGGCCATTCAAATGTCGGGGTCTCTGGCCTCGGGCTCCGGTCTTAGCAAGGCAGCCCTACTATCGAAATATCAGGAAGACAACAATGACGCCATCACACCCGAGGCGCTCGGGCTCGAGAAGTCCGAGGAAGTCGAGTTGTCGTACTCCAAATTCAGCCATCTCCTGGCACTCTCGGTGTTCAACTCCGACTCAAACGGCGAGTCAAATCGCCCTGCCTCTAGCCTGCGGTCTGCCGGGCTGCCGTTTCTCCGCAAGATCCAGTTGCTGATGTCCAACGTCGAAATTGAGAACTTCCCCCATAAGGCCATGGAATCCATCTGCGAGGACCTGGCGCCCGACGCGTCTCCGTTTGCAAATGTGCGTACCAAAGACAACATTACAAATAGCTCGGGGCCACCGGCCAAAGCCGACAGCCATGGGAAACGCGAGCCTCTCGTCCAGCCTGCGCATCATAAACGCAAGGTCTCGGTCAAGATGTCGCTCACGCCGGCACAGCGCGTGGAAAAGCGCCCGGGCCTACGGACCAAGAACGCGCTCGATGACTTTGAGTTCTACGAGAAAATCGGCCGTGGCGCCTACGCCGACGTGTACCGCGGGCTCAACACGAAAACAAAGAAGGTCGTGGCCATCAAGCAGATCACATTGGACAAGGACTACAATCCCAACGCGCTCATGGGCGAGATCGACCTCCTCAAAATACTCAAGCACCCCAACATTGTGAAGTACCATGGCTTCGTCAAGACGCTGGACTCGCTCAACGTGTTTCTAGAGTTCTGCGCGGGCGGCTCGTTGCGCCAGATCTACAAGAAACAGGGCCACGGCTTCCTGGAATCCCAAATCATCTCCTACGTGAATCCGATCTTGAAGGGCTTGCAGTATCTCCACGAGCAGGGTGTGGTTCACCGAGACGTCAAGGCAGCAAATGTCCTTCTCACAGGATCGGGAGAGGTCAAATTGGCCGACTTTGGCGTGGCCACAAAAGTGTCCACACTGCACAACACCGTTGTGGGCACGCCCAACTGGATGGCTCCTGAAACCGTCTTGGGTGGAGACGGAATTTGCACCGCGTCTGATATCTGGTCTCTTGGAGCAACCATCATCGAGTTGTTCACCATGAATCCGCCATACCACGAACTAAACCCCATGGCCACGCTACATGCAATAGGTACTGACGAGCATCCAGTGTTGCCCACTGGTCTTTCGCCCTTAGCCAAAGACTTTCTCCTCGAGTGTTTCCAAAAACAGTCCAATCTACGCATCAACGCCAAATTGCTTCTCAAGCACCGCTGGGTGAATCCGGATCAGCACAACACGTTCAAGTCCTCCCCAAGCCCCGCAAACATGAACACTTTGCTGCGGCAAACTTTTCTATCTACTTCCCACCAGGGACCTGAGCCGGTTGCCGGCCTGCATGGGCCACTCCACAATTTCACCATCACTCCTCCGGGCCTCAAATCGGATGAGTTCACGCCCGCCACACAGGTGCTGAATCTTGTGAAGGAAACATCCGATGTGCCTGGGCAGGCGTACTCGCGTGCAGAATTGCTTGCAAAGTTTACTGAGAAAGAAGAAGGCGCAGATGAGAACTTGTTTCTGGCGACAGGCGACTTTGCCGACACCTTGGTGTTCAAAGAAGTGCTTCAGAAACAGCCCTCTTTGAATCTGAGCGATGAAGTCGAGGAAAACGATCCCTTTTTTGCATTGGATATCAATAATTTCGACACTAGCGAGCTTGAAATCCAGGGAAAGATGGAGTTTCTTCTATCCAAGTTGGTATCTCGCGTCTCCAGCTGTCATGTGGCTACTGATGATGCGATCAATGTTCTTGAAAAAATTACAGGTAGAATGTACTACTTGGTGAGAAAATATCCAACTTCGCATGATGTTCTAATTCGTGATCACGGTATCTTGACATTAATGGAATTGCTAGAAAACGCCCTGGATCTTGCCGATCGTCACAAACTATGGAATTATGTGCTTGGCATCCTCAATAACTTGTTCCAGGTGAACATCGCTCAAATTGAAAATTTCTCGCTCTTGGGTGGCATTCCTATGATCACGCGCTTTTCAAAATTGTCTTTTGGCTTACAGATTCGCTCGCAAGTTGTCAAGTTTGTGAAAACTCTTCGCAAGTCCGAAAAGGCGTTGCTCATGTTTGTTTCTTCTGGGGGTTTGCGTATTCTATCGCGGTTCTTAGAAGAAGACTTTGAGACAAGTCCAGACTTCTCGCTCGTGGCGGTTCATTGCATCCATGAAATTCTAGCCAAAGACCTCACCAGATTTAAATCGGATATGTGTCGCATACTTTCCAAGTACGGTATCGTGTTTTGGTTTGTCGTCTTACTAAACCGTCTCACAAAGTGTTACAACCAAAAGAAAAGCCTCATGTCCACTGAACATCTTGAAGCCACAATTGACAAAATCCTCGAGGTCATCAAATATTTTGGACAATCCGAAGCAAGAGTCAGGATCAATGTTTCCAGCCCGGACTTGTTCAAGCTTTTGATCAAAGTGTATCCTTCGCTTTCGTTCCATCGTCAAATGGAACTACTTAAATTTTTCAGATCCATCAGCTGTATCTCTGAGCTTTTGCGGCCATTGAATTCGGCGGATATCTTGGAGTTCTATGTCACGCTTCTCAGGCAGTACACTCCAACGCATCCGCAATATAAAGAAGTGATGAACATATTGTGTCCATCTCTTTACAACTGCTGTAACTTGAATCATAGCAGCGAAAGAGAATTAGCAAAGTTGGGAGCAATACCACTTCTCAGAGACTTATCAAGAATCAATCTACCATTTCGGCAATTTGTTCTCCCAATTCTATGTGAACTCGTTTACTGTGATTCGTCAGTACGCGCGCTTCTCTTGAAACACGATATTCCCACCATTTACTTCAATTTGCTCGTGGATCCATATTGGCATTATAATGTAATGGACTCTATTTTACACTGGAGCTCGCAGAACGAGGGATTCAACTGGCTTGAATCTGCTACTGCGAAAAACTGCTTGGTGAGCGGCTTTATGATGAACAAAGTCTCCAATCTTGAAGCAGTGCTAGAAAACTACCTAAAGCTCATGACGAAAAATGATCAGGTCGTTCGATTGTTGGCAAGAGACTCGATCATCGAAAATATCTTGGGGAAGTTGAACATATACAGCAAGGCCCCCGCAGCAAAATTCTCGTTGCTTAGAATTTTACACCAAATCCTTTTCTTTGCATCAGATCATGCTATGGTGAAGAAATTTAAAGTATTGGGCTCCGTTCAAAAGACCATGTCGTCGATCATCGCATTTGACACCTCAGTCTTGGCGAAAGACCTTGCAAGCCGTATCGTCCTGGAGATTGGCACGGACTGCAGGTAATCGCGCCCGGCCGAGGCAAATCTGATAGTGTGGAGAACCCAAGCACTCTAGGTGGAAGAATATACTCCACGTCTTTTCATGCACAAGCGCACTAAATATGCCTGTTCCCAGAATTTCATACCCATCTCATCGTGTATCGCAACTTGATGCTAGTATCCTAGATGACGAACTTTTCTCGCTTTTGAAGCAGCAGTTGTCTGATTCCTTCCTGTTGATCTCGAGTCAGCCATGGTCGTACAATCTGCATCCAGAGCTTTGGTCTCTTATTCTCAAACTAGTCATATTTAAACTCACAACGCTCAAAACTGGCTCATCATATGGCTTCAAGCTTCAGAATCTAAAGTTGTCACAGAAAGATTCAGGCAGGGTTATAGGCAACCACATGCGGTATATTTTGTTGGCCACAATTCTTGGTGAGTACATAGTCAAAAAAGTACAATCATACATATTCTCTCTTGAGAAACTCAGCTATCGTCCCCAGACATTGATTGAAAGGGTCAAAAATGCGCTTTATCCATACAAAACGAATATCATAAAGGCTTCGGGGGATACGATTCAAGTTTTGGAGTTGCTCAATTTCGTTTCATTTTTGGTGTTTGGGCGCTATCCAAACTTGATCTATAGAGCTTTAGGGATAACTGTTACTCCCATAGTAGCTGACTTGCTCAAGTTCAATGGGTCAAATGTGAATTTCGAATTTCAGAACCGTCAATTGATTTGGAATGTCATGACCGAGTTCTTGGTTTTCATACTACCCTTGTTGCAGTTCAGAAAGCTGATGAGAATGTTACGTTCCTTTTTACCAAAGAAAGGAAACGGTCACCGTTTTCATGGGTATTCAGAATCACCAATCACAACAAATTTTACCTCGCTACCTATTTCACAGTGTGCAATGTGCATTGAAACCACTGAAGCAAGAGGAATCAAAGCTGCAAGTACAGTCATCACCAATCCTTGTGTCACCAACTGCAATCACATTTTTTGCTACATTTGTCTAGCAACAAGACTTAACGCTATTGAAAACGGGAATGAACGCGCAGAAGGATGTCCTAGGTGTCGTCTCAGAATCACATCTTTCAAACAGTACGGTGTAGAGCTGGGAAATGTTGATAAAAGCGCAATTATGGTGGAGTACGATGAGGCTGGAAGTGAAGGAAGTGAGGCCGAAGAAGATTATCAAGATGCTGTTCAGCTGAATACATCTGCAGATTATCTGGATGCGCATACCGAGCAGTCGAGCGAATCTGAACAACCATTTGAATCACACTCACCAGATTATAGCGAACACGAGGATTTGGAGGAAGAGGGCGAATACTCGGATGACTTTGACAGCGGGGCTAAAGACGACTGGGAAGACGGGGTAGTGATGTAGAATGACTTTTTATGTGTTGAAACCCATATCAACTCGCTCAAACAGGCAAGCAAAGTTAACAGCCTTACAAGTCATTTGACAATTTTGTTTTGACAAGAGAAACCAAGCTTTCACTATACTTCTCTAGTAAAGCTTCAAATCCCTTTGGTCCATCCAAGAGAATGAGAAGCTCTTCTAGTTCACTTTTGATCGCTTCTTTATCTTCTTCATCAAGCACATCTTTCTTAACGAAAGATTTTATCATTGTGAGATAAGCAGTGGATCTTTCCCTGGCATCGCTAGCAGATGAAGTCGGTGGAAGAAGCAAAGGAGCAGTACTCTTTTGGGGTGATACAGAAGATTGTGTCTTGGCTGCGACGTGTAGTGACCTTGATAACGGAGACTGTCGACTCGGCGTTTGTCCTCTGTTGAAAGGCGTTTGGGATACGCTCGGTTGTTTTTTTGGAGGAGATACAGACTTGGATCGGAATGGGGATTTTCCAACGGGGCTACCGTGTGAATGGGACGGTTTAGAAGGAGACGCAGAAAGGGTTTGCGCGTTCTTCCTAGCCTCGATTCTTTTCAAAGTGGCGTTTGTCAAGCGTGGAGTGGGCGATTCAGGCTCAGTCAAACCCACATCCTCCCCCGTTAGCGAAGGTGCTCGTCTTGGAGAAACAGCTATTTTGGACATTTGAATAGTTGGCAAAAACTTTCGGGTCACTTTAGCAAACAATGGAGAGGCATCTGGATCAGGTGTTGGTATAGTGTTTTCATTTGTGTCACAGATAGCTTGCTTATCGCTGTCAAGCACACTGAGAAAACTCCACTCAAATAGGCAGCCATCAGATCCCAAGGATAGTAGGTTGTTGCTGTCTTCGAAAAGACCAATCACCAGCTCCAAATGGCCCCATACACAATTCAAGTGCTTCCCTGATATAAGATTACACACCCTGAGGGATCTATCACTGCAAAACACAGCAATCTGGTTGTTCTGTAGCAACAAAAACCTATCCACGCATAAAGGTTCGGTCGACTTTTCACCATAGAGCTTTACTGTTCTCTTAAACTCAAGAGTATGCTTGTTGTACACAGATAAGCTCCTATCGCTAGAAGAGATGACGAATTCAGATGCGGAGACGTCCATAGCCAAAGGCGTGGTTTTAGAAGGGATTGTCTTCTTGTGTATTATCTCAACTTTGAGAGTAGCGGTACCAGACCCTGTGCTTCTAGCAATCTCGTGAACGGATATACTGCGGTCCGCCGAACAAACAAAGAGATGCGAGTCAATGAATTTGACCGACAACAAGTTGGCCGTATGGATTGGAAGAGTGGCCAATATATCCCATTTTTGGTCAGTTTCGCAGTATATTTGAATCATCCTGTCCCGAGATATACTGCAAAGAAGTGAAACATCTTCTACTTCGAAGTAGATAATGTCATTAATGCTGGAAGAATGCGCTTTAATAACGCGTTCGGTCCTGGGCTCACCCTCAGGAAATCTAAGTACAGTGAGCAGGCCGAACTTGTCTCCTAGGAATAGCGCTGTGGTGTTTCTTTCGACTGCAGTCATTTCATTAGCAAGGCCTTCCGCCTGTGGGAGTCGATGTGCAACTACTTCCAGGATGTTGCGGGAGCTGTCTAATGAAGACACAACTCCATGTTTAGAAAACATCAAAATTTCACCAGTACTAGCCCGTTTACCCCCAACCACGAAGGAGACTGGAGGAGAAACTAGTTTTTTGGGTATTGCAATTTCCTTGTGGTGTAAAACAATCTCACCTTCCCCTGTGAGGTATGCGATAAGGCGATCCCCATAGTTTTGTGCTTTGAGAATGGTGTTTTTGGCATGAATATTAAGCCTCAGTATTCCAGGAGCTAGTTTCGATGGCGAAAGCGCCGATTTATATTGCGCGGCACTTCCAGGGAGCAATTCTAGGTCAGACACATTCACAGAATGGAGGGAGAAGTCTTGGTCAAACACCCATAGTTTGTCTTCCGTATGGTCTACAACGATGCCTGAGATTTTCAGATGATCTAATGCGATTTCCTGGATGGAGACGTTGTGCATTAGATTCAAAAGATAGTAAGCGGTCGACTCCCTGATGATGATTTGCGACTCGTTGAGCGGAACTGCGCCCTGAAAGTTGCTCTCCAAAAACTTGCCCAAGATGAGGTTCCGGCCTTTGAGAACAGCTACCTTGGAAGGCAGTGACGTTTCTTGCAGCTCAAGCAGCCAGACTTTCAAGAAGCGGAGCCCCAAGGTGATGATTTCCCCGAACTCTGAGCCGGTGTCGTGCCAGACCAAAGCGTTGACTATGGATGAGCATTTGTTGCCCGCTCGCCGCACCACTGCTGTGGGAGAGTACTTCCACACGTGAATGAAGCCATCGCTCATGGTGCCCAAGGAGCAGAAGTACTTCAGATTCGGCGAAAACTCGATGTGATTGATGCCAAAGGTGTGTTCGTAAATTACAGCAAAAGGCTGCGCGCTGGAGTCGGGCGCAAGCGAGAAAAGAAGGAGCCGAGGCTGGTACCCGGTTTCACCCACTGCTAAGACACGTCCGTTGGGTGAAATTGCCAAGCACGTGGGCGCCCTTACTTTATCCTTGAGTTTCGAATTTCCCGTTGAGGGAGTTCCCGGCTCCTTGGTATCTAGCACGGCTATGGCCGACAGTTCTGCCTCGGCACAGGTGCCTCTATAGCAATGTGTGAAATTAAGAGGAAAGCCAAACAGGTCCTTGCGGAGCTCATCCTCACACGCGGCAGTTTCGTGCAGACCGCCCAAGCCGTACCCGTAATTCCCCGGGTGCGTTTCGTTTGTGGAGTTGGCCACAAATAGCCGCTGGTTGCATATCGTATTATCTTCCCCGACTGTGGCTACAATGACTCCGCTGCCAGCCACATAGGCAATATGCTCCCCAAGCACAGCAAACTGTGCAGGCATGCGTGCCGTGGTGCCCTGCACACCTGAGAATCTGAGTATCTGCCTGGAGCAGTTTTGTTCTGCCGTCAGCATTTTTGGAATTCCTGCCCGTGTTGCTATATTCTATAATGAAGAGTGTGGGCTCTTGCTCACTGTGGTCATAAGCAGACGCGCCGGCGACGCGTTCTCTGCAGGACGGCCCCGGATTTCGCGCGAAGACCATCGCCAGCATCGCAAGACCTCTAGTGAGGCTGAATAGTCTTGGATATTTTGAGCGAAGGTCAGCGCGTATACCAGGTGCACAGCGGAGATCAAATAGAAACCATACTTTCGTGACGTAAGGCTCAATACTGTTCACCCACTAGATTGGAACTCTGGCACAGCACAAGCTGCAGGAATGGCCGGGCCGATTGAGCTCTCGATCGAAGAGACGAATAAGCTCCGTGCTCAATTGGGACTTCCCCTTATTCCCACGTCTGCCCTCAGTACGGACGAAAATTCAAGTAATAAGGCTGCTTCAAGGAAGGAAAGCGAATCTGGCTGTGATTTGAGGCCTCCACGGCATGATTTGGATGTCGCAGGACCAGGCGACTTGCACCCTCTGGAGAGCAAACATTCCTATGGATCTGGCGACCCCGCCCCATCGTCAAAGGAGACCGATCAGCTTAACCGGGATACTTTACACAGGCCAAAACAGCCACGCATTTTATTCCAGTACGACGAAGTGGATACGGACTCTTGGCTTGATTCTTTGGGTGGGTCACGTGGCCCTGTCCAGCAGGCGCAGGCAGTCCAGACCACAGCTCGGGAACTTGAAGTGGAAGCAGGCCACACCACTGTCAAACACACCACAAAGCAATTGGCTCTGCTAGCTGATGGTGAGGTCTTCACGCTTGCCGATGCGGGAGTTCTAGAAGATACGGGCGATGAGCTTATGAACGAGAATTTGACAAGAGACGCAAAACTTGCCCATAGTCAAAATTCCAAGCATTCAGAGGCTCGCATAAAGCTTGGGAAGTCCAATGTTTTGGACGAGAGCGCGGATGAAAAGTCGGATGACCATGAGCAAGAGTTGGCAGTACTAGAAGGAACTACAATTCTGCTTGCTCCAAGAAAGGTTGATGAAGCAGCGAACAACTCGGAACCGGCTGGCAACGTTGTTCGTTTTGACAACTTTCTTGATAGCTTTGAGCCATCGAAGCCAAGCGTACCAATGAAGAAACTCAAAAAGAAACTGAAGGGCATATCAAAAAAGCGGCAGAGAAACGAAGATTCGATCGACGTGGACGAGCCCATGTACACCGCTCGCTTGGATCTCGAGGACGAGCTAGACGATACCTTCGAGGATGTGCTTCGTAGAACACGGGTCAAGCGAAACAAGGCGAGAAAGCTCTTGACTGCAGAGGAAATCGCCAATGAGGTGAAACTGCACCAAAGAGTGGACATGGTGGCGGAAGCAGACTCTGGTTTAGTTTATGACGACACCAAGGACTTTCTTGATGCCTTAGGCGCCCGCTTGAACGAAGCTCAATCTGCAGTATCGAATCTGGTCGAAGGCAGCACCAAGGAAGCTACGGAAATTGAGCCAAACAGGAAGCTTGACGCAGACCCCGCTGTTTCTGCCAATCACGAAACTAAACCTCTCGAGGCAACCAAAACCTCGAATATTAATCTGGAGCTAGCTCCGGGTAGTGAACTTGCTGCTCAGGAGCTGGAGGCATCACAATCTCTGCGCAGTACGGAACCGAATCTCAGCAGTATCCTGTCTACGCTCAAATACTTGCGTTCCAGACCAGATGCTTTGAGTCCTGAAGTCACTAAAACATCGAAGGCCTATAGGGAACACCAGAGAGAGGCTGAGTTGGCAAAAATACAGATCAATATCGAAGAGCGTCTTCTTCGGGAGCAAATGAACAAAGATCCAATTTTCCTCAAAATGAAAACAGATGAGCAGGAGAAGGTCATTGAAAGAAAACTTAACGATCAGCTAGTTCAAAAAGGCATTGTATCAGAAGTTAAAAAAGGTGGTAAATACGCCCGCTACAGCAATTCGGCCGATCCTCTCGAAGACTACAGCCCACAAGTCAGCGTGGAATATAAAGATGCCCGGGGAAACAAATTGGACAGTAAGCAAGCTTGGAAAGAACTACTGCATAAATACCACGGGCTGGCTCCAAAACATAAAAAAGATACTCCAAGCCGTAAGTCAACTGAGGAAAAGGTAATTCACTAGAGTCTCGATCTATTGTTTTTGTTTCGTGCTGCAGTGAGCTGCTTTATTTTTGTGTTCTGAGAACATGTTAGCGATTGGTATAATTTATTAATGTGTTCGGTTTGACCCATGAGGGATTACTAGTGCCTCTACTTTGGTGCAGATTAACTCAATGTTTTTACAATCTTCCTTGGCCCACGTTTAAAAAGCACAGGATTTCAGCTCCTGTAGCTCTGGTCGCTCCATAATCATAAATATTTTATACGTTTACTCAACTTTTTATCAGGTGACAGAAACAAAATGGGACTCAAGTATTGTCAGAGATAACTATATTGGCGCGGAGAAAAAGAGGTCACTTTGACTTAACAAAATTCTTGCAATTTGATGAACATTGCATCAATCGAAAGTCAATGTATTTTTGTTTTGTCTGTACCCATGATTTATGGAGTCACTCTTTAAACACTAGCTTTCAATTTTCCACATCTGGTAGGCAACCCATGTCTTCGATCAAACGTGCTAAAAATTCTCGAAGGATAGAACAGGTTTCAAAATTATCAACCGAAACAAATCTAAAGGAAGGATAATCTGGGAAGTTCCGCCTAATATTGTGTCATTGACAATCCTTATTGTCTGAACAATAGAGGACTGCCTACTCACCGCATACTAGAATGAGCTGCATACGATAAGCGCACGACTCATGAAAAGTAAAACTGCCAGTACAGTCATAATAAATTCTTTATCTTAAAATTCTCGAGCAAAGGGAGAGACCTTCTGCTTACATTATTAGTGGGATATTGGCTCATTACCATGACTGCGGCTCACCAATCTTTTTCATCCGTCACACGTCTTCGAGACCCGTACCTCTTGTACACGACTATCGCCGCATATTCCAATGCGCCACCGCCCAACTTTAAGCGACTGTTCGTGTCCATGGGTTCGGCCAAAAATTCGGCCAAGAATTTTCTGCCCCGGACCAAACGTATTTTTAGATTCTTTTTTCCCCAAATATCATTTGAAAAGAATCATCGCAACTAGCAACATGACTCAAACCTCATCTATGTAGATCTCCGGGACGGTGGCGGATGGTAGCAGGCACTCTTGCATGTGAGGACTTTTTCCGGCATTCAGCCAGATCAAAAATACCTCACCTCCGGCCCGGCCGGTGCTGCACGCTCTATTGGTCTCCGCTCTCGTTCTCCTGCACGTATGCGTAATCAATTCCATCTCTCATGCAAAATCTGCGAGCACGGCGGGTCATTCATCCCATTCTTTTCCCGATTTCCTTGTCCGTTCAGAAAAAGATTTGCATTCCCAATATTTGTCATTTAGTCATGCGTGAAGCCTTCATTTCTATCCGCGGCATGTCTTGTGCTGCGTGTGCGGGCTCCATCACCGATGCGCTAGAGGCATGTCCCACGGTTCAAAAAGCTGGGGTTTCCCTCCTTACTAATGAAGCCAAAGTCAAGTTTTCGGAGCCGATGAACGCGGAGGATCTTGTCAGTATCATCGAAGATTGCGGCTTCGAAGCACTGCTTGTGGCTGTCTCGCCATCTCAGGAAAAACTGCTGGCTTCTGCTTCCACCATACTAGATATTACCGGAATGACTTGCGGGGCATGTTCATCGAGCATCACAGAAGCTCTTGAGAACATGGCTGGCGTAGAGCAGGCAAGCGTTTCTCTTATCACGAATCTGGCAAAAATCCTACATGATGCGAGTCTTCCCGTCGAGAGCATGATCTCGACAATCGAAGACTGTGGTTTCGACGCGACTTTGGCCTCGTCTAGTCAGGTGCATTCTTCTAATTCGGGTCTCGAAGAAACGAAACTAGAGGTTTTGGGCATGACTTGCGGTGCATGCTCAGCGTCCATAACAGAGGCACTTCAAAAGCTTCCAGGTGTGGTCGATGCCAGTGTGTCCCAAATCACTAGTGCCGCGCACGTAACTCACAAGTCTGGCTTGAAGCCCGAGGCTATCAAGGAGACAATCGAAGATTGTGGATTCGACGCACGTGTCCTCCTGTCACAGCCGCTTGCGGGACTGCCCCCCACTGAGGACCAAAAGGATGATTTTGTCTTGCAGATTCATGGTATCGACAAGGACACAGACATCTCAGCTTTACAGTATAACGCGGAGGCTGTTCTCAGCAGCTTGGCTGGCGTTGAGCTGTTCCAGTTTGTCTTCAAAGGCGAAGTTACCCCTGAGGATTTCCACAACGATGTGACTGATTTGGGCCAAGAAAACCTCACAGACGAGCTTAGGATATCTCTTTATTCAAATGGCACAGGAATCCGTCATCTCTTGGATTCTTTGAACACCTTAGACAGTCGGATTCTGTTCATCATATCTAATTCCGTGGATCAGTCTTTGAGTTCGCAGCTAAAAATCTTATCAAAAACGAAGGACATCGAATACTGGCGCTCTAATTTCTGCTACTCTTTGGCTGCTGGCGCCCCCATCGTTGCTCTCAGCGTCACTGAGAATACGGGATTTTGGAAAAAACTCACTTTCTTCCATGGGCTTTATCTAGTGTCCTTGATTGAGCTTGCCATTGCCACGTACATTCTTTTTCATCTCGGGGCAGTTTTCTTCAAAAATTTCAAAGTGTTCATCCGTCACAAGGGCAAACATGCTAACATGGACGTGCTTGTCTGTATCTCGACCCTTGTATCATATTTATTTTCGGTTTTATCCATGTTTCTCAGTGTGTGGTCAGGGCAGATGGAAAAGCCACCCAAAGTCTTGTTCGAGACAGTTGCCATGCTTGTTTGCTTTGTCTCGTTTGGAAAATGGATCGAAAACCGAGCAAAGGGTTCCACTTCTTCGGCACTATCCAAATTAATGTCCTTGACTCCAACAACATGCACAATCATTGATGACGAGGCACAGCTTGAACATATCACAAAAATGAGTCAAGATGACAAGACTTACGTCGCAGCCGAAGTTTCAGCCCGAACCATTCCCATTGACCTCATTCAGAAAAATGACATTGCCGTTGTTTATGCTGGCGGGAAAATTCCAGCTGATGGTAAGATTGTTTATGGAAGTACAGACGTGGATGAGTCTATCATTACCGGAGAGTCTTTACCTGTTCAGAAGAAAGTTGGAGATACAGTTATTGGAGGCTCCATCAATGGGCCATTTCTTATTTACATTCAGGTCACAGGCGCAGGAAAAAACTCTCAGCTTCACCAGATCATTAACATTGTGAAGGAATCACAAGTCAACAAGGCCCCTGTGCAGAGATTTGCCGACTTTGTTGCAGCGAGATTTGTTGCTTTCGTGCTATGCCTTTCATTTACCACCTTGCTCTTCTGGATGTTGTACCTGAAATTTTATCCAGAATATCTTCCAAGCGTTTTCATCAAAGACGAGAATGGAAAATACTTTGTGTGCTTGAACCTCGCCATCTCTGTGATAGTTGTGGCATGTCCTTGTGCCTTGGGTTTGGCAGCTCCGACTGCTGTGATGGTTGGTACGGGTGTCGGTGCCTCATTTGGTGCTTTGATCAAAGGAGGTGATGTATTAGAAAAATCTAGTGGCGTAAATGTCATATTGTTTGATAAGACAGGCACGCTCACGCAAGGTGATCTCCAGATAACAAAATCCAAGCAAATATTGGGAACAACTGGTCTTTCAGAAACTCAGTGGTGGACTTTGGTTGGTTCTGTCGAAACTCATTCTGAACATCCCACGGGAAAAGCGATTAGTGCCCAAGCCAAAGAAATATTGAGCCTGTCACTTGAAAAAGACTCCTTACTGGCTACGATCGAAGACTTTCAAGTCTACACTGGAATGGGTGTTAAGGCCAGAGTAACACTTTCCGGAAAATCCTTTGATATAGCTGTCGGAAACAAGAGAATGGTGGTGAAAGATTACCCCTCCGCTCGTGAAGACTTGTCACGAATTCTTCTGACTGACTTGAAAGATTCGATATCAAGTATTTCGCACGTTATCATTGATGGGTCATATAGTGGGTACTTTGAGCTTTCTGATACAATCAAGCCTTGCGCCAGGGTATTAATTGACTACCTACAGCACGTTGAGAATTATCAGGTGGGTATAGTGACTGGAGATAACAAAGAAGTGGCGCATAAAATAGGCGCAGAACTCGGAGTGCCAAAAGGCAACATTTTCAGTGAAGTTTCCCCGCTTGACAAAGATAAGGTTGTCACTCAACTACGTAATCGGTTTGGCGGACGCGGAAATATATCAATTGCCTTTGTCGGTGATGGAATCAATGATGCACCTGCTTTGGTACAAGCTGATATTGGCATGGCCATCAGCACAGGCACGGATATCGCTATCGACTCGGCTGAAGTTGTTTTGATGGGATCACAGGGGAAGAAAAATGATCTTTTCGGAGTTGTCACTGCCCTTCAAATATCTCAGGCGAGTTTTAAAAAAATCAAGTGGAATTTTTTCGGCGCTACAATCTACAATTTTTTGATGTTGCCGTTTGCCATGGGTTGCTTCCTTAAGTATGGCTGGATGCTCTCACCAGTGAGTGGAGCAGGAGCAATGGCCTGCAGCTCAATCAGTGTGGTGCTTAATTCGTTATTGCTCAAAAAATGGAAGCCTCCCAGAGTCAAAGAAATCGTCGAAAACTTGTACCTCAATGAGGAAAGTATTGGAAGCGAATTTTCTCTCAAAAGTTCCACATTAGGTGAGTTCAATGCTGTGAAAAGAGGCGGGATTAGGAATAAGGTCCAGTTTCATGGTTGGTCGAGGGTTTTCTCTAGCATTAAAAGAAAGGCTCATGGTGAAGCCGATTACGAAATGGTGGAATCCCCACAGAATTAGAGAGTTAACGGATAAAGCGCAAAAACTAGCACAAAGCGCTTCGAAAAATCCTTTTCACTGGGGTAAATTGGAACAAGTTAAAATTCGGCCCGTACAATGGAACTTTGCATTGGGCCATACTTGGTACCCGGAAGCCTGTTGCATATGCCGCACGGAGACTCTAAATTTAGTTCAAGTCGCGAACTAGGATGGAATTTGATTCGCAAAAGCCAGTGAAAGGAAACTAATAAAATGAATCTATATTTATTTATCTGCATGAATCTAATTTAAGAACAAGAAAAAAGTCATCTCCGTAACCGATCCCGATAAGCTCGCCTTTGTTATGCTTGTCGTCGTGGGATGAAATTTATGTTAAATCAATGGACATGTGACGAATTAAAAATTTTGCACTCGCGACAGTAGTGGCACAAGATGATACAAGAAATTACAAGTAATAAACCAAGTCATCTCAAAATACATGTCTGCCCAAATGTGACCCAAGGTTGCTAAATCGCTTCTGCTCAACTCTCTTAACCTTTAAAAGGCATCATTTAATACGGCCGCATGCAGACAACAGTTTTACAAAGCTTTAATCAAATAACAATAAGAATTAACATGAAATTTATAAACAATCAATAATATACAAAGAATTAGAACCAAATAGCTTACAAAGCCAACAAAGCACCGGCAGCCAAAGCAACGGCACCGGCAGCGTACTGCTTGTTACCAGCACCGTGGTATGTTGAAACATTGGCAGTGGTGTATGGGCAGTTGGTGACAGCAGACTCACAAGAAGTGATTGTGATCAAAGTCGAGGTCACATCAGTGACAGTGGAGTTAGCGAACGCCGAAACAGAGGCGGCAGCAGCAGCAAAGGTAGCGAGGGTAGAAAATTGCATTGTGTGAACGAGAGATGTGATTTGTATGTGAATAATAATAATCTAAGTCCAGCCACCAGGAAGGCATATCTTATATAGCTGTGAATCCAGTATTCTCCCATATCTATCTCGCGCAAAAACCTGGCTTGGACTGCAGATATTTCAAGCCACCTTCCGCATTTGGCAAGTGCACTTCCATATCCAGCATCTCTCGACACGCCTCAGATTAGGTACAGGCCCAGATTTGAAAATCTGCAAAAGAAACCAAAAACAAAATTCGCTTGCTGGCGCACATTGTTTTCTGCCAATGGCATGCCCTAAATTGAGTATTACATGGTGTTGCTTTTTAGAACTCTAGAAATAGAACGCCACTCTTGTGGCGGGATTGCGTGCTTAGTTTTCATGATTTCTTGCATGACCCTTCCAGATACACACTGATTATTTCGCCATTTTGGCGCCGTAGTGTATGGAATATACCACACGATATGTTTGTTTTGTAGTTTATTAGTTCGCGCATCTTCACGATAGGAGTCTCTGATAGGCGCCAGCGTTCTTGTATAGCCAGGCCAGACCATAATTTTTTGTTGTCGTTTAATCATATCTATGCAGCCAGTTTTCATCGAAGTTCTAGCCCGTCGAGCTTGTGGAAGTGTAAAAAGCAGCACCATGCTAATGGATTTCCAGTCATACATTTCTCCCATCAGTTTTCGTCTGCCAGATTCGACAAGGATGAATCTTGCAGGTGCTTTTTAAGTTCTGAGATTAAGGTCGAATTCAATTCCGCTAAATTTCAAGATATATTGATCCTATCCACGTCGTTCATTTTCTCGTATATTTCATTATGATTGTATTGAAACGAACTTGTGATATTCAACTTTTACCGTGACAATTTACCGACGAGAATAGTTAAGTGGGCTTCTCGCCATGCACCTTTGTTTGCGCTGCTATACGTAAACCAAACCCTATATTTTGTCAAATGCTAATTGAAGGCGGCCCTTGAGTTCACGTTTTTCCGGGTATACCAGCTCACAAAATCCTTTATCGCCATCCTAATTCTCCTGTTGTCTTTGTTGGGAAGCGCGACGCTGATTGTGCCAATGAGCTTGGTAATTTCTTGTTCGCTTACATTTGGCAATGAAGCAACAGATTGTTTCAACCATAATACAGCCTGTGCAGAATCGGGCGACACAGTCAAAATCTTGATCAAAAGATCATTGCCATCAACATCGTTGTAAAACTTGTGTATAAGCCCATAGATGACCACTTCAAGAAGATTATGAGTGTGACGGTCCATGGCCAAGAACTTCTTCACATTTTCCTTGATTGCCTGGTGGTCTCCTTCGAAAAATGAGACAGGTGGGTAATCAGAACCCCAGGATATGTAATCGATGAAAAAGTGTACACATGCCATCAAAGGATTGTACTCTTCGGACACCTTAAGAGCAACCACCCCTGTCTCGAATATGGAACTCATGAAATGTTCGTTTCCAGCGATTTCTGTGGGATAAAACATGAGCAAATGACTGGCCATGTTAAAGTAGTCTTCGATCACATCTGGGATACTGCGGAGGTCAATATTTGAGTCGCTTCTAAACAAGTCCAACACTGATCCGCTTTGAGATATAGCAAGAGGGTATATCACTTGCGCACACACCTCGTCGGAAAAGTCTTCGCTGCATTGTATAATTACCCCAGTGACCCACAAAAAGCAACCGAAAAACGTTTTTTGGAATCCTTGGTGTAGAAGCTGTGAAATTTCTCCCAACTTTGGTGTGAGGTAGCGGGTGCTACCGTGAACTGCATTTCTGGTCACTTTGCAAAAGGATTCGCAGATTTTCAATGAGTCGCCGTACTTTGCAAAACCCAAAGGTATCAAGGGCCAAATCTTGTCCATAAACACGTTAGCAATGGGGAATTCAGGAATGGAGTAGTCATGACAACGCAAAATCTTCAAAAATATACTCAAAACTTCTGCCTCGTCAACCAACGCCTTGATAGTCGGGTCATCCCCTGGTTGACCCTGTGAGCAAAGTTCACCCATTCTGTGTAATGTGGGTTCCAAAAATGTCTCTGCTGCTCTATATTGGTCAGCAAGGGGGATTTTGCCGATGACATGGCTTAATCCATCGACCAAGTCAAAAGTCGCCTTGACATCCAATGCAGCATGGACCTGCCGATAAAGCATGTAGAGCTGTTCCAAATAGTTTACGAGAAGAATGGCACAGTCCTGGCAGAAAAACATGAGGGCCTGAGATGTGGCGTTTATGATCTCACTTCCGGTGTGCTGGGCATTCTCGAAGCCCTTGATGATGTAGTTGAGTTGAGGCTCCAAAAATTCCGGGTTTTTGGAAGTCCATTCCGAGTACCGCCCCAAGACCAAGGTGGTTGCATACCGAATCTTCGGGTGTTCGGGTAGCTGCACAAGCATCTGCATGATGACTGGCAAGATCTTCTTCTCTTTCAACGAGACCTCCTTAGCCATCACGCGCATGCTGAACAAAGGGGCTTCCAAATACTGCCACTGCGGGTTTTGGTTGACGAGTGCCTTGATTTGCTGGAAGGGCACGTCCAATGCTTTTTGCGCCCCCACCACGGCGCAGCAGTCCTTCAACACGTCTCCCATTTCGTAACGGAAGTCCTTGAACTTGTCCTCCTGTTCTTTGTTGCCGTCAAAAAGATCGTCAGCATTGTCTCCAAGAGGGTATCGAAGATGGTTGATGATGACCAGAATCAACTCCAAGTAAAGAGGCAGGAACTCCGCCCGGGACTCCTCGAATCTGGGCAAAGTCAACATTTGCTTGAGCTGGTACCAGAAGTAGAAGGTGTACTTGACCACGTCCAAGTCCTCGTCGTACTTACAGCAACGCAATAGAATCTCAACAAGAGGTTTGAAGTGGGCCGGGCTCTTGGCGATGAGCACGTGCCAGGACTCGCCCGCCTCCACATAGATTCGAGTGAGACCGTTGAAAATCTCTGGGTCTTCCAACTGGTCGGGTCTTTTGGAGTAGTGCTCGTACGCCTGCAAAAGCTGCTGGTACAACGCGTCGATCAACTGGTAGTTGTCTATGTCTCTTGTCTCCCTGAGAATCGAGCACACGCATTCCACCGCGTGGTCGAAAGTGTCTTCGCGGGCTAAGGATTCGAAGATGAGCGAGGCAAGCGAGTCGATGCCCAAGACGTCCTCTATGGGACACTCCTTGATCCAGCTGTTCAAGCAGTCGAGGATCAACGCGCGATGTGCAGACCCGCTGTCGATCAAGCTTTTGAGAAGTAGTAGCACGTGCTGGACATTGCTGGTGATCAACTCGCTCGTGCGGGAATTGAACTCCTCGTCGGTCAACGGCGTTTTGTTGGCGTCCGTCAACTCCTCCGGCAAGCTCTTCAAGAACTCCAACAAAGCCGGCACGTGCTCCTGGGTCAGGAGCCTGGCGGTGATATCATTGATGGCATTCAGCCAGCCCAAATACTGAAGCGCCAACTGACAAAGCGCCAACGACAACTGTGTGCGGATCAGCTTTTCTTTGGCCGCGTACACCGAGAGCAATTCGAGCATCGAGTCCTTGAGCAGGGGGAGCGCCTCGTTTGGGAGCTGCAGCAAGTCGTATGTCGATTTCGAGCGCAATGTCTGCGAGGCAAACATCCGGTATTCCAAAGGAGTTTGGCCATCTGCGAGTAGCAGGTGCGAGATTTCCCAGGCCTCGGGCGATTTCTGGAAGTTCTCCAAGAAAGTCGTGGCCTCTTTCTTCTGGTCCTGCAGCACTGCCGGCGAGTACATGGCCACGAGGGCCTGCTGAACCTGGTCCATTGCGGTAGATTTTCCGTGTCTTTTGGTGTCTTGAAAATTTGCGTGGAGATTTGGAGCGGCGCTTGCGATCGCCTGGTGGTTTTTTCTTCCAGACGCACTACCTCCATTCACCACGAGCAGCGCATATGAAGGCCCGAGCTTCTCGAGCCGGGCACAGCGTGAGAACAGCAGAGTGTTCCGGGATATTGTGGGCTTTTGTGGTGACTTGAGTTTTTTTCAATTCTTGGTCTCGGCTTGTGCCGGGGGAACGGGGGGTATTTGCAGAGGTAGTATGATGCAATTTCTGAATTGCGAAATTAAGGCCCCAAACGGCTCGGATTATACTGCGAGGTGCCGCGGCCCTGATTCCCAAATTAAAAAGAGTAAAAAAAAACAGCACAAATTAGACGAAGGCGGCAGTCTGGAATACGGAATGGCTGTATGCGACAGAAAAAGCCGTCACGATGTGATTTCGTAAATAACTACGGCTGCAGAGCCCGGCCACAGAGTTACTTATTGTGAATACCTGGCTGGCGGGCGGCGCGCCCAATACGCCAGGACCTTCGAGCCGACCGCAAATTCCACACGAGCCACAGTTCGTGACTAAACCGAGTTCGTGACAAAGCCAGAGTTCGTGAATGAGCCAGAGGCAGCCCGGGGGATGATACAAGGCGTGGAAAATCCCAGCTGCTCGGCCGGGGTTTAATCCCCCAATCCGGATCGGATCATGCTCTTGGTGACGCGAGCATGTCTACTTTCGCCCTAGGGCCACGCACGCTCTGGGCCAATATTTCTCAGCTGCCCACTGTGCTCTGCGAGGTTTCACATTAGGACTGCCGCCAGAAACACAGAGCAAAAGCCACACATTACCGCCAGCATTCCGGCACTAGGCGCACGAGGCAAGACAACGCTGCCAGCCGCCTGGGCCAGCTAAAAAAAAAGGAAATCTGCGTTTTGTCCGTTTTCGTCCCCGGCATTGGAAGTGCACGTTTGTCGTGGTTTGGTCGGCCAGGCTACGCGGCCCCAGCACCCCGGTCTGCGCGCGCGGCGTGTTTAGTTCCGCATCGCGTCGCCTGGGCCCAAAAAAAAATATCACCTCTGATCACCCGCAAACCTCCAGCGCAAACAAGAGCCACCATGGTCAGACCAGTCGTTATCTCCGGGCCCTCCGGCACAGGCAAGTCCACGCTTTTGAAGAAGTTGCTTGCGGAATTCCCCGACACGTTCGGGTTCTCGGTGTCCAACACCACCAGACAGCCTAGACAGGGCGAAGTGGACGGCGTCGACTACCACTTCTCGACCGTGGACGAGTTCAAGAAGTTGATTGCCGAGGAGAAGTTCATCGAGTGGGCGCAGTTCTCCGGCAACTACTACGGCACGTCCATCAAGGCCGTGGACGACGTGGCCAAGTTGAACCGAATCTGTATCTTGGACATCGACATGCAGGGCGTCAAGTCCGTCAAGAAGGCGCAGATCGACGCCCGCTTCTTGTTCTTGAGCCCGCCGTCCATCGCGTCCTTGCGGGACAGATTGAGCGGGCGGGGCACGGAGACCGAGGACTCCATTGCCAAGAGAATCGCGGCCGCGTCTGCTGAGATGGAGTACGCCAAGACGGGGGCCCACGACAAGGTCATTGTCAACGACGACTTGGAGAGGGCCTACGCGGAGTTCAAGGAGTTCATCTTGGCCGAGGCCAACTAGAGACACGCACGGACCAGTTCGCACCACGACACCTATTCAGCGCGGGGCCTTCGCCCAGCAGGGGTTTCCTCGCACCCTCCCGCCCTACGTAATATCTATCTCCAGCCGCACGTCGCTGGATCCCCCACAGTGTACGCCCGGCGGAGGTTCCGACAATACAGCCTGCGCGCAGCCGTTCCCGCCTCTCGCCTCCACATGGGGCTTGGCCTGTAGAACCGCCCCGGGAAACAAAAAAAAAAAGTAAACATGTATGACTCCGGCCGGCACGCTTGACTCCGGCGCCGCGTCGGGGCCTGTCACTGGCCGGCTGTGCCTGTTTTCTTGGCCCCGTCAGGCACATACCGCTGGGTGAGACCGAGTGGCCCGGGGCTTCAGGCACAGGGCCGCGCAGCACCAACACGCGGCGCCAGTTGCGAGTGCTTTCGGCCCAACTGGGCTGCGGCCCTGTGTGCAATAAATGACCATATATGACCACGGACACGCTGCAACTGCCCCGTGCCCGGCGTGGCGCAACATGGCCCCCGGAGAACACAAAAGCTTGCCACGTGACCGGCTTCCGCCGCCGCCTTCCGCGTGACTGGCGGATGCCGACTTCGCTCTGCTAAGCCCAGGTCACACGGCGAGCGCGCAAGCAAATTGGCAGTGGGTAACTTTGTAATTTCTCGGGCCTGCTTCGCGAGCCGGTGCCTACAATCGCTGGGGCCACAAACCGCCCATTGCCGCTGGGCTGCCGAAGCGAGCGGGAGCACAAAACACCACCCGGCCCAAAGCCCCACGCTTCGAGCCAGCGGTTCCATGGGTCACGGGATCCGGGGAGCGCCGGGCCCAGCGGCACGCGATGCGAAGTTCCGCTGGTGCTCGAAATTCCGTGGCCGCTCGCCACCGTCCGTTGGGGCCGCGCCTTCCACCTGTGCCTCCGCGGCCAGCGAGGACGGGGAGCAAGGCCGTGCAATCTACTAACAATGGGCCAAAAAAAAAATAGCGCAGCGGGCAAATAGAAATATCGCACCCGCACCACTAAAGCCGGCTCCAGAAAAAAACATCTCGTCTCCAGACCCCTCCACGTACTTCAGGCCACATACATCAGAAACCACACTTGCACGATTTCGACCACACTTTTGCCAGCAGCGTTCTTGTGATCATCAAGGCCAGCCTCGTTCTTCGACAGCGGCATATAAAAGCGGGGTTTTCGGAGCAAGCCTTTGCAAAAAAAAAAAAAAGAGAGCCTGCTGACTCTTCCTTCCTTTCAACCCTTCTTTCCCACCAGAAAGGAGTCTTCAGAATAATCTTGCCGCTGGCAGATCGCTCTTGATGAGTGAGCCGAAGCAGAAGAAGACCTTGTCCAAACTCGGCCGTCTTTTCGGAGTGTCGTCTACAAACCTATCGCAGCTCCCCCAGGACGCCAAAGCGCCGGCACAAAATGCGTCCTCGGACTCGCTAGCGAAAACCGCCGGCTCCGACGTGGACTCCAGGCCCAACTCGAGGCCCGGCTCCAGGCCCATGCTGCCGGCCCCGCAGCTCTCGAAAAACTCGCCCACGCCCCGTGTCAGCGAGGATTCCCATGCCCATCCGGGCTCCGCCACTCAGGACGACGATGTGCTTTCACCCCTTCCGAACGACCGCTCAGCCACCGCCTCGCCTGCCATGGGAAACCCCCAGCTAACTTCGTCCCAATCGATGGTATCCGTGGACTTGGCCCACTTGCAGTCCGTGGCCCACGCCACAAACCTTGACACCACAACAGGCGCACGTGCTCAGTCGCCCTCCGTGTCGAGACTGTCGTCCGTGAACGGAAACTCATGGAAAGGCGGTGCTGCGGCGTTGGCGGCCAAAGTCAAGGCCAACTCGGTGTCGCGCACGCCCTCGGAAAAGCGAGCCGGTCACACCTCGCCCTCCACCGTCTCCCCCACTGTCTCGAGCACCCACTTGCCAGGAATGGCCAGCGTGCCTGCGCCCGCAGTGAGCAAGCCGAGGTTCAAGATGTTCGAAAACGGCAGCCACGAGCACAACCTACGTGCGGCCAAGCGCCAGGAAAAGCTCAGTAACATGCTCAAGGATCTCCTAGGGGCCAAGAAGCTCCGAGACGAGGCCAAGTCTGCAGTTCCCAACATTCTCCACGGCAAGAACTCCGCAAAGGGCGAGAAAAACGCCGAGCCCCCGACGCTTTTCGCAGGACTCGTCAAGCAAGTGAAGAACAACACGTCTCCGTATCAAGCCCAGACTGAAGACCTCATACCGAAGCAAGACAGCCGGTCCTTCGTTGAGAAGTACGGCCGCTGCCAGGAGGTCATTGGCAGAGGCTCGTTTGGAGTGGTGCGCATATCGCACAAGAAAGGCCTCCAGAACGGCAACGGGGAAGATGTTCTCTATGCTGTCAAGGAGTTTAAAAAGCGCCCCAACGAGTCCGAAAAGAAGTACTCGCGGAGGTTGACCTCGGAGTTCTGCATATCCTCTTCCTTGAAGCATTTGAACATCATTGACACCTTGGATTTGTTGAAGGATGCGAAGGGCGACTACTGCGAGGTGATGGAGTTTTGCTCCGGGGGCGATCTTTACACCTTGATCATTGCTGCTGGCAAACTAGAGTATGCCGAGGCCGATTGCTTCTTCAAGCAGCTCATTCGAGGCGTGAACTACATGCACGAGATGGGCGTGTCGCACCGTGACTTGAAGCCGGAGAACTTGTTACTTACCCAGCAGGGTGTATTGAAAATCACCGATTTCGGGAATGGGGAGTGTTTCAAAATGGCATGGGAAGACGAGATCCACTTCAGTGACGGGGTCTGTGGATCCAGCCCATACATTGCGCCCGAAGAATTCATCCAAGACCAGTTTGACTCAAGGTGTGTCGACATTTGGGCTTGTGGTGTCATTTACATGGCCATGAGAACCGGGCGCCAGTTGTGGAAATTGGCCGACCCTAAGCGCGATGAATTCTTCGAGGAGTACCTTATCCAGAGAAAGGATGCCACTGGATACGAGCCGATCGAATCTTTAAAGAGGGCCAGGTGTCGCAATGTGATCTACTCCATCCTAGACCCTATCCCAGAAAGGAGGATCACAGGCAAGCAAATCTTGAACAGTGAGTGGGGAAGGGAAATCCGTGTTTGTGCCGCTGGAGAAGCCTACAATGGTGTTCATGCATCAAGTGAGAAAGTCTCAGAGAAGCTCGAGAAAATTCCGCGATAAGCGCGGTTGGTTCGGAATTGGTGATGAAATTAATATTTGCATATCTTGCCTATACGCAGTAAACACACCATGTTGCAGAAGGTTCCGAATCCGACAAGCACGGATTTGGCCTTGCTGAACATGATGTATGTGATTCCACGCACAACAGATATCTATTAGCATTCAGTGTAGGTGAGAAAATAAAGGGGCGGAAGGATAAAGAGAGTGGGCTGAACTCGGCTTTGAAGTATCAAGTTGTTTTGACTTGAAATGGCCATAACCTAACAATTCGTAGTTGCAGTAGCAGTGTGAACCGTACAGAGGCGAAATCTTTTCCAAACTCAATTCTCATTGATTTCTTTATAGAAACGATTTCAGAGGGAATGGTTTGGTTCTTTTCACCCGATGGGTATCTTTGTCGTCGGTGGAAGGGATCTTCTCTTTTTGGTAAAACCACTCAGTGTCCTCTCGCCACGAGTCGCACGCACCGCGTTGATGTCCCTGACGCGATAGCCTCACCATACTCGAGAATCTCACTCTAAACATAAAAGCAGGTACGAGAAAATGGTGGAACTTTCGGATTTTCAGCGTCAGGAGAAAGTGGGAGAAGGTATGTACAAGTTCCACAAATACAAAGTGGGCAGTTTCTGGAAAAAGCGGGTGCTTTGCATCGGATCAAGTCAATCTTTCAAGCATGAAACTCTCAATATGGGTCGAACTTTGTTGAGAGCCAATGCCACGTGTCATGATCAGCCGAGACCCAAGAACTGTGGAGATCGCTTCATACCGTGTTTTCAGAAAAGGATTCACGCCGTCAAAGTCACGGTTGAAAGGCACACGTCATAAGCATGAGACTGTTTTCGTACTGACTATCTAGGAACATACGGTGTGGTTTACAAGGCCTTGGATACCCGATACAACAATCGTGTAGTTGCGCTCAAGAAAATCCGCTTGGAGTCTGAGGATGAGGGGGTGCCATCGACTGCCATCAGAGAAATCTCCTTGTTGAAGGAGATGAGGGACGACAATATTGTGCGTCTTTACGATATCATCCACTCGGACTCGCATAAGTTGTACCTAGTCTTCGAGTTCTTGGACTTAGACTTGAAGAAATATATGGAATCCATACCACAGGGTGTTGGGTTGGAGCCTTCAATGGTGAAAAGATTCATGCACCAGTTGGTGAAGGGCATCAAATACTGCCACTCACACAGAGTGTTGCACAGAGATTTGAAGCCCCAAAACGTGTTGATTGACAAGGAGGGAAACTTGAAGTTGGCGGATTTCGGCTTGGCCAGAGCCTATGGTGTTCCCTTGCGTGCATACACGCACGAAGTGGTTACTTTGTGGTACCGGGCTCCCGAAATTCTTTTGGGGGGCAAACAATACTCCACAGGCGTGGATATGTGGTCAGTGGGGTGTATTTTTGCTGAGATGTGCAACCGCAAGCCGTTGTTCCCCGGAGATTCTGAGATTGACGAGATTTTCCGGATCTTCCGAATTCTCGGAACGCCCAACGAGGAGATCTGGCCCGACGTTAGCTTCTTGCCCGACTTCAAGAAAACATGGCCCAAATGGGAAAAGAAGGACTTGGCCAAGAGCGTGCCTACTTTAGACCTAGACGGCGTGAACTTGATGCAGCAGATGTTGAATTACAACCCAAGCAATAGAATCAGTGCCAAGAGAGCGTTGATCCACCCATACTTCCAGGAGGACACCGAGGAGAACTACGACAACTACCTGAGGTCGGTCACCATGGGGTAGAGTATTATTGGGTGGTGTGACGAGGGGGTATTGCCGCCGAATATGTTCATTAGTCGTATTTTTGCATCCACTTGATATCCCATGTATAGTGTGTCCAGTGCCAGCTGAGGGCAAGCCAGAATGCGAGCAAAAGCACAAATAGCGCCAGCATTTCCTTCGCATATTTAGGCATCATGTTGGGGCCGACCGGGGCCTTATCGAATTGAATAGAGTGTATTTGTGTTGTTTCGTCCATCTGGGTGCTGAGGGTGCCCGAGTGCGGTGATGCGCTTTGTGAAGCTACTGGGTGTTTTGACACACCATGGCAATGCATGATAGGGGCTGCCTTTCCTCTATCGTTTTCCTCTGAGTCGGCGATAAAACAGAAATGTGTGTCCACAGTCGTGGAGTCTGTCTTGGCCATGTCACTGATTGTAGTGCAGCGATCAGGCAAAGAGGTGTAGGCAAGAGTATATGTGGGATTGGGCCGGCAGCCAGGCGGGCCTCCCCGCTCTCGCGAAGTCTTGAGAAGATGGAGGTCGTGGAACATGTCGGAGACCTCTGTCTTGAGGCCGTGTATTTTCTCGTGCATGAGTTCGTTGTTGGCAGAGAGCTTGGCAAGCAAGTCTGCATCGAGCCTGTTTTGGTGCCGGAGAACATCGAGCTTAGCGTGCGTTTCCTGGAACTTCGAGGAGATGGTGACATGGCGAGTTTGGATGCCATCGAGAAATTCGTAGAGGTTGAACTGGCTGGGCGAGCCACCAGGGCCCGGCCCAGACGAGTCCAGGTTTGCATGCATGGCCTCGCCACACTCCATGAGAGAGGCCGTCTCGTCAAGATCGGAGTCGCGATCCGTGTCTCTGAATTGGCCACACGTGTCCACGCTGGTGACATCACTGCAGTCGAAAAGAGAGTGTGTCTTGTCGTACTCTGTGTTTGTGCGATGTGCCAGTGCTCGCGACACTGGAGTAGACTGGAGCCCCAACCCCTCGTGACCAAGCCGCTCCATCAAGTCGAGGGCCTCCTGGAACCGGCCAGGATCTGGACTGCAGAGGTGCTTCTGCAACGCGTCCAATTCACGTGAGCGGCCATCGACGCCCTGGGTGGCTGGGCCCACTTCTCTCATATACATTGCTAATAGTTCATGTTCCGAAAGGAGCCCATCGGCCGCGTCGGCACAAGGCGAGAAATCTCGGGGCGGCATTCGCGGGTGCTGGCAGAAAAAAGAAAAGGCCGTGCGCTTGATTTGAAAACAGTGGCAGAAGAGGAATGATGGCTGTTGGCACTCTGTCTCTGGAGATGGAAAATGGCTGTGCGAGCCGATGTTTCGGAGTGACCCCAAAAAGGGAAGTCTAATTGAGAGTGGTCCATCTACAGGACCTGGCACTGGAGAGCGCAGCCCAGCAGCCGTCCGCCGCACCAGACACGCCGATATCGGTGCAGTATCCAGGATCGTCTGCCGGCCATCTGCCGATCGCCGTGGGGTCCCGGAGCCCTGCTAAAAAAGCTGGCAACATGGGAAATCACATCGGCCATTTTGGCCCTCTTGGTCGTGCATGTAGCCTCTGAGAGCGGACTCCCGCGCACTGACGTCCGGAGCGCTGCTCAGTTGTATGCCTGGTGCGGCTTTTGTTGCGGGTCCGTTTCCTGAGGCTCTTCACCTCAGACTACTGAGACTTTTCACCCGAGACGTTTTACCAAGCACTGTCTTGTTGCGGCTTTTTACCCACATTCTCTTACTGAGCCTGGTTGGAGAAAAGCGGGCCCCCAAGAATTAAGGCCGCAGAACCAATGCTCTATTCCAACACCATATCTGTCCTGATCTCCAATCTCGGCTGCTCGCCATGTCTATCTGCATGCCTCGCCGCGCTTTTGTATGGGTGCACCAGACAGCCCATACTAGCTCCTCACAGATACCCCCTTCTTCTTGCCCGCCACACACCATGAGCGGCAACGGCGGCTATTACCCAAACGGGGAGTCCAGGGGCACTGGCAGATACGACTCGTACTACGACAAAAACACGGACTCACGTGACAGCCGGGGCAGAGGTGGCTATCGAGGAGGCAGGGGACACGGCCGTTATGGGGCCAATCTGCGGGGACGCGGAAAAGGCTTTGGCCGGCCCGACCACTCGTATGGCGGCCGCCCGCTATATCGCGACGCCAATCACAGGGGCGGCGACAGCCCTCGGGACGATCCACGTGACCATGGCCCCAGGGACTTTGCGCCGCGAGAGCACCCATACCACCGGGACGGCCCGAGGGATTTGCGCCGCGACGACCAGCGGGAAATCCTGCGGCCAGACTCGTATAGCGGGCGACGCGAAAACGACGACTTGCGCACGGGTGAGGCGAGGGAGCATGCACGAAACCGGGACTCCTCGCCCGGCCGCACAAACGGGCATCCACAACTTGAAGACCGGGGTCACGACCGCGCCGACAGATCCACCGAGAGACCTGCCGAGAGACTCACCGAGAGACCGCAGTATTCCGGCATGCGCGGGCCGTCGAGGGGCAGTAATTACGGCCAGAAAAGGACCAGCGACGCGGGCCACGGCTCTCACCGGACGTCTGGTGGAGCCACTCCGACCAACACAGCAGCAGAGGCGATGCCCGCAGCTCTGGGCCCCCTGAAAAAGCCGGCCGCTCAAACGTTCAGCAATCCGTGGATCACCTTGCTCAAGCTTGGCCAGGGGAAGACCGCAGCGAGGGTGGAGCTGAACTACAAGGAGATCTCGAGGGTCAATGACCGGCTAGCCGAGCTCCAGAGCGAGAAAGTCAAGCTCGCGTGCGCGTTGTCGACGCTCGAAGTGTATGCCAAACGAGACGCGCTCAATGTTGAGATCTGCAGTGAAAAGCTCGACGAGTTCACTTACTTGTGATGAGAAAGCCTTCTTTTTTGGCAAGCTTAGTTTTCTCATGCTTGAGCGAAGAGCGCACGACGGGGCAGCTGATGTGGTCTGAGAACAAAACAACACCATCGTGCCGCAGTCTGGCGAGTATTCTGGGTTTTGCATATGTGAAGAGACAACATGGGAAGATACAACGAAAGTCTTCTCTCTGCCGCCGCAACGCACTAGCATCACCAGATTGTCATGTATGCCAATGGTGCGTGCTCGAAACTTGCTTTTCCAGCATTCCATTGTGTGAACGCTTACTACATCCAACGAACTCTGTGTGCCTTCATCACAGTCATGTTTCTACATATTGGCTGTCCTCGGGATTTTTTCAATGAATACGCTGGCATAATCACCTGGAAAGCTGCATAAGAGTTGCTCTTCCAACCATATCCACGCGAGAGTGGAGAATGAGTGGAGAATGCTCTCAAAAATACTGCCATGGTTTTTCCCAAAGCAGACGTCCATCCGTGCGAAGAACAGAAAGCCCCATCGATCTCAGCAATTCTTCGCATAGCAATCATAGCCATGTATGCCGAGATGAAGAAGAAGCGTGGCTCTTGTTCGTCTAAATTCGGTACTCAGTCTCTCTTATGTTGTCCTCTTTTGCAAGATGCCGGTTCGCTTCGTGCTTCGTATCATGCCTAAGTTCCACTGAGTCTGGACTTAAACAACTTTGCTTCTTCGAGGCTATCTCCTTAAGCAAAGTCGGAAACAAGTCCATGCATCACTGCATGCGTCACAAAGACTTGTGTTACACGGTGTATAAATTTATTGAATATTTTGATCACGGAGAATCAAAATTGTTTGTGGATAGACTTATTGACGTGTCTCCGAGAGAAGAATCATAATAAAGGGCCCACTATGCCAGATCAATGGGAAAACTACGAGTGAGATTCCCCGAGAAATTTCACCCGTCCCACCGGAATCTTGCCGCAAAACACGCTCTGGTAAATTTGGACTCGTCTTCAAAAATTTGGTCTGACCTTATTTTTTATAATACATAGTTTTATTCACTGGGGTGTTTGATCACGTGAGAATCACGTCTGTGCGCCCGGACTAGCCCTGCGAGTTGGCATAATAATGATCTACCAAATGCCTTTTGGTGGTGGCTCACTGTGATCTCAGCCTCGGAAAATCACAGCTGGTGAGAAGCCTCCTAGTTTCATTCAAACTCAGGCCCGGATGACCATCCGCCCAAAGGCAATAATAACATCACCTGTATGCAAACCAAATCCCTGAAGGGTTCGGGTTTCCGTGTGCGACAGACAGTGTTTTAAACGTATTGAACCACTTGTATAATTATTCGTCGTATACGTATTTGGCCATGAGCAACTTCATAGGTTCTATCACAGAGAGCAAATTGGGCCAAGCGGCCCTTTATACTGCATTGTTGACTGGAGTCTACAAGTTGACCACTTTCACCTTGTCCTTTGGGAGTCTTCTTTTGGACCTCTTTGTCTTACCACCCACTGACTTCGTGAAGTATGGCGCGAAGAAAGGCAATTGGGCCGTGGTTACTGGTGCTTCTGATGGGATTGGGAAGGAGTACGCGTTTCAATTGGCCAGCAAGGGCTTGAATGTTGTTTTGGTTTCAAGAACCTTGTCTAAACTCGAGGCTATTGCCACTGAAATCCAAGAGAAATTCGGGGTCAAGACCGAAGTCATTGCCTTCGATGCATCTGAGGACAACGAAGCCAACTACAAGGCGATCCAAGACACCATTGCCGATTTACCTGTCACAGTGCTTGTCAACAACGTTGGCCAATCCCATAGCATTCCTGTGCCGTTTTTGGAAACCGAGCAAAAAGAACTCACGGATATCATTACCATCAACAACCTTGTCACATTGAAGATCACGCAGACTGTTGCGCCAGTGATCGTCAAGACCGTGGCTGGACAAAAGAAAAAGGTGAGAGGGTTGATTCTTTCAATGGGCTCTTTCGGAGGCTTGATCCCCACTCCCTATTTGGCAACTTACTCGGGGTCCAAGGCTTTCTTGCAACAATGGTCGTCTGCTTTGGCCGGGGAGTTGAAGCCTCAAGGCGTGGACGTGCAATTGGTGGTTTCGTACCTTGTCACCTCGGCGATGTCGAAGATCAGAAGAACCACCGCCACGATCCCTAACCCCAAGCAGTTTGTGAAAGCCACTTTGAACATGGCGGGTAAGAGAGGCGGTGCCCAAGAACGCTTCGCTACATCGACTCCGTACTGGTCCCATGCATTGATGCACTTTTTCATTGAGAACTCGGTTGGTGTGTACTCCAGCATCGGCAACAAGCTCAATTTGGACATGCACAAGAGCATCAGGGCCAGAGCCTTGAAGAAGGCCGCCAGAAAAAAGGCTGAGTAGGCGTACGGGGAATATTCGAAAACCACCCCGCTTAGTCCACGGCTTCATTGGTCCTGTCTCAAGTATACTAGTTTCGCGTAGAGAGTGTCTAGAAATGGATAGCCTTCTACAACAAAAAGACGAGCAAGTAAAGAGTATCTACAATGACCCAAGTGACAAGCCCATGTGAAGCTTGACGCCACAAGCTGTTTGTCTGCTGTAGACTCATGGCACGTAGTACGGTCCCAGGGAGCGGGGAGTCGAACTTTCTAGAAGACACCAGAAGTTCGCACTGGTGGAAAAAAGCCGTTGCAGATATATTGGCACAGTCTTGGAAAAAAGACCGCGCGGACCAAGCTCGTTTCTTTCTACATCTGCTGAAAACCACACTCAAATACACTCAATGGTCAAGGAAACAAAGCTATACGACTTGCTTGGCGTATCGCCCTCGGCAAGTGAAAGTGAAATCAAAAAAGCATACCGGAAAACGGCTCTCAAATACCATCCAGACAAGCCCACGGGAGACACGGAGAAATTCAAGGAGATCTCCGAGGCGTTCGACATTTTGTCCAACGGCGACAAAAGACAGGTTTATGACGACTACGGCTTAGAGGCCGCCAGGGGCAACGCGCCTGCAGGCGGTAACCCCTTTGCCGGTGCCGGCGGTGCCGGGGGAGCCGGGGGAATGCCAGGAGGCACCCATTTCAGTTTCGGAGGAGCCGGCGGCAACCCCTTTTCGCAGGCCGACGCCTTCAACATCTTTTCGCAAATGGGCGGCTTCGGCATGGACGACGGATTCTCGCGTGGCGGCTTTGGCGGAGGCTCAGGCTTTGGCGGAGGCATGCCTGGCGGTTTCGGTGGGGGTGCTCGCTCGGCCCGCATGCCTGAGCCCGACACCGTGCCCATGCAGTTGCCCGTGAGCTTGGAGGACTTGTACGCGGGGTCGACCAAGAAAATGAAGCTCAACCGGAAGAGCGCGGACGGGACGAAGGAGAGCAAGATCCTCGAGGTGAAGATCAAGCCGGGCTGGAAGGCCGGCACCAAGATCAACTTTGCCAACGAGGGCGACTACCAGCCCGAGTGCCATGCCCGCCAGACCGTGCAGTTTGTCATTGAGGAGAGACCGCACTCGGTGTTCAAGAGAGACGGCAACGACGTGACTGCCACGATCCCATTGACGTTCAAGGAGGCGTTGCTTGGCTTTGATAAGGAGGTCATGACCTTGAGCGGACGCAAGATCAACATCTCCAGATCCACGCCCGTGCAGCCCTCCTCCACCAACAGATACCCCAACTTGGGGATGCCGATCTCGAAGGAGCCCGGTCGCTTCGGAGACCTCATCGTCAAATACAAGATTGACTTCCCCGTGCACTTGAGCGCGGACCAGAAGGAAGCGATCAAGAGAGCTTTTTAAACAACAATGCTAGGCTGGCCTCCATCTCATGTTTGCATTTGCCCGAGCGGGCAACTCTTTTCGCACTTCGACATCGCTCCCCTTATAAATAGAGACCATCGCGAAGCTAGAAATCGTATGTAATAATAAACTTTATCCTAAGCTACGGATTGTTAGCGCGGCACTCTGGCTGCTTGTTCGAGGGCATGACGACCGGGGAGGAGCGTGCTGTGCCGAACAATCAAGCCATACAGGCCAACCGGCCAACCAGCAGGACACTGGAGTTGAAGCAAGCTTTGGCTGGGTGTTTGGATAGCTCAATAGGAGCACGTCCGAATTGTGACTTTTCGCCAATAATATGAAGGCCGGGAGGCTAGGCCACGCAGTGCCACCATTCGGCACCATCATAGACAAGCAGAGTATGTCGCTTGGTTATTTTCGACGTGTCTGTTTGACTGCAGGGATGAAAACAAGGGATGTAACAGAAGATGGAGCAGAAGAAAGAGCGGAAGCTAGAGCGGAAGCTAGAGCAGCAGTTAGAGCAGAAGACGGAAAAGCTAGAGCAAAAGATACAGCAGAAAACAAAACAGAAGATCGAACAGAAGATCGAACAGAAGATCGAACAGAAGATCGAACAGAAGATAGAACAGAAGATAGAACAGAAGCTAGAACAGAAGATGGAACAGAATATAGAATAGAAGATAAGACAGAAGATGAAAGAAGATGGAACAAAAGATAACAGAACCTAGAAAAAAAGGATAAAGCAGAAGCTAGAACAGAAGCTAGAATAGAAGATAGAACCGAAGATAGAACAGAGGATGAAAAAGATGGAACAAAAGATAACACAAGTTAGAAAAAGAGATAGAGCTAGAACAGAAGATACAACAGAAGATACAGCAGAAGACAAAACAGAAGATACAGCAGAAGACAAAACAGAAGATAGAACAGAAGATCGCACATAAGATACAACAGAAGATACAACAGAAGATAGAATAGAAGATAAGACAGAAGATGAAAGAAAATGGAACAAAAGATAACAGAACCTAGAAGAAAAGGATAAAGCAGAAGCTAGAACAGAAGCTAGAACAGAAGATACAACAGAAGATACAGCAGAAGACAAAACAGAAGATAGAACAGAAGATCGCACATAAGATACAACAGAAGATACAACAGAAGAAAGAACAGAAGATAAAACAAAATATAGAACAGAATATAGAAGAGAAGATAGAACAGAAGATAGAGCAGAAGCTAGAAAAAAAGGATAGAGCAGAAGTTCGAACAGAAGATAGAGCAGAAGCTAGAACAGAAGCTAGAACAGAAGATGAAAAAGATGGAACAAAAGATAACACAAGTTAGAAAAAGAGATAGAGCTAGAACAGAAGATACAATAGAATATACAACAGAAGATCAAACAAAAGACAAAGAAAGGTATAGTGTCCGCCTGCTTCCAGCCGCTTCTCGAGCAGTCCTTCGTATACCCGCACTATCAGGCCTCAGCACTGAGATATCACCAAGAAACCGCGGAGACACCTCGCAAATACCAGCGCGTGCCGAGTCCCCACCATTCATCCCGGGCCCCCCTCCTATCCCTAAAAAAAGACAAGGTCTGCGTCTAGTCATGTCGGTGATCCTTGCCTCTGCAGGTTTCGACCACACCATCCGATTCTGGGACGCTCTTACTGGGGTGTGCTCGCGCACCATCCAGCACACGGATTCCCAGGTCAACAGGCTCGAAATCACCTCCGACAAGCGCTTTTTGGCCGCCGCAGGAAATCTATACGTGCGTCTCTACGACATCAAGCAAGCAGGAAACACAGGGGGCAATCCTGCGTCTGCTGCAAGCCCCGCAAACGGCTCCACGGGCTCGGGCACGGCTGGAAACGGCGCCTCCAACACCAATCTGAGCCCGGCAATGACTTTCGAGGGCCACACGGGGAACGTCACCTCGCTAGCGTTCCAGACCGACAACCGCTGGATGGTATCCTCGCTGGAGGACGGCACCGTGAAAGTATGGGACGTGCGGTCGCCGTCCGTGCAGCGGGATTACAAGCACTTCTGCCCCGTGAACGAGGTGGTGATCCACCCGAACCAAGGCGAGCTAATCAGCTGCGACCACGACGGCAACATCCGCATCTGGGACTTGGGCGAGAACCAGTGCACGCACCACTTGATCCCGGAGGACGACGTGCCCATCAACTCCTTGTCCGTGGCCAGTGACGGCAGCATGCTCGTGGCGGGCAACAACAAGGGCAACTGCTATGTGTGGGAGATGCAGAACAAAAAAGACGTGACCTCGTTGATGCCAGCGACCAAATTCCGGTCGCACCTGAAGTACATCACGCGGGTAGTATTGCTGACGGACATGAAGCACTTGGCCACGTGCTCGGCCGACCACACGGCACGCATCTGGCTGACCAAGGACAACTTTGCCTTGGAGACCACGTTGCAGGGCCACCAGAGGTGGGTCTGGGACTGCACGTTCAGTGCCGACAGTGCCTACTTGGTCACTGCCTGCTCAGACCACTACGTGAGGCTCTGGGACTTGTCCAATAGTGACACGGTGAGACATTACAATGGCCACCATAAGGGGGCGCTTTGCGTGGCGTTGAACGATGTGTAGAGACAAGCGGAAGGCGTCTGTTGTCTGTGTCTTTCACATGGCAGAGACATGGCCTTGTCAGACAAAAGAATATGGCCTTGTCGGCCGGACAGAGATATGACCTTGTTGGTCACTGCCTGGAAAACAACGAAACTGGCTTTCTACTTTCAAAGGTCCTGGTTAGAACTGGAAACGTGACGGGTGAACATCTGGAACTGTCTGTTTTGGAACAGTCATTGCTGAGACAGTCAGTGCTGGGCACGCAGACAGACCTGGTTCGGATTAATTAGGGTTCAATGAGCTGTTTGGGTCTTTGCGTTTTCGCCTTGGAGGCTTTGCTTGCAGAGACAAGCCCCTGGCAAGACACCTCGCTGCCTGGATTACTCAACAGTAGTTGCATGTTGTATGAGGTTCGTTAAATGCTATGAATATGTATGTAGTTTTTTATGCATGGGTTATTTTTTTTAATGCTCCAGTCAGACACTCGTCTGTTCTGTATGTGTGTATTGCTTCCCTCAGGGTTGTTCATGGGGCCTATCCAAGAGGTCCACGGTGGATATCAGTTTCTCGTGAGAGTTAAACTCTGTGTTCCCACTCTCGTTTGCATTTAGACCGATGTCCAAGCCAACAGTCTCTCGAGATATATCATGTTGTAGACGGCACTCTTCGTAGAGATAACCTCCCAACTCAAAGCTCCAGGGGATGTACTCGTTGATCCAACAACCGACTATCCACCATGACTTGAAACTGCTGGAACCCGACATACTCATTTCTCTGATGAAATTGGTGAGCAAGTTCGACAAAAGAAGAGAGAAGAGCCACGGGTTGACGCTGGGGAATAACGCTGGAAGATCAAAGAGGAAGGAGGCATACTTCTCCAACACAAGCCCTTCTGTGTGTGTCTCGCTGAGTAGCTGACCAACCAGGGTATCCAAAATTCTGATGATGGCCTGGGAGGATTTCAACCCACAAGGAATCTCTCTCAAAACTGTCTCTTGGAAGTCCAACTTCGACCAGTCTTGAAGCATGGCGTTCCTTTCGCTGGGGCTGGAAAGCACCATAGACGCCCTGGAGCCTGTTTCGATGCACCGCAAGAGCCTACTGACAAGCTTGATGAATTGCTGAGCAAGCCGGAGCTTCATGGTCTTCAAGCCTTGCGAAACGCGGTCTCCCAAGGCCTGGGAGAGCTTGGTCACGAAATTGACGCCGATGTCTTTGAGGATCCCCACAATGTCCTTGTTGGCGGGCTTCAAATGCAAACGACTCATCATCTTGAGCATTGCTCTGTACAAGCTCAAGTCACAATCTTTGACCCATTCGATGGCGTGGTCGGTGTTCAAGAGCTTGAAGATAGGACCCATCAACATCGCCGGCAGAGGCACCATCGAGCGAAACAAGTCGTCTTTTCTCATGTAGCGCACCAGGTCGAACATCGAGGCGCACTGTATCTTGACCAAGGCGTGCAACGTATCCGCGATGTCCACGTCGTGCTCGGAGTCCTTTGGGAAGTAGGAGTGGATGCGGGGAATCGGGACACTGTTCTCCCCGTGCTCGTCCAAAAAGGCCTGCTCGATCATGCCGTAGAGCCCGGGATATACTTGAAGTCGCTGATGAGAAAGTGCTCTTGCACATTGGCCAAGCTGGCGGGCGTGGCGAACATCTGGCTCGGCACGGTCGGGCTCTCCACCTGGGACGGGGTGTGGAAGGCCGACTGCGGGGAGTCCATTGCGCCGGAGGAGTACGACGACAAGGGCGAGCCCACCTGCGAGCTGTCGCCCCGCAACTTCACCCCGCAGTAGTGGTACTTGGACTTCCCTCTCATGCCCAAGCGGCGCGAAGTCAAGTTGGGAAACGACACGCGCACGAGCCGGCCGAAGGCCGCGGGCATGAGCGGCCGCACGGTGTACTCGCCACACATCTGTACGTAGCGGGCATAGATGCGGTTTCTCGGCACCACGGCAGCGGGCGAGGCCTCGCACGACGCGTTGAGCCATGCCAACGCGAACACCTGGTGGTGCCGGTCCTGCTTGACATCCTTGGCGTTGCAGAGCAGGCCGAAGACCGGGTCGTCCTTCAACGCGGCCAGATCGCAGTCCATGCGCTTGACCTTCAGCGCGCTGTCGCCGAGGTTGAAGGCGCCGATGGAGCTGGCCAAGCCCAACAAGTGGCGCTCGGTCTCGTGCTGGGACTCGGGGCGGTGCTTCTTGCGCGGCTGGCTGTCGGCCTCGGGCAAGGCCGCCGGGGCCAACACGGGGTGTCTGCAGCTGGCTGCTGCTCTGCTGACCTCAGGCATCTCTTGTAGAAGAGGCTCTGCTCTCTGGACATGGTGGAAGCCGTGGAATCGTGCAGCCGTGTCCATGGCCAGCAGTGGCCGGGCGCTCGAGGCGCTGGCGGCTTGGACCGCCTGCTGCACGGGCAAGTCATCGGCGGGGTTTTGGTACTGGCTGGCGAACAGGATGAAGCGGCGAGACGACGCGCCGGGGGCCCGGGGCCCAAGGCCCGCGGCACCTCTGGAAAAGTGCGGGGACGGCTGGAGCGCCCCGAGCGGCTCGTACTGCAATTTGCGCTGGGCGAAATGGTGGCTGCTGTGGCCGGCGGCGTCTGGGGGCACTTTGCGGGCCGTTGCCTGTGCAGGGGTGTTGGAAAGAAGGCCGATGGCGAGGCCGTCTGCGGGGCCGTCGACCGAGAACACGCCGGAGGGGCCGGGCGCAGGGAGCCCGGGGCCGAGCCGAAGCGGCGTGCCGGAGCCTGTTTGGTGGTTCATCTGGAGGTCCCTTTGGTTCATCTGGAGGTCCGTTTGGTGAGTTATCTGGTGCTGCTTTTGGTGAGTTATCTGATGCTCCGTTTGGTGATTCATCTGGTGATTCATCTGACGGTTCATGCCATGGCCCGGTTGGTGCTCCGGTTGGTGCCCCCCCTGCTGGTCCATGGCGCCCATGGCAAAGCCCATGCTGGCATAGGCAGAGTCCGCCGCCAGGACGGCCGGTGGCAGCGGGTGGTGCGGAAACACATGCGACGACGAGGGTAGTGGGAGCCCGTCGGGGCCGCCCGGAGCCATGTGCTGGCCATATGCAAAAGAGCCGGGCTGGATCTCGTCGGGCATGCACATCTGCGGCAGCGCCGGAAACAGGTCCATCCCCAGCTCCACCAGGGCCGGGAACCCGGGCGGGTACTCGGGACTGGGGGCCTGGTGCAGAGAAGACGCCGAGCCGGGCAGGCCTGCCGGGAGGTTCAATGAGTTGTGGAGGGTATTCATTGGCAAATCATACGAGGACGAGTTGTGGTTGGCTGTTGGAGAATGCAAGAGGAACAATAGGAGGCGGGCAGGAGGCGGTTGGGAGAAGAGGAAAGTGGTGGTGAAATTTCCATCGGGCACAACTCCACCGAATCAGATCGGGACTGTGTGAGAAGCTAAGCGAGAACGAGAAGCAAAAAAAAAAAAAAAAAAAAAGCCGTTGTGCCCGATCTGACTTTTAGGGCTGCCCTCCAAAAGCCCTCTGGGGAGGCCGCGAGCCATGCCGTCTGCCGCAAGGTTGGAAGGGGGCCCCAAAAAGGCCGGCCCGGGCAGCCATGCGCATGCGTGCTCCGGGGCCAGGAGCGGGTCCCAAAGTCATGTAAATCCTACGGTTTGCCAGCGCCCGCATGCGGCAGTTTCGTGGGCCGAATTTATCTCGTTGCCCGCAAGGCTCCGGAGATTACGGGTGGGCGGGCTCGCTGCGTGAACACTGCGGCTGCAACGGTAGGTGCGACTCCACCGCCGTTGCTCCTTTGGAGACATGTCTATAGATACGAGGGGAGGGGCACGCCCGGTATGGGCAAAAGTACGGCAGACAAAAGGCAGACAAAAGGCAGGCAAATGGCAGGCAAATGGCAGAAATATGGCACAAATATGGCAGAAATGTCAGGATTATGGCAAAAGCACGGCAGGCGCTGACATGCCACTACACAATGGGGATGGGTGGGACAACGCCGGTTTTTGCTGGAGTTCCCAAATTAGCTCGCGGCATTCTGCCACGGAGCCCAGGAAGCCACAGGCAGGCCCTGCTGAAAATCTCACCGCAGCGTATAGGCCGTCCAGCCCCGGGAGTGTGTACAGGCCGCCGCTTGTTTCAAGTGCCGGCACCAGGGCCGGGCACGTCGCCGTCTGCTTGTCCGGCCCGGCTACATTGGGCCAGCGGCACTGGCAGGCCACTGCTACGAAAGTTGAGATGGTGCACGTTTTCAACAAAAGGGGCCATGGCCATAATGTGTGCATTTTGCTCCCTCTGCCAGCAGGATCTCATCGCTGCGTCACTGCACCATTTCAAATCCTCGCATCCGATTCGAGCGCACCCATCGGCCCACCATCCACAGCGAGTGTGGGAGCCGTGCATGTATTAGAGTTTGGGGCTCCCGACTTCATATGGGATCACGCTGCGGTTCGTCGGATATAGGGGCCGGGCTCTTATCTTCATCTTCTTTTTTTTTGTTTTTTGGCCGTATACGGCCTGCCACGTGAACCTCTTCGACATTTCTCACTGCTCTTGGCCGGTGCCTCACCGCACAGATCAGGCCTAATATCGCACGGGCCATCTACCCCATCGCACGCATCGCGAAAAATTCCATCCAAAAAAATCAGTACGATTGTCAGACCAAGAACTTCTCCAAAATGGCCGTGTTGAACTCAAACCCCGAAATCGTCTTGCGTAAGCGCAAGGACGCCGACAGAAAGCGTGTTGAAAAACAAGATGCCGCCAGAGTACGCATGGAAAAGAAAGGCCGCAAGGTCGCCGTGCCCGGGGAGAAGTTCCTCAGAGCCGAGGTCCTAGCCTCCAGAGCCACGGCCAACAAGATCGAGGGCAAGAGATTGGAGAATATCTTGAAGCACGAGCAAGCCAAGGCCGCCATTTCCGCCCAGAAAGAGACCCCTGCCAAGTTGGCCTTCATCATCAGAACCGAGAAACAGAACAAGGCTGTGAGCATCCCCACCAAAGCCCTCAATGTCTTCAAGGTCTTGCGTTTGGACGAACCCAACATGGGGGTCTTTGTGAAGTTGACGCCTACTATCGAGCCTGTGTTGAAGCTCATCTCCCCGTTCATTGTGGTGGGCACTCCGTCCTTGGCCTCTGTGCGTCATCTATTTCAAAAGAGAGCCTGCATTCCTTCTTCCGAAGACGACCAGTCCCCCTCCAAGTTGGACAACAATCAGGCTGTCGAAGACAAGTTTGGCGATGACTTGGGGTTCATCTGTATCGAGGACCTCATCCATGAAATCACATCGTTGGGAGACAACTTCAAGGCCGTGACCCTGTGGTTGGCTCCTTTCAGTTTGACTGCCCCAGTCAATGGATGGAGTCCTTTGGCCAAGTTGGCCAAGATGAGATACCAGGAGGAGAACAAGAAAGCGACTACATTGGCCGGCCACGCGAAATTGGAGGAGATCGACATTGACAAATTCATCGAGGAGCAAAATTGAGGCGACTTGTTCGCACCCCATCTGATTGGGAAACGCCTCTTAAATCTTGTAGTATTAGATTTTATATATATATATCGGGATAGGAATACAACGCATTTGAAGTTTCGCCGCCCACTGGTTTCACGTCTTCGCTTTACTCATCTGAACCCACATAGCAGACCCTCAGCATCTTGGAAAATATACAGGGGCTTGTTGAAAATTCGTCAAATGCCTAAACCGAAATAAATTGTAAACATCCCGTGTTTATTAAAACAGACGGATAGTCACTTGTAAAGGAGCTCACAAGTTTTAATAAGTGCTTTTTTGCCCGAGGTTTTATTCACAAATTCAGGCAATACCAATAACTGCATCCAATGCGAAGGGTAGATTAGAAGTAGTCGGGGTCCGATATATTTCTATCTCCTCTGTAGCCTTTTCTCTTCCTTGCTTGATTAGTTTCATTTGGGGAAAGGGAAAAGACAATCAAGTCGTTCTACAAAAGCCATCAACCAGCTCCCAGGATGTACTCACTTTCTCTTAATTGTTTGATTTATTTGTCATTTTTGGTGAACACATCACGGAAACGCAAATTATATTTCAAAAAAAAAACATTTTTTTCTCGAAGAAATTTCATATTATAGGGTGTCACTGGAGGGATATAAAACCTCACCTTTTTTTTTTGGTAGATTCATCTGATTAAAGGGGCAAAACTATATAACGAATATATATAAAAAACCTTTAAACAGCTCCCAGCTACGTACCAAGTGTCTTAGCTCGGCCCGTCCCCTTCCGTTAGTCACGGCCTGGACAGTCCTCATGGCACGTACCTGTTTACGTATTGAATATTACGTCATCGACTTCAGCACTAACGAAATACTATAAAGACCCATAGTAGATCGCAACATTGGCTCAGGTGAGAAGGCACAAACACCAATTCACGAAATCTTCCAAAGAGGTTGTGCCCTCAGAAAAACTTCTGCCCATAACCAATGTCACCACTTGAATAAAATAAACTAAATGTCATCGTCCCATAGGTCATATTTTCCTGAGGGCCCGTGACAATAATTCATTTGGCAGGTACCTGGTGCCGAAACTCGGGCCACTTCCGTTAATCATGGCTTGAAGGGCCCCGTCAGCAGGCATTTGTTTCTGTCCAAGTATTTCATGGTTCCAGAGACCTTTCGAGAACAAAATGTTTTAAAAAATACTACATTAGACTTTTCAAGCTAGAAAAGATCTAATTAGGCACAAATTAAATATTATAATTATTAAAGATCATGACATTTCAGGGTTTTGGTTGCGGCCATATCATGCAGGAAGCACTGTTTCCCGTCCGATCAACGTTAGTTAAGCTGCATAGGGCCACAGTGAGTAGTGTAGTGGGAGATCATAAGCGAAATTGTGGTGCTGCAATCTTTTTTTGTGTAATGGGGGCACCCTCTCTCCAAGATAAATTTGTTCGTCAGTGGAATTTTGTATTCGTATTTAAAAGTTACACCTTGCCAGATATCCAACTCAGGACCCATGCTAACTTTTTCACAAGATTACACTGTCCGATGACGCGACCATCGAGACGCGTCATAACAGTTCCCAGTCTGTTCATTTTGATACATCAAACGTGTCGAATACGATAATCAAATGCCAGAGACTATTATTGTTAAAGAATACTCAAACTCATTTGAACACATATCAAGATTTATGAGCTTTTCTCATTTCCTTTTCGTTGCGCGTCTCCGTTCTCTGTAGGAATTCACATTATCGCGAGATCGCCAACATATCAACCCCCCAATGACGTTTACTGTTTACAATCAGCTCAGTCACTCGAATGACTATGTATATAAGCTCATTCAGCTTCCGAGTGAGCTTGTTGAATACATGAAAAATGAGCCCGACAAACCGCTTCAATTTAAAGCTCCTACAAACGTGAAAACCCAGCTCGCTATTTGCACAGATACCACCACTTATAATGTAAGGCAGATGAACCATTCCAACACCCAGCTACTCATGAATGACATGGCTATTAATAAAGCTGGGCACACATTGGCCCATACCTCCATGGCCAATCCAGCGATGCAGTTGTTGGGGATTGGTCTGGCCTCATATATTTATGAATTATCTGAAGTTGCCGGGTATATCCAGACTGGAGATCTTCCCGTGTACGAGGGTATCAGTTCAGATTTGCTGCAAGCCACCAAAAGTGTAGCCGATGTTCGTGACGACTCAACTGTTGCCCCCAAGTCGTTTCTTTCGGAATGGCACGCGCTTGGTGGGAGCACCGTTGATGGGAAAGCTGTGGTTTTGTCATCAAAACTCATTACTGAGGTACTTCACACCATCATCTCACTAATGATTGCAGAAGACATTGAGTCTTTCAAGATCGAGAAAATGGCTGTAGTGGTGGCCGAACAAAACAAACTATTCACTAGAGATATAGTTGACACGGTAGCTTCCAAATTCAGCACCACGAAAGAAGACGTGTATTCTTTGGACACCGAGCGTGTTGCCAAGTGGTTTGGGATTGAGACGCTTCGAAACCAGAAAACTGCGTTCACGGAAAAAGAGTTGCTACTTGCGTGGAAGGCTAGCTTACCGCCATTCTACAATGCATCGCTAGATGTCAAACTACTTTATGGACATTTCTGTCGCCCCAGCACGGACCAAATCCGATACCTTCGTCTGGAGTCTTTGAGCGGAAACTTGCATACTCGTATTAAAGAAATGTTTCAGATGGTGAAGGAGTGGGAATACGACGAATTTTTGCCGTTCGTTCTAAGCTTCGTGCCGGCCAGCAAAAAGGCCGACTCGATTATCTTAAAATATGCCAGAAAAAAGAGAGTGGGGAGAAAAGTGTTTGTTTGTCCCAGATGATACTATTAGAAGAAAACGCAAACAAATAAAATTGCTTCTGTTCCAACTTGCTTCATAAAAGTCCCATAATTTTATACTTCATGAATCTGAAGTGCACAGTGTCTTGTCCCCAATAATGAGATTTCTCGCGTGGCTATAGACCGAAGCCGGGATCTGAGACCGCTCTCAACTCAACCCCGAACAGAAAAGCACACAATCTCTTTTTACACCATGGAGAGTTCCTTTGTCATCTCCTTAATCGTATGTTCGCCATTCTGAGAGATTCCCCTGTCATTTTCTTGCTAACCATGATTCCTAGTCTGGAGCTTGTGCAGGCACGTCTACCGACCTAGCATTTTTTCCTATTGATACTTTGAAGACTCGTCTCCAGGCTAAAGGGGGCTTCTTTATTAACGGCGGCTGGTCGGGTATATACAAGGGGCTCGGATCTGCCCTTGTGGCACTGGCTCCCTCTGCTTCCTTATTTTTCATCACATACGATGGGCTTAAAGAAGCAACAAAAGACAAGCTCCCGACAACGGCGAGTCACATGGTGAGTGCATCTGGAGGAGAGTTTGCGGCGTGTCTAGTAAGAGTCCCAGCTGAAATTGTGAAGCAACGGACGCAGGCAGGTATAGTCGGAGTGGGAAACCAAGCCTCTTCTTGGGCAAACTTCTTGTACTTACTTCAAAATAAGTCGGGTGAAGGCGTTTTGCGTGGGCTTTACCGAGGTTGGAATTCCACCATTATGCGGGAGATCCCATTTACAGTGATCCAGTTTCCCTTATACGAGAAACTCAAGAAGTTGTGGTCCGCGTACGACAATGCAGAACTTTCTTTGTTGAAAGGTGCGATTTGCGGATCCATAGCTGGAGGCGTTGCTGCTGCCACAACCACACCGCTCGATGTGATCAAGACCAGAATCATGCTCAATAAGGAGAGGGTGTCTGTGACTTTTTTGGTCAAGCAAATGTTATCTGAGGAGGGCCCACGGGTCTTCTTAAACGGTATTGGACCACGAACTTGTTGGATTAGTGCAGGCGGGGCTATCTTTTTGGGGTGCTACGAGTTGGTCAATACAAATTTGAGAAAAGCCCCCAGTGAGGGGGCTTTGGGTTGATTCGGCATGTTCCGTGGGGATAATCAACAATACCTCTCGCAGGCATGTGAGTCCTGATATGCGCTCGAATACAAGATGATATACAAGTGGGTCCCTAATAGAACTTCTCAAAGCATAGACTGTGAATTCTCAGCCGTTTCACTTCGGAAAGCACAATCGGAGACAAATCACTGGTCTCTGAACTCTGGCTGGGCTCGCATAGTACATAGAATAAAAACTTACAGCGTAATAAAAGTTCCTAAATACTGCAGCTCCTACAATTTAAACATGTCAATCGACCATTCGGAAAAAGATAAGATTAGACCATGACTGAAATTGGAAGCCATTTGAACATCATACTTTGGTTTCCTTTGCTTATTGTACCCTGTGTTCGCCAGCTTGCTTTCATGAAAACCCCGCTTTTGATGAGGAACCAAAACTTGAGGGGACGATAGTTGCGTCGAGGCACTGCACCCGACGATATCTAAGTCGATAGGAAACCACCCATTTCATGATATATTGCTTCGGAATGATTTGGTCTTGCATTTTACGACACCATGTGAACACAAACGTTAAGCACGAGGAAAGTAGAATCGGCAAAATTTATTGGGAAGTTTTCGGACAATTTCGCAAACTGCCGAACATCTTTCTCTGCTTTAATGGATTCGCTTAGTCAGAGCCAATTGGCAATGCGGGTATACATCCCGAAGCAGCGCCTGGGCCGAGTGGCCGTGCCGGCGCACAGATGACATAAACTGAGCCAGACACGACCGCGATGTGAAATATAGACAGGTCTAGGCGACTCCAATCTCAACTTCTCCCCACAAGCTCTTTATACTCACTAAGATCATGTTTTCTGCAATCACAAAAAGAGGCTTGGCCAGACACATGGCCCGGTCCGCTCTGTATCTACGTCCATGTACAAGAGGATTGGCCACGGTTTCTGTTGCTCCTCCCGAAGGACTGTCCATATCCTTGAAGTCCGCCACTAGAGATGACTCTAAGTTCGGCAAAAGACCGATCTACTTAGACGTCCAGGCCACAACGCAAACAGACCCACGTGTCTTGGATAAAATGTTACAGTTTTATACTGGGCTCTACGGAAACCCACACTCGTCCACCCATTCGTATGGATGGGAGACAGAGAAAGAGGTGGAGTTGGCCCGTGCGCACATTGCTGACGTAATCAAGGCCGACCCTAAGGAAATCATCTTGACCTCAGGTGCCACCGAATCAAACAACATGGCCATCAAGGGAGTGCCTCGCTTCTATAAAAAGACAAAAAAACACATCATCACCACCCAGACGGAACATAAGTGTGTGTTGGACTCCGCCAGGCACATGCAGGACGAGGGCTTCGAGGTCACTTACTTGCCCGTCAACTCTGAAGGGTTGATTAGCTTGGACGATTTGCAGAACGCCATAAGAAAAGATACCGTGTTGGTATCGGTGATGGCAGTCAACAATGAGATCGGAGTCATTCAGCCGCTCAAGGAAATCGGCGCCATCTGCAGGAAAAACAAGATCTTCTTTCACACGGATGCCGCCCAGGCATACGGCAAGGTGCCCCTTGATGTCAATGAAATGAACATCGACTTAATGTCGATCAGCTCGCATAAGGTGTACGGGCCAAAGGGCATTGGTGCATGCTTTGTGAGAAGAAGACCAAGAGTCAGATTGGACCCCATCATCACCGGTGGTGGCCAAGAGAGAGGTTTGAGATCAGGCACATTGGCCCCACCTTTGGTGGCCGGATTTGGTGAGGCTGCCAGACTCATGAAAACTGAGGCGACCTACGACCAAGCGCATATCAAAAGACTCTCGGAGAAATTGAAGAAAGGTTTATTGGCAATTCCCGAAACGCAGTTCAACGGTGTGTTGTCTGATGATTCAAAGCAATACGCAGGCTGCGTAAACATCTCGTTTGCTTACATTGAGGGAGAATCCTTGTTGATGGCATTGAAGGACATTGCCTTGTCCTCCGGCTCAGCGTGCACATCTGCTTCTTTGGAGCCTTCGTACGTATTGCACGCGTTGGGCGCTGACGATGCCTTGGCCCACTCGTCTATTCGTTTCGGAATTGGCAGGTTCACTACAGAGGCTGAAATTGATTACGTGATCCGCGCTATACAAGAGCGTGTGGATTTCTTGAGGAAGATGTCTCCATTGTGGGAGATGGTGCAGGAAGGAATCGATTTGGATAGCATTGAGTGGAGTGGTCACTAGAACATCCATGAAGCGGTTAGCTTTGTTATGTTCATCCTAATCCCCGCACACTTTTGCGAGTTAGGCTTATGTATGATGATATTTGTCGTTATTTATTGTTCATTGCGCGGCCCAAGCACCTGCAACTCAGAAGAGTTCGAATGGTGAAATGTGCACCATAAGTACGGGAAGAGGTTTAGGTTTCTTTCATTCTTGGTGCAATTGATTTTTTCGGCTTCTTCGTTCATTGTTGTTTTTGTTGTAATTCTCCATAAATGACCTCTGAAGAGTGAAAGCTACCATCCGTACCCCGGCCTTTAATTAGTTCAAACCGGTCATCCGGCTCGCAGTGAGAGAAGCCCCGGACGCGCGCCCGCTGTGCCGACCGGCCCGGTTCCGGGAATGCCTTTTTTTCCACTGATCGCTATATAGTCAGACCATCGGTTCTGGTCCCTGGCTCGCCCCTCAACCAATACTACAAAGTCACACCAATATGTCCACAGTCACAAAAAAAAATCACTCTCCTTCCAGGTGACCACGTCGGTAGTGAAGTTGTGCAAGAAGCCGTCAAGGTGCTCAAGGCCATTGAGAAGCACACTCCACACCAAAAGATAAAGTTTGACTTCGAAACCCACTTGATCGGAGGTGCGGCCATCGACGCCACAGGCGAGCCATTGCCCGACAAATCCTTGGATGCAGCCAAGAACTCCCACGCGGTTTTGTTGGGTGCCGTGGGAGGTCCTAAATGGGGTACTGGCGCCGTCAGACCCGAACAAGGCTTGTTGAAGATCAGAAAAGAGTTGGGGCTTTACGCTAACTTGCGTCCCTGCAACTTTGTCTCAGACAAGCTCTTGGAATTGTCTCCTTTGAAGAGTGAGGTGGTGAAGGGCACTAACTTCACAGTTGTGCGTGAGTTGGTAGGCGGCATCTACTTTGGGGAGAGACAAGAGCAAGATGAAAGCACAAACAAAGACGAGGCCTGGGACACGGAAAAGTACTCTGTGGCTGAAGTCACCCGTATCACCAGAATGGCTGCCTTCATGGCTTTGCAGCACAATCCTCCTTTGCCTATCTGGTCTTTGGACAAGGCTAACGTGTTGGCCTCCTCTCGTTTGTGGAGAAGAACCGTGGACAAGGTCATGAGCGAGGAGTTCCCACAATTGACTATTCAGCACCAGCTAATTGACTCGGCGGCCATGATCTTGGTCCAGAACCCTACCAAGTTGAACGGTATCGTCATTACCTCCAACATGTTCGGTGACATTATTTCCGATGAAGCCTCGGTGATTCCTGGCTCGTTGGGTCTCTTGCCTTCGGCATCCTTGGCTTCTTTGCCTGACACAAACTCCGCGTTTGGTTTGTACGAACCATGCCACGGTTCTGCCCCAGACTTGCCTGGTAACAAGGTGAACCCGGTGGCCACCATCTTGTCTGCTGCCATGATGTTGAGATTGTCATTGGACTGTGTCAAGGAGGCCGAGGCTTTGGAAAAGGCTGTTGGAGATGTCATTGACTCTGGCATTAGAACTGCCGATTTGAGAGGGCAGAGCTCGACCCAGGAGGTTGGGGACGCCATTGTCCAGGCAGTCATTAAGACCTTGAACTTATAAACTTGTCTGCTATAGACAATGTTGATCTTTGCTACATGTTCTGAAACGAGTCTCTTTTTACAGCTAATAACAAAAAAAAGTTCTATTACACTCAAACTTCCCCTATAAAGATGTCTGATAAGTAGACAATAGAATCATAGCTATCCATATGTTCCATACCTTCCCACGTTAACGTTTGGGAGTTGACGACCAGTTTGAGACTCTGCTTTGCTTTTGATGGGCTTGTTAGCTCGTTCATGAGCGTTTTCTCGCTGGATGATGAGGTCAGTAGGTATGACTCTTGGTCTTGTTCAATGCTCTTATTCCAAAGATCAAGTGCGTTTGCAAGCTCGGAAGACGGTAAGTCTTCTTCGTCGGAAACGATGGCATTACTTTGCATCTGCAAGTTGTGGTCAATTTTTTGGGTTGTCAAATTATGCCTTGTCTCCATGCTGGTCTCTTTTGTTGCAAAAGGCTTACCCCGCGGATATCTTGCATGGCATTCACTGGTGATTTGTACATTTGATCCTGGAGGGCTAACAGCCGGTTCTGGTATACGCAAGCTGAAGTTTCTTTCGAGCTCTTCGCTAAAAACTTTCACGAAATCCGAACTGCTGTTTTGAAGGTTCTGATCAAGGTCATATATCAGCAGTGGCCGATCAACGACACTCTCGTTTGACTTGTTGTCTGGAGAATATGAAACAAATTCGAACGTCGAGAAAGTGTCGTCAAGAACGTCGAACTGTTGCGAATTGGGCTTCATAATCATCAACAGTGCCGTCGAGTTGGACATAGTTCCCGAGGACAACCTTCGGCCTTTTACCTCATGCTTCATCGCTTTGAGTTCGGCCTGTAGATTTGAATAGGAATCGCGAGCCAAGGAAGTCCAGTTTTCTTCTTCAGCATTGTTCAATATTGACAACGGGAGCTCTTCGTAAATCCTATACTTAGAAAACATGGCGGAAGAAATTCCAGGGGCATTTAAGTTTTCCAACGCATTTGCTGCAAATTGTGATGCAAAATCCGTTTCTTGAATTGACTTCGAGGACTTTTCAACTTTAATGCCGGTTTTCAGTGTCCGTTTTTCTCTCGTACTATCATTTTTTTGTTGGTGCATGTGTTCCACGGGGGATTTGGATATGTTAAGGACAGAAGTTGTACTCTTATCCTGTGGCTTAATATGCGTCAGTGGCCCCTTTTGAGATCCTGATTCTTTCTCGCGTTGACCAGCTCCAAGTGGGTAACAAAACATGTCCATTTTTAAGCTGTCTCGTTGGTCATTTGTTCGCTGTTCAGCAGTGGAAGTGGGTGCCTCTAGTACCTGAGCCTCTCTCATGTCGTGAGATGCTTGATCTTCTGGTTTACGTTTAGGCTGGAAATTGACTTGATTCGAGAGAAATGTTGCCAAGGAGTTGGACTCTGTGAATTCATGCATGTCCAATACATTCGTTGTTTTCTTTGGCGCGTATCTCACTGACCCCATATTAGCCCCCAGTCTTTGAAAAGTGCCAGACTGAAGTGACCCGTCTTCAGGTATTCTCTCAAGCTCGTTCACTACCCGATCCTCGCGTTTTGAAGCTTCATCTTCTAACGCACTGTAGACTGATGACAGCATAGTATCACCGGACAAAACTCTCGATTTCATTGCAGCAACGTTTTCCAGCTTTGGACTTTTCATGTTCAGCAAATAACATGGCTCATCTTTCTTCGTAATAATCGACGAAACCGTGGATGCTTCTCTTAACAGAGGATCAGGCTTGTATAACTTCTTGAAAGCTGGCTTTTTTCCTCTCGGAATACCTGTTTCGGGAATATTGGTCAAGCCTTCGAAAAAGTGTTCTTTCTTTGTCTTTCCTCTCTGAGGTTTTGCTGTCTTTTTTTTCAACTTTTCAAAAATCCGCAGAAAGAAAATGTTCTTTCCAACGACATGTTCCTGCAAATCACTTTCTAGTTTCAGCAGAACAGGTGTCGGGATACTTGCAACTTTTTCCTTCTTTTCGTTTATTATTGTCAGACTTCGGAGATTTGAAGACTTTGGCATTATCGATTGATGGGTTAATGTCTTCAAAAGGAGATCAATTTTGTATGAATTCTGCTCAATGAGGAGATTCTTGAGCGAGCTGGAATGGAATAAAGTATTCATACAGAGAGAGAAGGCTTCTCTTAAAGAATTGTTAATATTATCTGTTGAAACAATATCACTTATCCTGAGAGTGTTCTCTCGGTTATACCCTGTGATCAGGATAGTGTGATCGTTTAAATAAGACAAAGTCAAAACGATGAAGACCTCAGAGTAGTTTTGAAGGGTTTCCAAGGCCCCTTCTTTATCCATATTTAGCAATATCACAATTGGAGATTTTGAGAGCTCGTGATGATAGCTTTGAATATCATGAGCACAGTAAAACCTAGTTAGGTCAAGGTCCTCAAATTTGAACAAATGAAATGGGGAAGACTTATGCAAAATCTGAGCTTTGCAAATCTGGCTTATTATGTCGTTGCATTCAGTCGCTGATTCATTTATATTTTTCATTGAGTAGCTAAGTGCAACAACTCCGGTCACACCAGTTCTCAGATTGAACTTATTGTCACCGTACGTTGTAAATGTCAAATTCTGACCTATTTCACTTTTGTAAGACTTAACAATAAGTTGCTTCACGTCACACCAGTATCTGACTTTAAGTTCGGGAAAGTTAGCAAGCGCAGGTAATGGCTTCTGATTGACTAAAGAATTCATTAGCACATCCGGTAGCACTAGATTTACTTTCCCGTTGGTTGAATCAATGACATCAATGAATAACAAATGATCTGAAAATATGATAAGTATCACATTGTCGGTTTCGATATGTGATTCAGGTAGTACACTCTTGAGCTCGTGTATAGCAAGAACTTTTCTGCTCATCCAGCCGTATTGCAATTCTCCAGGCCATTCTGTTGCTAGTTCAGTGAGAATTTTTCCGGATGGCGTGAAGATTCTCGAGCTACGAGAATCTTTAAAACTACCATCCTCTCCACAGCCTAAAGAATCGATTGTTTCAATGATTACTTTGTACTGTCTGTCGATGACATCAAGATTTTTCACCGTAGAGCTTGAGCTGGACTTTGTGTCTGAAACAACAAGTTCATAAAGTCTCTTTATGATCAACTTTAGTTTCAGGAGTTCGAAGAGCGATCCCACAATAATATTTTCCACTCTTTTAGGTGTGTAGCAATGTCGGTTTATCTCCTTATTATCAAAGACATAGGAGCGATTGTGTCTTAAGAATATCTCAAACCGGGCATGAAAGCACGAGATGTTAGCTTGGTGTCTTGCAAAAGCCTTATAAAAAAATGGAAGTATAGATGCAATGACCTTGAAAACTTCTGGATATCCAAATTCTGTCGCGATCTTCAAAGAATTATTGAGGATACAATTTATTCTTGTGACTTCATCTATTGTCGGTGGAAATACGGTATTGACTTTCACAGCACCGTTGGTAGTATTGGAAACGTCAGTAAGCACGTGGATTCGAAGAGGAATAATGAAGTCTTGGAGAAGGGTCACCAACTCCATTGTAAAGTTCGATTGCACTGTAAAGAGTTCTTTGATTACATTACTCACCTCACTTGATTCTTGAATTGAAGAGTAGACATAGGTCAGAGGAGGAACGTAAGAGTATTCCATAGCTTGTGGGGAGTATTCGAGTAATGGATCAAACAACTGCTCCATTTGGGTTCCAAGTAGAATTACAATGCTATTGTTTTCATTGGTAGCCTTTGGGTCAGAGAAGCCATTGTCATACATCACATCTATGGTGATAGCGGACATTGACAGTTCTTGTAAAAGGTCAAGAGAAAGAATTTTTTTACCAACCTCGGTTGGTGGTTTGTCACTGAGACGCATTAAGCTGGCCAAGGAGCCAGCATTTGTTTCATCCCAGCTCTCTTTCATTTCTATTGAATCTTTGCTGTTCCAAAGCTTGTTGAAATTCTTCAAGTTTGTGATAGCTAGAGCCTTTCTAACGTTGGAATTGCGGTGTTCGGTAGTGAGATTTTGACAAGCAGGCCAGAATCTTGAACTCGAATCCAAAATCATATTTTCGTAAATATTACAACCAAATTTTGTCACCGAGACGGCGCACATTTTGTTGGTCGTTTCATTCTTATACAACATCGTTATGACATTACCGAAGAGGACCGGATCATATCCGGAAAAAAATGCCGCCTGTGGTAGCGTTGAATTCCAAAAAGCTAGAGACTTTGGCTCTGTTGATTCTGTGGTAACGTCAAATTGACCCGACAAAGGACGTAGTTTAATGTGGCCATTACTTTCTTGGATCTTGCTGAAATGCTCCTTGTCGTGTTCGCCCGATACGTATCGCGTATATATGTTCATAGCTCGACGAAGTATATGTTCAGAAAGCTGTGTTTCGATTGGCAGTGCAACTCTCTATGGTTCTACAAGGCTTGTTTTGTCACTCTTAACACTGAAGCACGCAAGCACACTCTGCAAATCAACCTCATTACGCGACCACAGATTCATTAAAATTGGCTCCGCATTGGGATAGAATGAAAACAATGATCGCTATCGCAAAATCAAGAAAAAGAATACAGAACATTAGGCTTAGATAGGGTCCAAGGCCATACCTCAAGTTTGTAGCATGTAGTAACTTATATCCTGTGAGAAAGATATCAGTCAGATTTACTCCGTAATTTGAATCGCTCAGACCTTTTCCCACTACTTCTTCTAGTCTCAAAAGCTCCTGTGTATCCAATACCTCTCTAACACAACCCATTATATCCCGCTACTTCAAAAAGACATATATCAAGGGAATCATCAACATCAGTAAAAGATTGACATCAATTGTGAGATTCAAATTGCTACAATCTCGACTAAGATCTGAGGCTCACTAAAAACGATTACTCGAGCAGCATTCTATGCTTTTCTCTTATTTACTATATTTCTAATCGGTTTATCTCACGAGTATCCGGCAATAACCGGACTTAAAACATTACAGCCTTCGGGTCCCTCGGAACTCCATCTGCGCCGATGCCATGCTCAGATAGTTTGCATTGAAAGTATTTGAGTCTAGCCTCGTCAAAGGTTATGTTTTCTTGGGACATCATTCGGCGAATTTCACCCTTGGCAGCATCATCAAGCGTGCGCGTATCATTGTTTACGATGTTTTTGTTAAGGTCAAACTGATTACTGCTGAGCCCATTCTCCATGTCATCCTGGAACCCAAATTCCGGGCCGTGAGGAAGCCTTTGCCAACGCTGTCGGTTTCTGTAAGCCTCAAACATCCCTATGATTCGATTCCTCAAATGAAATGCCAATAAGCATCCCACTATTACCACTGCTATGAGTATATGGTGAAGCTTAAACATCCGGGGCGAGTATATTGTCTTTTTAAGTGAAACACGGAGGGCAACGACTCTTGGAATCTAAGAGTCGCTATGGTCACATGACTAGCATTATACAGGAGCCACCTGCGGTTGCAGTTAGAAATAATATACGAAGTGAACAGTGGACTCACTTTCGGAACTAGGGCGAATTGAAAGTCACATATATCAGAGATTAGAGATATATTATTTTCTAACTTCCAACATTGTATCCCTGTTACGCGCATCTAATTCATCTAATCACCTCTGCCGGAAAGCTGTGAGCCAACCTCAAACAGAGCTTAGCGAAACCACAATGTAGCCTTCAAGACGCTACATACTACATCACCAATGTGAACAGTAACATAAATGCGACTGACGAACACTTCTACTTCATCTATCTCCAATGACTCCCCCATGTTTTCTCTCAGCTTCTCGAAACATGATGTCAGATTACCTCCATTTTAACGCGAAATATTGTGCATAAATCTTTATCAAACTAACTGTAAAGCACCGTTTAACAGCCTCTCATCCCAGTATTCCTACGCGTATAGAGTAAGTTTAATGTTTTTGTTGATTCAAAGAGACGGACTTACACAAAATTTCTTACCTCTTCACTTTTTTCATTGCTGTGACCTCTACAACTGCTCTGGGGCGTCCTGAATATCTTCGTCAATGGCAATATCATCCGCAGCTTCTTCAGCCGGGTATTGTTGAGGAATTTCAGTTGGCTGCTGCTCAACAGGCTCTACCGAATACTGATCATTCAGTTCAGCTTGTCTAGGGGCTTCGAAAGACTCAACTCTCCGGGCGTACGAGATCTTCAAGTCCCTGCCACCATAGTTGTATCCATTCAAGTTACTGATGGCAACTTCTGCGAAATCCTGCAGTTCAAACTCCACAACCGCAGTCCCGTTCGGTCTACCCCGATCGTTGTATTGAATTTCGGCCCTGTTGACGCGACCAATGGTTTCAAACAACTCGTGCAAGTCTGCTTCGGTAGTGATGTAAGGTAAATTGTCAGCGTAGATAACATTCGAAGGCACACCATCACCGATGACACCTTCAGTGAATTCGGTGTTTTTGAATTCTGGTTTTCTTCTCTCGCTAGGATCCTTAGAGAGACGGACCTCAAGTCTTCTGCCCTCAAGCATCTCACCATCATGTCTCTCAATAGCAACCTGAGCATCCTCTGGAGTCTCGAAAATAACCGTTCCGAAACCTCTGGATCTTCCCCACTTGTTTTCAGCAACATCAGCTCTGACAAGACCACCAACAGGGCGCATCATATCTTTCAAAGTCTTCCATCCCGTGCTAAATGGCAAGTTGCCCACGAAAATCTCACATCCAGGCTTAGGAGGCTCGGTACTAAGTCTCTCGCTCCTTTCTCTGGGTGGACGCTCGTCTCTTCTGTCACTTCTTCTGTCCTCCCTTCTGCTCTCTCTTCTTCTATCTTCTCTCCTCTCATCTCTTCTTCTATCTTCTGGAGGAGGGTAGTCCTGTCTGACAAAAATCTCACGTCCATCAAGCTCGCTCCTGTCAAATCTGGCAATAGCGTCTTGTACGTCTTGCTTTGTCTCGAACTCCACGGTCGCCATACCACGAGATTTTCCTCTCACGCTGATCACTTCAGCACGGACAATCGGGAATTTGCGGCCAAACATCTCCTCTATATCTCTAGTAGTTGTACGAAATGGAATGTTTCCCACGAAAATAGAGTTGTCGTAGTTGCGGTCCATGTCTCTTCTGTCATCACGCTCGCGAGAATCATCACGGTCACGGTATCCGCCGCGGTCCCTGCGGTCTCTACGGTCTCTCCTAGAGGATCCACCTCTTCTGTCATCTCTGTCTCTTCTTCCTCCACCTCTCCGGTCGTCTCTTCTATCTCTGTCGTCTCTCCTATCATCTCTTCTGTCTCTGTCGAATCTGACCTCTTCTCTTCTGTCACCTCTTCCGCTACCTCTCCTTTCTCCTCTGTCGCTTCGAGAGTCTCCACGAGGAGCCTCGTAGTCTCTTCTTGCAGAAGGCGAGCGCTCCCTGGTGGGTGATCTGGAACGATCCTAGAAAATATTAGCAAAACGAGCTTTGATAAAGATACAGATTTGTAAGAATAAAACTTCCATGATAAAGCCACTGCAGCGTTCACGAAATATGAGTACTTTCTGAATAAAGCCTAACGACTAATTCGTGTCAAGACAAGGTAGAAGGCTCTCCTTATGCCATGAAATTTATCAAGAGTGACAAGTTTGCGCCGTCCTAACCTCCCATGGGAATAAGATAGCAGACCCTAGCTTATATCCATTAGATTCAAACCAAACAATATGTCCACCATTCACTTTGCACACCCGCTTCTGAGAAAAATACCCTGCCTGCGAGCACATCACAAGATTGGCGTGCTTGACAACAAAGTCCCAATCGTTTCCTCACAAATTCTCCAGATTTCCGCTTATTCGTAGCTGCCCATTGCAGTAACTTATTCTATCCTTGTCGTCTAACATACTCTTGAATAATCGTCAATGTCTATACCGTCCATTACGAAACACTTGTGAAATACCTGATGAGAGCACGGACGTTCACTATTTTATTGTAGAGATTTTTGCTGGCGAGGTCACGTGCAGAGTGCGTGGTGTGCTTGCCGTGGCTGGCTCCCGCACGAAGACCATCACAATAGCTTGAATCCTTTTTTCACTACCTTCATTTGGAACATCAAATAATTATTTGAGATTTCTCGATAGTGCTGTAAGTATCACACATGCATTTTATTATGAAAAACTGGATTTCACAGTTTGCCTTGGGAAACGTCTCTTATTGAGACGTGTAAATTCAAGTGATATGTAGCACAGTAAGCACCTTTGAAAAATTTATGAATGCCTGAGACTTAAATTCTTTTTAGTGGTTTCATAAATCTGAAAAAATCAAAATTTTGCTTCACATCTTCAATGACTCACAAAACTTGTCACTATATTTTCAAAAGTGAAATTTGGTCTACATCGGCAATGGACAACACGAAAAGAATTTCCCTCGCCCTGAGTAAAAATTGAGTAAAAATACTGCCAAGCATATAGATATAAACCACTATTTATCTCTCTGGAAATGGAAGCACGAGCCTTCTTTCGACCTCGGTTTCCTTGTTGACCTCCTCTTCCCCATCGAACTTGAGTCTCACTGTGCCGTCTTTCTTATGACCAACGACTATTGCAGGATAGAACGTTGTGGTCTCGGGATACCGAGCAAGAACTTTTGAGTTGTATGAGTATGCTAGTAAATTCGGGGCTTCACTTCGCAGAGGAATAGGCAATATTTCTTTGTACGTTGCTTTGAACTTTTGTCCCGGATTGTTATTTTCATCAGGCTCGGGATCTCTGATTTCATACTTAGTACCGTCAGCCAAGATTTTGGTAACCTCACATTGGATCCACTCGTCCGAATGACGATTTTTTAGCTTGTACGCAACTCCCGAGCCTAGAATTATCGGTTCACCGGAGTCATACTTAGACACCCAAAACAGCCTACCCTGATTAGCAACTCCCTTTTTAGTATTTCCTCTACCCAATTTGCCACCTACCAGCCCTCGAGATGGTCTCCCCGTGGTCGATGCTTGGATCTTCTGCTGTTGTTGTTGTTGTTGTTGTTGTTGTTGTATCTTTTCGGCGGCTGATATGAGTGTCTGGAGATTTTCTTGAGATGTAGATATTATACGCTTTGCCGTACCAATATTCTGAAGATGATCGTTGATGTCCTCCTTAAGCTTCTCGAGGTCGGCCTCATTAAGAGAGTCTAGCTTGTGCTCGTCGTTTTCGCGGTTCAATTCGTCGAAAGAAAGAGAGTCATTTGCATTACATATATCTTGAAGAGATGATACAACAATATCCCAGTAGCCGTTCATAGTCTCTGCCGCCATGATTCAACTCGCTCGTGAATTTGAAAATCAGCTTACACCTACAAGATGGGGCTGATTATGCACGATGTGAGTTGTGCTCCGCGACCCGCGTTTCATGGTGATGTATGGGTGCAAGGAAAACAAAACCCAGATAGGGGAAAAGCCTTGATGATTATAGTTTAACGAAAAAATAGTTTGGATTAGCTTCTCAACATCAGGGTAATATGACTGTTTCACATGATATGCGGCTGATTTTGTTTTCTTCCATTTACTTGAGCTGTGACCTGTTTCTCTACGCGCTTTTGAAATATCGCTCAGACCATCCCGTCCATTTTCATCATCATCACCCAGCTTATGTACATGTTTGAAGATCGTGGGAATATATAGCATAAGTTAAAAGAATCTTCTTTTTCAAGAAGTAGCTTGTTACTACAGACAAACTGGAATTTAAATCTTTATTCTTCATATTTCTTTGAAGCAAAAACAAAATAATATTAAGGAAGTGAATGACAGAATTTTTTAATTTATCTAACATTTCTTATGCATGTAGGAAGTAACCGAGGGGACAATACCCCATGCTCAGTGATTTTTTAGTAGAACAATTGAAAAATTGTGCAAACATCTTGCAATCCTTTTTGCATTTTTTGCATTATGTCTAGTTCCTTGTGCCCTTTCTCCTGCCAAAGGGACTTCGCGTTTTTTTACATGTGTCTAAAGGTCTTGCCCCGCAACAAGTCGTTTTCCATGTAACCCCAATTATGCAAACATTCCTATTTATAACGTTCGACAGCCTCCAAATAATTTCCTCAATCGCCATTCTACGGCAGATTCACACCCGAAGATCTATCTACGCGCTCTCAATCGACTTCACGTTATACTCATGGGTTTGGGCCTTTACGCATACAATTGCCAACTGCTTATATTCCTTTCTGCCCAATGTCTACGCTCAATACGCAAAAAGGTACCCTTTATCCCCGGAGATTCCACATTCAACCTTACTAACGGCTATGTGTTTTTTTCAGCTCATCTTATGCACAATTCTCGTCAACAAATGTTTCTTTGTATTCAAGAGCCAAGAGAAGTTGAGTGTTGTGTGTAAGACAGTAATGTTATTGTGTATTTCAGTCTTTTTACGATTTTCTTGGCTTTTCTGCAATGGCAAAGCGACCATAAATGTACTTGACCTCGCAGACTGTCTCCACAACATTGGTTCAGTAGCGTTGGCTTGCAGACTTATACCCCAAATCTCCTTAAACTGGTTTTTAGAAATCTTTTTGCTCAGCAACACATTTCTTACGTTACAGCTTTGTGCAGCTACATCTGGCATCGTTTCACTATTCATTGCCTATTCCTCAGGGTTACTTTGGTCGGAAATGCCTATTGGACTGCCTTGTCAAGCTGTGCTTGGGGCTACCTGGTGTGCGTCACTGGTTTTGTTGTTCCAGCGGAGTCACTACGGACAGAAACATAACATTCACAGATTCCAAAATTTGGTTTAAAATTCCACGAAAGCCTAAATCTAAAACATTTTACCTGGGCCTGCTGCAGAAATTTGTTGAGTCAGCTTTACTGCTTGGGCCTTCTCGTCTTTTTTGGCGACGCTCAATCCTTAATACAACGAGTGGATCGCACCCAGTTGAATACTTTTTCTTCTTTTATCAGGAGACAACCTACGTAATCGTCATGCAAAGAAGCCGACAATTCTCGACGGCTTGCAGGCTTTTGGCCAAAAAAACTGTCCAGACTAAACAAAAATATCTCGGTAGAGTCAGCAATAACTTATCCCTGGGTGTTGTGGGGCTCGCAAACGTGGGAAAGAGCACATTTTTCCAGGCGATCACGAAATCGACTTTGGGAAATCCAGCCAACTACCCTTTTGCCACTATAGATGCCGAGAAATCTCTTGTAGTTGTTGAGAGTCCCAAGCTAGACCAATTTCAAAAATTGTTTCAATCTGAGAAGAAGGTGCCCACGTCTCTCACGATCTACGACATCGCAGGGTTAACTAGAAACGCGGCAAGTGGACAAGGGTTGGGAAATAAATTTCTTTCTGATATAAGACAAGTTGATGGAATTTTTCATCTTGTACGTGGATTTAGAGATGACGAAATCACTCACATCGAGAACAGCGTGGATCCCGTCAGGGATATGACCATTGTCACTGATGAGCTTATATTGAAGGATTTAGACTTTATCGAAACGGCGCTCGAGAATGTTCATAAAAAGGAGAAGAAGCCTGGGAACGACAAGTCAGCTGTGAAGTTCGAAATTGATACTTTGGAAAAAATCCTGGAGCTTCTTTATTCTGGGAGAAAAGTTGCATCCGAGGAATGGACTGAGGAAGAGATAGATGTTATAAACGCTCTCAATTTGTTAACAGCGAAGCCCACTGTCGTATTGCTCAACGTGTGTCCAAATGACTATGTGAATCATCAAAACGAGTTCATGGAGGCTGTTCAGAATTGGATCCGGGAAAATTGTCCTCAGGATAAATTAATGTTGTTTTCTGCTCAATATGAGAGCCAGTTGAATGAACTTGAAGGTAAGGAACTTGCGGATTTTGTCAAGGAATACGATTCTAAACCCAGTGCCATGGCCCGTATTGTTGACGCTATTCGGGAAGTTCTCCACTTGATATCGTTCTACACGTGTGGACCAAAAGAGGCTCACCAGTGGTCTATAAGAGAGGGATCCACAGCACCCGAGGCTGCAGGGGCGATTCACACGGACTTGCAAAACACCTTTATTTCTGCTCAAGTTTACAAATGGGATGATGTCAAGAATGAGCCCGGGCCCCTAGACGAGGCTTCACTAAAAAGTAAGGGCAAACAATTGAGAGTAGGAAAGGCGTATGTCGTTGAGGACGGGGATGTCATGGTAGTAAAAGCAGCGAAGGGCCGAAAGTAAAGGCATTAACTGTGACTTGTATATAGACAATCATACCAGGTTATTTGACAACTCCACTAGGATCGACCTCCTATTTAGAATGCAGGCGAGTTGTTTACCCAAAATCACCTCAACGGCTTTTAATCATGCCTTCGTTTCCAGTGAGTTGATTGCTTAGAATATGTCTTGACGAACTCAATTCGTGACGGCTTTTTTATGCGTGTTCGAATTGCATTTTTGTATCTGAAGAGCTCCAGATTTCCAGATTGTTTGGGCACCCAACATTTCTTATCTCGGTGCGCGTTGTTATTTGTTATTCTTCGGAAGCAAGACGAGCTTTACCCTAAGAAGGAAAGAAGCAGTCGGTTATTTCTTTAAATAAATGACTCAGGAAAACTAAAAAGATAATCTGTATATTATTTGATTGTGATTTATGTGAAACAGAAAGTAGCTCTGCTTTCAAGTCCAGTTGTCTCGATTAGTCCTTGGTGACACAAAATTTGCTTCTTCAATTGATAGCTTAATATTGCCCCACAAACCAAGACTGACGCGTATAAGTAGAGAAGGCAGACCATTGTTGAATTAAAAGAGGGTGTCTAAAAAAAATATAGTATTATGAATAAAGGTGTGGTGTACTCTTTCGAACTCTCGTCATATCTTTGACGTCCTACAAAAACTAAATACCCTGTGTGCCCACGCTTTTATGTTTTTTTTTTTCTCAACATGCATACATCTACATATTCGTCGACAAAAAATTTACCATGCTTAACCGAAATTCAAACTCAGAAAGTCATTATTTCTTCAGATCTGCTAATAGGTACATACGAATCATTGAAAATATTGCGCCCAGCGGAATTGTACTGAGCTTGCCTGCCTGTTCGCGCAACGCCTTATCTCATCCAAACGGCGCGGACACTGACGATGATTTCTGCCTTTCCTCCTTTTTCCTCCACTATCTAAGTGTGGTCCTTTTGAATCAAGAAACCCCAAGATATCCCGTGAACTACATTATCTCGCAGAAAAAAACTAAAAAAGGAAAACTCCTAAATCTCTATCACTTTCCCATTGATTCTTCTCTCGTCTAAATCTTGAACCTATTTTGCGTGAACACTCAAAACACTTATCAAGACAACAGAACACAGGCAAAAATCTGATTATCGAGATTTTTGGGTGGGATTTTCTCTATGATACTGAGAAGCATATCTGCAATAATCACCCCGAGCCGTCAGAGAATGATCGGGTCCATTTATAATTACGTTTTCGGACGCTCTACTGTCACCGAACAACACAGACAGTATGCCACAAACAACCCATCATTTACCCCAAGTATGACAGCAAGTTTCCACCCCAGACTAGCCACTATTTTCCAACAATTAGATGCTATTGCCCCACGCTTTGCTGTCAAGGGTTCGGACATCCATATTATCCTGCTGCCTGCTCTATTTTATAACACACTCAAAGAGAAAATCAGTGAAGCCAAGTCCAGAATTTTCTTAAGCTCGCTTTACGTCGGTCAAACCCAAGAAGAGCTTGTCGAGTGCTTAGCGGAGGCATTAACAAAAAATGAAAACTTGAAGTTGCATATTTTGACTGATGCCTTGAGAGGCACGAGAGAAGCCCCCAACCTGCGATGCCTGGCTCTGTTGCTCGTGAGTTTGGTGGAAAAATTTGGTAAACATCGGGTTGACATTCGTATGTACCATACACCACATTTGGCTGGGTTTAAGAAAAACTGGGTACCGAAGCGTGCGAACGAAGGTTTTGGATTACAGCACATGAAGTTATACGGTTTTGATGATGAGATCATATTGAGTGGGGCCAATTTGTCTGAGGATTACTTCACAGACAGACAAGACAGATACTATGTGTTTAAAAGCAAGAAGATGACCGACTACTACTACAAAGTTCAAGAAACAATCTCGTCCTTGTCTTATCAATTGGTCACCACAGCCCATCCAAAAGGATTTCAGAACTTTAGATTAACGTGGCCTACTTCTAATAAGTCTTGCGAGCCGGACATGAATCTTCAGAGATTCATCAGTGACTCGTCTTTTCTTTTAGAGCCATTACTCAAACAGCATACGCTTGGATCTTTGGACGTATTTGATGATACTGAAGAATTCGACACCATTGTGTATGCTGTTTCTCAGTTCACACCACTATTGCACCCTTCCAATGACTTATCCACAGAAAAGCCTACAATTCTTCGACTCTTGTCATACTTGGATTCCCCCAAGATTAAGTGGTGGTTTACTGCCGGCTATTTTAACATGCTTCCGCAAATCCAGGAACGATTCTTGAACGGGCAGGCTCAAGGTACATTGATTACTGCGTCAGCAAAGGCCAACTCTTTCTACAAGTCATCAGGTATCTCCTACTACATCCCGGAGGCATATTTGTTGATAGCCAAAAAATTCTTGGAAGAGGTGCACAAAAGAGGAAAGCAAAATTTGATTAAATTGTATGAGTGGCAAAATGGAGTTGTGAACACGACGGGGGGTTGGTCTTACCATGCCAAAGGTATATGGCTTTCTGTGCCCGAGGAGGATGTTCCTTCGATTACAGTGATTGGCTCTTCTAACTATACAAAAAGAGCATATAGCTTGGATTTGGAGAGTAATGCAGTGGTCATCACTAAAAATTCTGCTTTGAAAGAGCGAATGAGGCTGGAGATTGACAATTTGATGACTTATGCTTATGAGTTGAAATTATCGGATTTCGCGCCAAAACTACAGGACACACGAGACCATGAGCCAAAAGTAGATACACAGGGCAATACGATAGCTCCGCCCCAAACGTTTGCAATTGATGAGGACAGGAGAATCAGCTACAGGGTTCACTGGGCCTTGCGTCTCATAGGTGATAAACTATAGCGCATGAAAATATATTGACAATATACATTTATAAAGATGATATGAATAATTATTCTGACCCATTTTCGATCGTGTCATGAGTGACAACATTGACAAACGAATCAGGTATCACATTTCGATCCGTTTCGCCGTACTGAGACATAATATATTAAAAGTCACTACGGACTTCATCTAATGAATGAAGAGAAATATATCCGTATATATGTTCAGATCAATGAGGCTAAATATAAGGCAGACATGTTATTGGACACAGCCTGGAAAGTCTCTCTTGACACGCATCAGTTTACGGATTGAATGCTATGTCATTAATTCCAAGAAAAAGTTCCCTGGCTTCTTTTTCCAGTAGATCTTTTTTGATACATCCATCTGATTAAAGGAACGAAGCCATACAATAATAAATGAAAAACGTCTGACGCCTCCCAGATACATATTTGAGGTGAAAACTCGGCCCGTCCCCCTTGGTTAATGACGACCTGGACGGTAATCTTGACAAGCATCTGTTTCCGTATTGGATATTACCTCATAGTTTTCTAATAAATCTCCTGCAGTCGTCAATTCAACTCAGATAATTGGAGCGGACTCAAGGAACGCCTTTCCTGCGACTTGCCACATCCTCGATTGTATACATTGAAGATTGTGGTGATGAACCAATTTTAATTTGTTGAGTTTTACAAAGAGTTGTCGAACAGAGTCAAATCTTAGCTCTTGCCAAAAAGTATTTGGAAATTTCACATTTCTTATACACATGGCTAAGGAAAGCGTCTGTGATGTGTCCATTGTTTCAGACTTGGTGTGTGCAAAGATGATGTTTGGCTGTGTCATGGAGATTTTTTTCTTTTAGAACAAAAACCATATCATAGGGTGTCATTTGAGGGATGTAAGAGCCCACCACTAACCAAAAACTATAAAGAGATAACCTATAGTAGATCGCCACATTGTCTCAGATGAGAAGGCGCGAACACCAATACACGAATTCTACCAAAGAGAATGGACTCCTTTCAAAAAGAAGTCTGCCCCTAACCAATGCCAATCATTTGAATAAAATAAACTAAATTTCATCGCCAATAGTATATGTTTTCCCAAGGGTCCGTGACCACAGCTCATTTAACAAGGCGGCAAGTCGTACATTTGTCTTTGCGTCCTGGTACCTTAGCGAATAAACCCTGAGAACGACTTTTTTTTTTTTTGGTAGATTCATCTGATTAAAGGGGCAAAACTATATAACGAATATATATAAAAAACCTTTAAACAGCTCCCAAACAAACTATTCTACGTTTCTAATCAGAGGAGATAGCATCTCCATTAAGTGCATTGGGGCTTGAAAGACGATCTTTTGCCACCAAAAGTGCACAATCTCACACTCATTGTAGATGTGTTTTTTTTTATCATATTATAGAGTGTCACTGGAGAGTAATGTTAAATCATTTTGTATAGCGTATCATCCTTATGCAAGGACAATGCTAATCTTCTCTTTATTGTTAAAGTTGACAGATGTACCATCGCGAACGATAGTGTGGGTTAGCTTCTGATCGCTGTAGCAGCGTTTCAAACACAACCTGTATTCGAGTTCGGACTCCCCGCTTCATTATCATTAAAAAGGAACATAGGAGCCGTGACTATACAGATGGATGACGGAGAGAACCTTTTGCACCAACCATTCTTGTTTGTATAAATTTTTCCAAAATTTCCTCTAGCGTTTCATCGCCTTCACTTCGGGCCAGATCGCAAGGAGATGTCCCAGGCAAGTGGCAGTGGAGCCTACTTAATGGTTCTCATTAGGTAGCATTGTGGGTTTTAAAACATCTCGAATTCTCAATCATCAAAAATGAAACTAGCTAGAGTTTTGGTCTTAGTACCTCGCTTTGTTTTGAGGATACTGTCAACAAATACCAACATTCGCCAAATCCGTGATAGTTTAGTGGCTAGAATTACCGCTTGTCGCGCGGTAGACCGGGGTTCAATTCCCCGTCGCGGAGTTTTTTTAAAACCGAACCTGGCCGTTTCCTGCGCCTCTGGAGATGTCGTCAATGATGTACTTGTTTTAGAAGTATAAACATGATATCAATCGCGTATTTATACTTGGCATGTACTTGAGTACTGTAAAACTTTTATATGAAAACTTTATCCACCAAAAAAGAAGAAAACGAAGTACGCGCCAACATTTATCATGAAAAGGTACGACTATGATATAATTGAAGGTCTCTAAAAGGAGGGTGTTTTGTGAAGTTGTAGACTAGGGTGTGAGTTTGAAGATTATGATCAGTCTTGCAGCTTGAATTTACGATCACTCATAATCATCAAATATTGTCATCTTGCTAAAGCTCTTCTCGCCCATAGCTAGCCGCAGTTCGTAATGGACATCAAGTCTCAACCTATGGCGTGGGCAGGCAGCAAACTATCGCGGCGTATATTACAGCACGTTGAGGGATTTTGTATTATAGAACTCGACTGTGCGCGTACCCCGTTCCAGAAAATACACCCAGTGAAAAAAACAAATCTCAGTTAGCAGTGTTTAACAGCATTTGAGCACTACAGTCATGTCATTTCTTAGCCAGGGGCTTATAGCTCAAGTTGGGACTTCTATCAAGGCTCCATCAGGGGCTTTGGTTCACATTCGTACAGCTACAAAGAAAGTCTCGGGGTCCAAAACTAACAAGAATGATTCTGCTGGTAGAAGATTGGGACCTAAGGCATACGAAAATCATTTCGTAAAAACTGGTCAGATTATTATGAGGCAAAGAGGTACCAAAATACACCCGGGTGAAAATGTCGGGCTTGGTAGAGACCATACAATCTTTGCTTTGGAGCCTGGATATGTTCGGTTCTACTTGGATCCCTTTCACCCATTGAGAAAATATGTTGGCGTAGCATTGAGAAAAGATATTCAGTTACCAAAACCTCATTTCGACCCACGAATCAGAAGATTTGGTTACAAACCCTTGGATCCAAAAAGAGCTGAGGCCGAGATGGCGAGGATGTCAAGAAAAGAACTTCTCGCGCAACCTGAGTTGAAGAAAAGAGCAGAAGAATTTGCTAAAGAGACATCTCTGAAGATTTCTGCTTACTCTGCCTGTATCGCAGAGTTGCTCCCGTACACTGGTGAGAATGATCAGATTTCAGGTGCGACTAGATTGCTTTTTATCGCCAGAAAATTGGCCTTGAATGAAACATACGCTTATGCCAGTGAGCAAGCCACATTCAATGTTGTTCACGAACTAGTTTTACTGAACAAAAGGGGTGAAATTTCTAAAGAAGAACTTAATGAGAAAACTGCAAGCTATATAGCTTTTGCCAAAGACTTTGACTCCAAAATTTCCGTTGACTTTACTGGCGCAGTACACCCCTACTACAATGATGAATCCAGAGCTGCCAAAGCTCATGAGATTAGAGAAAAATTGAAGGAGTTCAAGGAGAAATTGATTGGACCCACTGAGAAATCTCAGATCAGCGATCTTATCTCAGAAGCTGGTATTTTTGATAAAGAAGAGCGTCAAACGTTGACAAGTCAGTACTTGCCCAAGGTTTTACCCGAGTCTGTTCCAGGTACTGTCATCGAAGGGGTTTCAAGCAAGAAGATTCCGAAGAACGCTGTTGCTGTTCGCACGTTCGATTCAAAGAACCGTACAGTGGCGACTGTCCTCAGAACCAAAGATGCATTCCTTCAGTAAATACCATGACTATCTGTACATATTTCCCTATTTAGGCGATTCGAATATACTGTCGTTTATCAATCGTTGTCTAGCGTCGACTGTGACAGGGGCAATGACAATCACAAAAATTCAGATAAAAGTCACCTTCAAGTGCCGGATTTTAGGCTATCTACCGTCATGGGGCCCCGAAAGAGATCAAATACGGTGCAATCACAGAGTGTCATTGTACGAGCTGTCCATCTTCACAGCGTAATGTAATCGATATTATTGAAATGGAAGAGACGCTGAAAATTCTGGATACGCTTTGCGACAAACAATTAGACATTTTGGCCATTGAGAAGTCAACGTTTTCAAGGCATGAGACAGGAGCACAAATCCCAAATAGGGGAGAGGGGGTATATCCTGGTGTATTATTAGGCCCCCTTGTTCTGTGGCATAACTTATCAGATTTGATTAGGTGAGAAGCACAAATCAAATATTAATGTAAAATAAAAATTATCTTACCCCTATCTTCAAAAAAAGCATTCACCACCCACAAGAAAAGAATCTGACTAAATCGTGGTAGAAAAAGTCTCATTTTTGCGGTCGTATTCGATTTGCTGTCGCGGGTACATATCTCAAGCAGGACAGCTCTTAATCAGCGAGTAAGATTTCCTGAACAGGAAACGCGAGTGTAATTTCGCATAGCTATATATATATCCCGCGGTTGTCGACATATAAGAAAGAGCCGATAAGGTGTGGAAAAGTTCTTGCTGTCGGCACCGTAACCAAGAAGTGCACGAAAACAATGATTGGCCTTCCTCTCGATGATGGGCCCGTGAATAAAAAACAGTACGGAGCAATCGGTGCCACAGCTGCGCTTTTGCTCATTGTGCTCTTCGGTACGAATTTGTTTTCTATTTTAAAGATATATATGGTCCCTGTCAGTGACAAAGATATATGCACCATTTGGGATATACAGAGACCGGCTTCGTATGAATCTAACCGGTCGAGTGTCATTGACATTCTTCATTCAAAAGATTACAGACTTTCTTCTGCGGAGGCTCTTTCAGGCATGGTTCAGATCGATACTCAGGTTTTTGACGATCCTCCCCTGGTGGATGAGGCTCCAGAATACTGGCTGAAATTTGAGAACTTCCACAAATATCTCGCCAAAACGTTTCCAGCTGTTTATAAAAATTTGGAAGTCACTCGCGTCAATACGTATGGGCTTGTTTTCGTGTGGAAAGGGGCTGATGACTCATTGAAACCAGTCATGCTTGCCGGCCATCAAGACGTTGTCCCTGTGCAAAAGGACACGTTGAGAGACTGGACATATCCCCCTTTCTCGGGTCACTATGACGGTGAATTTGTGTACGGGCGTGGAGCTGCTGACTGTAAGAACGTTGTACTGGCAATCTTCGAATCTTTGGAGCTTTTGTGCAAAGAAAACTTCCGCCCCGCACGGTCAATTGTTGTTGCTCTAGGATTTGACGAAGAGGTATCAGGATACAATGGTGCACGTTTTATCGGCCAGTACTTGGTCGAAAGATTTGGCGAAGACTCCTTCTATGCGATTATAGATGAGGGTTTTGGACTCACTGTGGACGAAACTACCGGCAGAATTGTTGCTATGCCTGGCACTCGCGAAAAAGGATACATGGATATTTGGGCAGAGCTTATCACCCCAGGCGGGCATTCTTCGATTCCGCCAGATCACACATCCATTGGGATTATGGGAGAGTTGCAAATGGTAATTGAGAAAGATCAATTTGCCCCAGTTTTTTCCCCAGAGAACCCAACATTTGATTACATGCAATGTCTTGCAAAACATGCTGGGGGATCGATGAGCACAAAACTTCGTAAGTCTATTTTGCGTGCTGGTTTTGACAAGCTTGCAAACTCTTATGTTGTGGAAGTTTTGACTAATATAAAAGCTACTAAGTTTTTAATTCTGACTTCGCAATCCATGGACATTATTTCCGGTGGTGAAAAAGTTAATGCATTACCTGAAAGTGTTAAATTACTCACGAACCACAGAATTGCGATCGAGAGCAACGTTGAAGACGTTATGAATCACTTTATCAAACGAGTGGTTGAAGTTGCGAAAAGACATGGACTCGGTGTAAAATCGGGTGATACAACGATCATTGAATCATCTGGAAATGGTGAGTTTAATGTCAGAGATTCGGGTAAAAACTTGGAAGTTGCACCACGTACACCAAACAACGACAATGTGTGGAAAAGTCTTGCTGGTGTGACCAGGCACATATATGAAGATCTTGTATTTCCTGATATGGCAGAGCCATTAATTGTGGCACCAGCAATCATGACAGGAAATACAGACACGAGACACTATTGGACTCTAACCAAAAATATTTTTCGCTATACTCCATTTTTTTCTAGAAGCTACACTGAGGAGTACAAAGTCCATAGTGTGGACGAAAAAATGAGTTTAGACAATCATTTGCGGATTGTCGCTTTCTTCTATGAATATTTGCAGGTGGTGGATAACAAGGAGACGAAAACGAGTAGCAGGTTCAGAAATTCAATGCAAGTTTAACAAAGAAAACGAGTAGCAGGTTCAGAAATTCAATCGCTCAAGAATTTGTAAATTTAATCAACATTCTTAGATCATTAGCCTCTTGATGGAAACCGCTTCAATGTCGGGATGCAAAAGGTTGTAAATGATGAAGATAGTCTCCTTGTTGCCGTTGGATTTTATATAAGATTTGCTTCAAACGTATTGATAGTGTCTAGTAGCCACATTCATTGATGAGAAAAAAGAGACTCTACAGAAACAATATTATGTCATATTTGTAGGTGAAATTGACAGGCGCAACTATCCAGATGTTGTTTTTCCTGGAAATCGCATTAAAGAAATTAGAGCCCAAATAAAATGTCGGGCCGTTTTCGCATCATTATAACATCCGAGATTATCACACGCCACCAACAATAGCTAACCTTAAATATTGTCATACCTGAGAATTCTTGCGGCAGCCTCCTTACCGTAGCTCAATTTCTGGTGTCTGTTGTTACCAGCTTCAGGTGTGGTTCAAGTTCAACTTGAAATGATTTTGAATAACTACCCCTGAAAGGGGGACAGAGATGCAAGTTGCAATCAGGGCAATCCACAAATAAGCATTGGTATATGAGCACATCCCAGATATCGCTCAGTTCAGCTGGGCTTCTTCAAATTCAGTCGCAACTGAAGTAATCTTCAATGTCAACATTTATGTATATGCATATTCACAGAAGGTGGAGTATGTGACACGAATACCAGGAATCCACAAGACAACAAAGTCCCCAAAAATACTTTCACCAACATATTAAAGCACTAGCCAGCAAAAGCTAAGAAAATGCGGCCAGGCGTCTCGTGTCACGGGCCTCCCATTCTTTGACTTATTCTACACCAACGACTCCATGTAAACGTTCATTTGCTATTCTAAAGTACAAAAAATATCAGGAAGATGCAATATACCTAGCTGATCTCCTTCTTTTCCAAAGGATTGTATCTCAAAAACTTTTCGATTAAATCGACGTGAGTCAACACCATTCTTCTGCAGCAGTATCTCTTCAATTTGAGCTGATCCAAAGCATCACCCTCAGTCAAGGTCTCGTCTTGCAATAACGTCAAATATGTCTCCCATTTGTCCCCAACGACCTTGCCGCATGAGAAGCACCGGATAGGAATGATCATTGCGTTATATGTTTTTCAGGCGAGGGTGCAGAGGAACCTTGAACGCGCTACTTTTTCAATGTGTTTTTTTGGCCCGCACAGATGTCCTGCCTCTTCGGCTCACGCTGAGGTAATGAGAAGAGACCAATATCACACGGGATGCACGGGTGTGAGGCTACTCGCATCGCATCTTAGCAGGGCCTCATCACCCTAAATTTTTCATTGGTGCCTTTCCAACGATAGTCTTGATCTGTACTTCAACCATTGATTACTAGTGCATTATGCCAGATTTCTCGGACAGATGGACGAAGTCCATGATTTCAGGGGGTAACCCCTCAATCTTTCCTGGCATGATGTCCCTCCCTGCGATATCCTCTGCGGATGGTAAGCACTCAATCGTCTGTTTGTCACATCAACTTCGAATTTATTTTCTTCAGACAAGACAGTGCATCAGAACAGTCGATGTGGATTTTTCACAGGCATTGGCAGTGCATTTAGACCCGGAGAGTGAAAATCAGATTGTTGTGTTCACGGCAAATGAGATATTCTACGTGAACTGGAGGGAGAAAGTCGACACCCCTGTTGTTGCAAGACAAAGTATTTCACCACCTTTCGAGGGGCTACAAAGCGTTTTTAAGGTCACTACATTGAAGTACTTTGCTGCTGCCAAAGACGACTCCCAGCTCCTGATTTACGCTCTTGATAGAGAAACTGCCGCTGCATCGAAATCGTTTGAGGTGGAGTCTGTCCGTAATTACGCTACCTCGGCCGACGGCCATAAACTTGCTGTGGTACTTGAAAGCGGAGATGTCTGTCTTTACGATATTTCTGCTGTGTGGCTGAGCTGGCTGTTTCATCGGACTTCAAGACCTTGTCTGAGTCCATTGAAGCCACAAAAGAAATGTTTAGTGGGCAAAATAAGTCTGTCACCTGCATTACAGTTTCTGAATCTGGAATTATAGCCATAGGCAACTCAGCAGGTGTCATCAAGTTGATATATGGTGGATCTTCGACTGGCAAACCTCACAGAAATCTCCGTTGGCATATTGATCCTGTGAGAAGCCTTTCATTCTCGGCAGACGAAGTATACTTGGTATCTGGAGGCAACGAGAAAGTTTTGGTGTTCTGGCACTTGGACCTGGACCGTACGCAATTCCTCCCGAGATTGTCTGGTCCCATAGATTGTATATCTGTGGACAAGAACCGTCCCGATCACTACACGGTTGCCTTGTGTATCACTGAAGGCCCCCAGCCTGCTCATGAAATCTTGACTATCCTGGCGGTGGATTTGATCTCGCGGTTATCCGTAAGTCCAGTGTGCCCAAATTTCGCAACACCTGTGCGCCGTGCTGTGGATGTTGCTCGCAAGAATTACCAATCTCAAAATGACGATCTCTCAAGCGTGCGGCACGATGTGACCGCTCCTTTGGCAGTGCACCCAACCTCCAAACATCTTTACTTTGCTCGAGGCTCAGCCATTCAAGCGTATGACATGATACGCGGAGAGCAGGCATTTGTTCAACATGCTGTGATGCAGATCTCTACCGGTAGAGTGAGAAGCGAGCGGAAAGTGGAGGATCCATCTGTGTCTGCCCTTGCATTCAGTGCTGATGGGCAGTGGATGGTAACCTTTGACTCGATGCCCACCCTGGACTTTGACAATTTGATGCTGAAAAAAGATGTCTCTTTCGCTCTCAAATTCTGGCAGTTGAATGAGTCATCGTGGCTGCTTGCGCTGAAGATTGTTGATCCTCATGGCGCAGGCATAGAGGTCGGAGCCATTGTCACGCCAGGTGGGCATACCTTCACGACTGTAGACAAGAAGGGTGGAATTCGCGTGTGGAAACCTCGGGCTAACCATGTTGGCGGACTGTCATCAACTACTGCCACAGCAGGGGCACCAAACACGGTAACCCAAACAGTTTGGACGCTCCGTAGGGCCAACCCGCCAACAGCCACAGTGGCCCCTGTCGCGGCATGTTATTCTCCTGACCGTTCCCTCTTAGCAGTGTCTCATGGGTCTACGGTGAGGATTCATGAGCCAGAGCTGCTACACGCTACCGAATTTTCTCTTCCAGCTATGGAGTCTTTCATAGAGTCCCTTTCGATTGTGGGTACCTATTTGATAATTGTGTCTCAAAGAAAGATGATGCTGTTCGATTTGGTCTCCTCCTGCGAAACCGACTTGTTTGCTCAAATGTGCGCTCCCGGAGCAAGAAATTTAGTTGCAGTTGATTCGGCCAAGCAGCTTGTTGCTGTTGCGGTCAATCAATACTATACCGAACCTGAGGTTTCGCTCCGGGGGAAAGTTCTAATTTTCCGTCCGGATTCGATCGCACCGGTGTTCGCGACGGAACATTCCCTGGCAATCGCATCTTTGGTTTGTACTCCTTCTGGCTTCTTGTTTGTTGACACCGATAGCAGAATAGGTCTTGTCGCTCCTGAGGTCAGGCATGCTTTGAGCGGAGCAGCCCATGATGATTTGTCTGCCCAAATGAGCAAGATGTTAGTGAACGCACAGGCAACAGCCAATATTTTGTTTGCACGCTCTGCTGAAGAGTCTACACGCCCTATTGCCAACGACGACAGCGATAAATGGACAGCCTACAAGGCTGTGGATGTGGCTGTCTTGCAGCCTATATTTTCTAACATCGAAGGAGTCAGTTTAGATTCGTTGTTTGAAAGAGTTGTGCGGGCGGTTCAATGAGAAATTTCAGCCATCAATTCGCCTACAAAGGCTCATATAGAACCCGCATTAAATGTACATTATTTCATGATATTGCCTTCAAAACTTGCTACCACCACTTTCCCGATGTTTGAGATTCTTCTTTGTGACCACGAATGGCAAGGACCCCTTCGATTTTGCTCAAAGCTGTTTCAAGTAAATCTTTTCTTTCTTGAAGCTCTATATGTTTTCTCACTTTAGGGTCTTCTTTGGCAAAACTTTCCAACTGATCCCTGCTCATATTATTGAAAAACTCGTCGTCGAGTTTCCGAGGGAAATTATAATAGAAGTCACTAAGAAGTTCAACATTCAAGAACAAAATTGCAGTCGAAGTGAGTTTCGTTGAAACAGCATCAAGAAAAATCTCGGGACATTGGTACTTGTTATCCTTACTTTTGCATTTCTTTGAGTTTTTCACAAATTGATAACGCATCTTGAGAAGCTTCATACGTTCCTGAAGAAATAGAGCGTACTGGCCTGTTTCTATAAGACCTTTCGAGAATCCCAATGCCTCTCTGGAATCCACTAGTTCGTCGGATTTTTTGAAAGACTTGAGTTTTTCCAAGTATCTCATAACTTGCAGCAATTTTCTCCCGCCAATTTGCTTTTTTAATGACGATTGGACATGGTCACATTGCCTCATTTCTTCACGGAGTAGCTCGACAGCATTGTCTTTGCTGCTTGCCCATTCCCTGTCTTCTATTTCCACCTCATATTTATAAGGTTTGATGCAATTTTCAACTTGATCTGCAGTAAAGTAAAATTTCGCTTTGAGGACTGCTTTCGCGGAATCTTCAACTGCTTGTCGGGCCATGGGATGATTTGCGAGTTGCGTATTCTCCACCAAATTGTTGATTTCTGTCACCATAGCATCAGAAACCAAAGAGGTAGACAAGCGCCCAACACCAAGCTTTGTTAAGGAGTTTGAAGCTAGATCTAACTTTTTGTGCCAATAGCTATCATCCTCCACAGAAGAGAGCTGGCTCAACTCCCTCAAATTCGGATCATTAGAAGCGTATTGAGATTCTTTTGACGAAAATCCAGAAAACTTGTTCCAATACCGCTCTGCTAAAATATCAAGAACCTTTTGGTCGAGTTCATTTTTCAATAGAGATTTGAGCTCACCTCTCGAAAAGTTTTGACTCAATTCCTTGATTCCCAATTTCAACATATCAATGTTGTTTGCCAAATACATTTGAGGTGTGAGGGGCCGATCGTTGAATTCAACTTTGAACTTGTAAGCAGTCTCTTCGAGCTCGCGTTGGATTGCAAGGTGAGTTGGACGAAGAGAAGCAGACATGGATTTCTCCAAAACTTTCATGAGCTTCTTCTTCAAATTTCTTGACCCAGTCACAGTGCCAGTAAAATCTTCCCGCCTCTCTTTGAAAAAATTAAATTCGAAATTTTGTTGAGCCACATAAGCCTGAAACCCGGTTATCTGTTTCCTACTGAACAAGCTGGTAGATGAAGCTTTTGCGGAGCTGGGAGCCCTTGTAATAACTCCGACGTAGCCCATCTTTAGTGGGTATTTTCGATTGAGCAAAATCCCGCGTGCTTTTTCAGGATCGACCAAGTCAATTTTGGTAATCACTCCCAAAGTTCTTTCACCCCTGGGATCTGCTAACTTTGCAGCTCGCAAAGCTGAAGAATTTGCCAAGTCGACATCGGCCGCAGATATAGCTAGAATGATGTTCGGGGCTTCGAGATAACGATTGCAAAGACCTCGAATCTTTTGTTTGAGTTCAGTAGGCTGATCTGACGCCTCAATTTGAATGTAGCCTGGAAGGTCGACCAATGTTAGGTCAGGAACCTTAGGAGAGCGGATTGTGATTTGGATGGGGTCGTTCGATACACATTCACTGGCTGGAACAGCCATATTCAAGTCAAATAGTGTTCTTTGCACTTGCTCGAAGTCTGTGACATTAAAAATTTTCAAGGCAGGAAACTCTGCAGTCTCACATGCGGACTCAGGAGAGTTCACGAGGGTCAATTCAATAGGGCGCCTCGTAACCATATTGTTACCTTTGGGTAGGAACTCGTGGCCTACTATGGACTCAAGCACAGAAGACTTCCCGCTTGATTGTGAACCAACCACAACGATGGATGGTAGCTTCATGGTTTCGCTGTCGCTATCAACTCGCGTCAAAATATTCCGAATCTCTATCATTTGCCTGGTCAAATTTAGCATGTCATCGGCTGTCTCATCATTGCTCAAGTCAAGAGAATCTTCTTCAGATTGGTCTATTAGAGTTTCTTCGTCTTCTTCGTCAAACTCATCCTCATCTTCCACGGCAGTGTCATTCTCTTCCGTACTAAGACCCATTGCGGCGGCTGTTGCCCCTACGGCAGCTGTATCATTGCCAGTTCCGTTTCCTCCGCCACTGCTGGAGCTGCTACTACTTCCACCATCACCTGTGGTACTAGACCCTTTCAAGAATTGCCCGGTCTGATCAAAGATGTCGGCAGTGTAGTCTTTCAATGAGGTAATTTTGTCGCTGGTGTAACTAGAAGCTTGTTCCACTTTATAGGCAACATATGTACCACCAGCCGCAATACTACCTCCGATATATCCAGGAATCTTTGCTGATCTAGCTAAGATTTTGATGAATCCAATGTTTCTATGCGCCACTAGGAGGTTGACCTTCGAGCCCCTTGTAATTGAAGAGAGCCCGGGCCGAATACTAAGTAGGGAGAGGTTCCTTGAGGTTCCAACCATGAATTTAAGCCGAAACTTTGCTCCTAAAATGGAACCGGAAGACATCATTGATGAAATAAAAAGGAAAAAATGTTCCCAGTAAGATGTATAGATCACAGGTCTTATGCGGATCCCTAGGTACATGAATCACGTGAGATCAGATGTTCAGAGCAAAAAAAGGTCCTTGCCCCCTGCCAGAATTGAACTAGCGACCTTTGCATTACAAGTGCAACGCTCTACCACTAAGCTAAGGAGGCGAATTGTGATTAGCGTGTGATGTGACTTTTTAATAAAGCTTTTTCATCAGCTTAAACTTTGTTTTTGAGGGGATATATAAGCGAAATCAAATGATTTCTATTCCTCAGAATGATATCTTCCCGAACTGGGCTCAAAACAAAAACTAGGGTATACATATGCGTCCTGTAGCTGGCTCCTTAAGTCCGCTGCAACCATCTGAGTTGAAGCGACTACTACAGGAGACTTATCCTAGGAGTCAATGACGTAATATCCTATACTTAAGCAGATGCGGGCCAAACCGACCGCCCAGGCCGTGACTAACGGAAGGAGGCCGGCCAAGTTTCGACACTTGGTACGTATCTGAGAGCTGTTTTAAGGTTTTTATACATATTGCTCCTTTAATCAGATTAATATATCAAAAAGAAACGAAACAATTGTGGAAACACTTATTGAAAGCATTTAATAAAGTAGAACGATTGAAGCGGTCTGATTCATCATCATTTCATTTCTTCAACTGTTGATCATACGTCCCCCGTCAAGCTTTCTCCCGAGATGAATTCATATACAATGCTACTTTTGCTTACTAAAGTTTTCCAACAATGGAGACGCCACCGACGCTCTCCTAGCCATCTCTATAACAATTGAAAAACATCCAAACACTGCTGGTGAGAGCTCAACTCTGCCTTACCTATGAATGCAGATGAAATTTTACTTCCGGTCCACAGCTCGTTGAAAAGCCCAAATTTTTATAGGCCCTTTACCACATGAGCCTACCAAGAAGTAAATACCCATATATAAGAGGGATCTACCAAATAATTAGTAGGCTTTTTTTATCCTAGCTGGTCTCGGAACATTCAATGCGTAACCAGATTTTTCTCCAGAGTGAATGTCCAGGCCAAGTATAGAGGAAGAGAATGAGCCGTAGTTCAACTTCAAATAAGTACTTGGGAGCTATATAAAGCTATTTCTAATATTCTTCTTTGTTACTTTAATCGGATGAATCCAACAAAACAAAATCACATGGACCAACAAAAGACAAACTCTACGATATCCATTGAGCATAAAAATATGAGTGGCAGGGGCTTCAGCTTGCCAATCACATGAAGCTCAATAAGATGTTAGCTTCAGTCAAAACCTTTCGAAAAAATTTCGAATTGATCCGGGATCACAATTTGAATGTATGTGCTCGAAGAGGCGACCAGGAATTTGAAGTAAGCTTCCCAAATATGAGTCATACGCCATCAAACTATATGGAAAGTACTTGTGTAAGCTATACATACCAACAATGTCTCAAAGAAATCCCACAACCTCATTCTTGAATGTGAGGTTTCTTAATCTTGCCGACGCAAAATTCATAGTGCAAAGGAGCTCACAGAAATATTTGGTCAATGAAGATGTCATTCACAGTTTCTTCCTCGGGCATTCAAGCAAAAAGGAAGGTTTATGCATTATGATTCATAGAAGCGTAAATCATATCTTCAGCCCTTCTACTATATGACATGTGGTCACGAGCTCCGCTTCAAACAAGTGATTTACGTCACTATATGCACCACTCTTCGACGAAATCCCCAGGTTGGGAAATTCTAAGACCGAGCCTTGTCCTGGGAGATTCATAGAAGGTTACATATGGTTAAAGCTTGTTTTACTTTGGAACACACTCGCTAATAGTGACCCACAATATCATGCTTCTGTCGCTGAACTAGAAATGTGACTTCGCTTGAATAATAAACCCTTCAGTTAAGAAATGATCGGATGATTCATTCCCTCCCATCCCCTCTCTTTTTGGATAGGTGAGCGAATTACTTCACAATCACCTCACGTCTGACCCCTTTTGTTCGCTATCATAGCACTCTTTGAGTGAGATTGAAGAAGTCCTTTTAGAAGAGGGGAGAGCCGTCAGTGACACCTTACAAGGTTTTCTTCTCATCCCAACTGTGCGTGGAGGTACTGTCACTACTGATTTTTGTTTCTCTTGAAAGACATCTAATCCACGCTCTAAGTTCTTCCCCAGAGACATCAGAGGTCCAAAACGAGATACCATAGAGGCAACATGTGCTTTTATACGATAGCTTTCCTGAAGTGAAACCCTTAAGGTGAAATCAACGTGATGGAAGAGCAATTTTTAGGAGACATCGTATCATTTATGTGAGTTTACTCCAATCTTTTCGGGTTCATGCTCGGAAGAGATTGTCTATAAGGGAACGTTTGAAAGAGACTCAAACGAAGAGCCCAAGACAATTTTTTTAAAATTCGATTATTGTACGTCTGCCTGTCTGTAGGTTTTAAATGAGGGGAACTTGGCGAATGTATGACCAGATCAATTAATCTCTTCGGGAAAAAAAGGGTTAGACAGCATATGTGGGATTTATAAAATCCTTATTTGGAGGACTAGTTTAAATTGCAAAATTAAGTGACCACTACAGGAAGAAGACTTTTGGCGAGATCTTGTGGTGGATGTTAGGGATGTAGACCACACTCTGCTGGCGTGAGTGTCTTTTATACTAAAAAGCCAGGACGACGTATATCGACATAGAAATGTTTATCGACACCAAGAAAGCAATGTGTGCCTCAATTCTGTTTCGGAAACCCCTTTCACGTGTTTATTACTGTCGTTTCACCAATTGTAATTCAAAATGACCAAGCTTACATTACCTTAGAATCACAAATAAATAGTATTTGTGAAAACACGTGATAGTTTGCTTGGCCACTCACTGAACTTTACAATTGAAATGTACTGGTTTGCATTAGATTCGTAAACGCACAACTTAGCACAACCAAGCCTCGATATTCTGCAATATTCGGGAGTCTCTGCCTCTATTCAATAGGAGGCAAAAGGATTTCCAGCGGTTTTTGCGGGGACGTTCTGATTCGCGAACGATCAGCTGCTTACCTTATCTTCGGCCGCCAATTTAACTTTTTTTTCTTGTATGCGTGATAACCCTCAGCCCTCACACTCCTCTGTTTAGCGCATCGAAACCAGCTTGGTTGCCACCAAAGCAACGGATAAAAGAAATCACTGCGCATTACAAAAAAAAAAAAAAAACATCACCACCCATATAGCACCATGCAATATTCTAATTTTTGGTGGTTTTTTGCAAAGGTTGTAACGGGATCGCTCTCTCCACATATATCACTTGTCGGATTCTCTGCAGGTTTTACGAAACGTATATGCGAGAACGCTCGGTCTTGTTTCTTATCACACCCACTTTTTATTTCGTTTTTGCCACGGCTGCACCTCGCGTGAACTAAAGAGCTTGTCATGGATCCCGCAGCGCGAAAACCGCACGCTCAGGTCTCGTCATCTTTACTTGCACGCTTCCCTATAAAAGCCTCAACACTTTTCACAGTCAGGATCCCGACGTCCTAGCCCAACAGCTCACCATTTTTTAGAAAGTTTCTCCATATCAACAACCACGGTGATACAAAAAACGTCAACATGAAGGTGATGATTGGCATTGTCAAAAGTCTAGAGCGATCAAGATCGCAAAGAAAGAAAGCTCTCCTTCTGAAACACAAGCATAAGCTGAAGTCGCTGTCTCGGAATTGTAATCTACTATCACTTGAAACTCTGTCTGTGAGAGACTGTGGTTCCATCGACAAGATTCGAATCAAAAGCACTGCTAGCATATCTTTAGAAAACATCCCAATACCTTCCTCTCTGCCCCCAGCATACGATGAATGCATTCGAGTCCAACCGCCGACTATGACCGGGTGCTCCAGAGTAAGTGACTACGCAGAAGAGAAGATCCCGCCAACGACGGCACCTGAAGTCTGCAACGAAATCACACGTGGAAGAACATCGCAGGTGGTGTACCGATCCCAACTTAGTGGCTTAGCAAAACGAAAGTCGATCAGACGGCCATCTCCACCTCGCAATGGAACAAAATTGCCTCTGGAGTTTGGTACTGTCGATGGACCCGTAGCTTTGAGGGTTCAATGTTGTGTACAGTCGTGGTGGAAAAGTCTCGCTATAGTTCAAATGATTGGGTTGCTTGTCGTCTTGATGTCATGTTTTCTTTTAGTATTGGGATATTAAGTGACTTACAGCGGGCTGTGAGTCTCACATAATATGGCCCTGGAATTTTTGATTCAGTTCGTTTTTGGCTTCAGGTTTGTCACCCAGATCGTGTTTTCATTCATATTTTTTTATAAATTCAAATTATATTATAATGCATGGTTAATTAGAGTGGCTTTCTCAAGATACGAATTCCGTCATTGTATCAGCTGATCGCCAAATGTTGCATATGACGTGGTTCGCAACATTCTGCTGTCCCCACAATTACACTGAAGTTGTATCAATTTGGAGCGATTGATACTACAAACTATTAAACTGGCTATGATCCAATTTGAAAACCTGGTAGCACTACTATCATCTACAAAGTGGGACTTTGAAGAGCGAGGATTATGACCATAGTTTGACTATCTCCAAACTTATCAACGCGCAGTGAATTTGTTGTCAATCCGGAACCGGAACCGGGTCATCGTGCGAACCATGGAGAGCTTTCATGTGGTTCCACTTTTTCTGTACCCTGGGATAAAGATTGCAGGCTGACCGCTTGCGGAAATCCCATCTCCAAAATCCCCAATGGACATTTCCAAATCCGAACTCCCCAATTTCTGGGCCCACTTCTTAAGATTTCATTTTTTTGTACTTTTTCTTGAAAGCTGGGGTAAGTTGTGGTGACGCGTGCCAAAACGCGAGTAGCCAAGACTCGCCACTCAAAGTTTCTCATTTAAAAATTTTCTCATTAAAATATAATATACATCCAGAAATAAAAATCCCCCAAATGTCCAAAAAAATACTCTCGAGTAAACTTTGGACTCCCTAGAATTAAATGAATGAAGCAGGCCTCTCAAAAGACATCTTCAATAGAGCAAATCGCACTGTGCCTCTCGTGGTGATGACGCATAGGTGAAGAATGATCGCCTCCGTCCTTCACTGAAATATCTGCACCTAGAAGGGATTCTGTTGATCTATTTGCATGTGCTGACGAAAGGATGTAGCTTGGCATTTCGATATCATCATCGGAGTCGGAATCGGAAGAAGACACCAGATGTGTAAGCTCAGGTAACGCATCTTCATGTTCCTCGTATATCACCAGTAGCTGGCTGTCGTCGGAAAGGTCAATTGTAGGCATTATGTTTTTGTGGGCGTAGGAAAGAGAGGTCATGTTCTCAATTTCTTCGTCTCCTTCATCTGAATCCGACGAAAAATAGTAGTCATCGTCATCATTGCCGGAAGCATACTCAACGTTGTCGGCCTCAGATTCTGAATCCGAGTCAAAGTCTGAGTCTGAGTCTGAGTCCACCTCGTACTCTGTAACGTTGGGTCCGTTGGTTTGCTCGATTGCAGAGTGCTTTTTGTAATTGTGGAACTGTGGCGTGGAAAAAGAGACGCTCTTTTTGTTTCTCATCTGTTCGGTCTTGGAAGAAATATGATCCATTATGTTATCAAGCATATTTGCTTGAAGAACTAACTGTCTTAGTGAACTTGTGGGGCTCGAAGCTTGCTTCGTTAGCTTCGATCTCACTTTAGAGGCTAGAACATAGGAAGAGGCAAACGACATGTCATCAGTTTCGCTCATTTTCAAGGTATGATTTTATTTGGGGCGCAATTTATAAGCGTAGTGGCACTAATGCATAAAAAGGGACAAGAGTCTCTAAGGTCAAAGTATTTATGAATTGAAATTCCAAACTCAAGGGGCCGCTTGCGCGCGAGAGTTACTTATAAATATTGACAATGCGCCCACAGATTAGTCAGAGAGAGCTTCGGCTCGGATGACAAATAATGGCTTCGTTGCTAGAATTAGGCGCGGTGCATATGTCGGAGATGGGGGTAGAGCGATGCGCATTGACTTGCATCTTCATTTTCTCGGTCGGAAGAGGTCTCAGATAGCCGGGGACATATTTTGAAAGCCGAGCAATTTACTGCACATTTAAGGTATAGACTTTGAAGTAGCAAAATACCAAGGAGGCCGCCAAGTTTGGAGGAGAGCTGAGACGAATAACCATTGAACTACTTTGAATGAAGATGCCTTCTAAGTCGGCTCTCAGTTGCTCGGAATTAAATCAAAAGAGGTAATTTCCGGTTTGTTAGTTGCGCGGCTAGAATCAATCTGCGAAACTACCGATAACCTGGTGAAGCTAGGACCTTTCCATTTGAAGAATTACATCGGCAAGTTTTGTCAGGCAATTCCAGGTGTTCTTCAATCACACAGGAAAATCAGAAGGGCTGTTTTCTTCAAAATAAAAATAAAAAAAGAGAACGATTGTCAACTGGAGAAATACATTTGAGCAAGGTAAATGTTATAGTATCAGCCAGTAATCATCAAAATTCGTGGCTTGATACATTGGGCTAATAGGGTGTTGAACAGATTTGTACGCAATTGGTTGCTCTCATGGAGTCAAATCAGCGCTACAGTAATTTTGCACAATCTGGCCATATTCTTGCAGCACATCTTCGTGCAGTTGCTACCAGTAGCATATTTTGCAAAGACACATATGTCAAGTTTTCCGGTAGGTCTGCGCTATTAACCATGTATTTTTCGAAAGGTTGCTTCCGCGGAGAGCGCTTTTTTGGATGGTGTTGCCGGATTTGTTCCGGATTTCTCAAACTGCCGCCCGAGAGATTCCGCAAGAATCTGGCCCGCGAAAAAATGAAGGCAGGCCTGGATCCACAATGATGTCATCTTCTAATTTCTCCATGGGGTGCAACACCTATTTTCCGATGAGCCCAGAAATAATCGTGACGTAATCACCATTGAAAATGCTAATGTCCAAATTCTGTCAAGAAAAAATATCTTCGGGCTTTGACTTTTCAACTGACTTCACCATAGATCGGATTCTGGGTGGCACTCCTACGAAATAATTACTCGGAAAACCAATCATCAACGTTGAATTGTTCGTCGAAATTCTGACCGGGATTTCTTCGGTTAAGTATCTGAAAGTTCTGATTTGATTTTCCGCTCTACTCTTTGACAGTTGAAAAGTGAGAGTGTTAGTTCGCAATCATTGAAGTTGAATACCTCACAAACATAATACGTAGACTTTCTCGCCATTCCATTTGGGGGCACAGTGTTCTCAAATGAAACGAAACAGCCCATTGCTCAAGGATATGGAGCAAGTACAGGCTTAGTTCAGTCTTCTTTCTTCATAAATCAAGACTGAGATAACGTTCAGTGAAACTTGAAGGTGCCATGTTGTACTAAAATCCTGGACAAGGCTTTTGGGTCTCGTAGTATGAGTGAAAACTCATTGAGCCTTGAATTACGGAAGTATCTTCTACAATAGATATCGATGAGTATGCTGTATTGTGAACTAATATACACGATGTTTAGTCGAACAAGCCGAAACCCATGTCGTCGTCAGACTCCTCAGCAGCCTCCTCAACCTTCTCCTCAGCGGCAGCCTCGGTGGCACCACCAGCAGCAGCGGCAGCAGAGCCAGAAGAGGCAGCAGGAGCAGAAGCGGCGAAAGAGAACAACAACTCCTTCAAGTCCTTACCCTCCAAAGCTTTGGCAAAAACATCAGCCCAGACGTTGTCAACGGAGGCACCAGCGGCCTTGGTGACAGACAACAAGTTGTCGGAGGAGATTTCAACCCCAGCGTCGGCAAGGATCAAAGCGGCGTAAGAGACAGAAGCTTCAGCAGACATTATTTAATGATGAGTGGTAGGCTAACACCGGCGAAACACTTTGAGAATCTACTTCAGAAAGAATTTTTTCGGTCACGTGACTTTAGAGAAAGACAGTCACAATTCGAAGCGCGAGTTATAATGTACATGAATATCACAAGTTGGTGCACGGGTGCATTTGTCTCAGGACTGGATCACCGGCCTTGTTGAAATGGACTTCATAGCTACATAACCTGCTAAAAGCATCTGAGAATGTCCCTCATCTCCTAAAATTTTATAGATTAAGGAGTCTGGTTTGACAACGAAAGATGGAATAACACAAAAAGAATCAAACGTATTCTGTCAGGTCACAAACTAAAGTTATTTGAGAATTCCAAGATAGTGAGTGCGCAGCGTGAACCAACCAGTGGCCTTTCCTGCATTGCGCTGATGGTTCATCTTACTTACTAGACTTGCACAGCCATGTTTCGTCTCCAAAACTCGATTTTTCGCCTGCCTAGAAGCTCGGTGTTAAAAGCCTTTAAACTGCCTTCAAGCGCTTTCTGGAGCGGGTTCTCGTCTAACAAATTTTCCCCCATTGCCTTTCCTCGTGCTGTACGCCCCTCCTCCACTTGGGCACGCTATAATCGCCACTATGGCCGCAACAAAATTAACTGGGGCTCCCTAGGAAAGCCTGCCTTGTTTACTGCAATATTTTGCATCTTCACTACTGTCTCCACGCCGTATGTGATGCAACTACCTGTTTTATCCTACTTCAAGTCACATCCTAAGGCAATAGTTCACGCCATTATTGGTTTAAATGTGGCTGGATTTTTAGCCTGGAGAAGTCCTCTCACGTCAAGATACATGTCACGTTTCGGTCTTCTAATGAAAGATAATATCAGAACTCAATGGGCTTTGTTGGGCTCAGCGTTCTCCCATCAAGACCCATTCCATCTATTGTTCAACATGCTCATGCTCTATTCCTTCGGAACTTCCTTTGCCATGTCCATTGGATCGTCTAATTTTCTAACCATGTACCTCAATTCGGCTGTCATATCCTCTTTTATTTCAATAGCCATTCCAACAATAATGAGAACTTCCTTGTCAGTGGCTTCTTTGGGAGCTTCGGGGGCGCTTTTCGGGGTCTTTGGAGCTTTTTCTTACCTTGCTCCTAAAGCGCCTGTCGCCTTGTTCTTTCTCCCAGTCCCGGGAGGTGCCTGGTTTTTATTCTTGGGATCCCTTGCTATCAATGCTGTGGGGATTGCATTCAAATGGGGGCGTTATGACTATGCGGCTCACCTTGGTGGAGGTTTAGCAGGAGCTGCTTACGGTTGGTATTTATCAAAGCTTCGCGAATCTAGAATCAGATCACGGACCACTCGTTTATTTTGATCGCCAGAATGTACACAATTATTGACTAGTTTCTAGTGAGTAGATTTCCTCCCTTCGTTTTCTCATTCTATTTCCTTGGATATGATTGATCAAACAATCTTGCCCAATGTTTCGTGGTGAAAGAGTTTTGACAACCTACGCTCATTATCGCTGATTCTGAATAAAAGGAATTGCATCACAATCCTGATAACCCATATTTTCGCCTATTCATGAAACTTGCACTCACTTGCCAAAGAATGGATTCCATTGGCTTTGATGATCTGGCTGTCTCCTCATGCGAACGAAACAGATTTCTTTGACTTTTGTTCGGATGAACCGCCTTCGTCTTCAGACTTTTTAGCATCGCGGGCATTTTTTCTTCTCGCAGCCCTCGCAACATTGGCTTTATTTTTGATATCAGCCTTCTTGTTCTCTAATTTGTCCACCTTTGCTTGCTCTTTTCTTTCTAAGTCTTGACGTTTTAACTCGCGGATTTCTTCTAATCGTCTGGATTTTTCTAATTTCGATTCGTTCACCTGATCGTATTTATCATTGATGCTTTTGACAAGAAGATTGAGTTTTAAGCTGTCATGATCATCCACGAATTTTTTACCTTTCTTCCCTTTCTTCGCTTTGATCCCGGGAACAACTGCTTTGTTTAGCGTAGGTATTTCAAGCTGATCTTCTCTGTATTCCTTTCCATTCTTGGCCCCGTACAACCGAATTTTAGCTTGCTGTTTCTTTACCGCTTGCTTGGAAGGCTTCTTCACTCTGGACTTTTCCGTGAGTTTAGGTTGATTTTGCAAAAGATTCCTGGCCTCTGAGTCCGTAGTCACCTCACTCAGAATTGAGCGGGCTTCATTTTTTCTTGCTCTTTTCTTGGCTGTTTGTGAAGGCCCTGCTGCCATTGTATCTTCTTGTCGTTAATAGTACAGAATAAGTAGTGTGAAGTCTTGATGTCATCTCATCTGACACGTGATATATCATGTGACCTGCGGGTCTCCTGTCGGTAATTGTATCATATTGAGAGTTGATCGCCAGAATGTTCATACCATACCATGTTACTTAATAATTTCTTGTGAGAAATGCCATCGAAAGTTGACAGTGATCTCTATACTTCAAAAGTGTTAGAAACCACATTGAATCATTTTCTTTATTCTTTAATATAGAAAATTAATGCATCTTATAAATCAAACCAGATTTTTTTTTTTTGCCTTAACTTTCTCCGAAAAAAAATTAATAAACAATGCAAAAATTGATAGAGGGCTTTGTCTTCCAATATATCGGTTTAAGCACATGACGAGTGTTATTATCTGTAAAATTGGATTTCCTTTTCTATTTTTTGTTTGCTTCCCTGGGGATGTTCACAACGCAGGTACCAAGCGAAGACTACAGTTTTCCACGTGATGAGAATCTTCGATATCATTTGGCTAGAAACACATGTATAATTTTGGGAGAAACATGATAAATGTATACCCGAGATAACGGTGGACTACTGCTTATGTGTTCACCCTACAAATCAAGAAGCCGAGTTGAATCTGCGGGCTCATCACCGAGCTGCATTTGAGCTTCTTGTCTAACCGAAAAAATAATACTGAACACAGACCGTCCTGTATGCTCATAGGATACAAGCAAGTACCAAGGCTCTTCAATCCTCTTGTAGCAATTCTCTGGGATTTGCAATCAAGGATATGTTGAAACTCGGGAAAGACCGGGAAATGATACACTTGAAAAGTTACGCAACAGACTGATGGAAAACAAAGAAAAAGAAAAAAAAAATGTTGTGGATTTTCAAATGAAGAAGGGTACGTTCCAAAAAATGGTGATCGTAGATATTTCGCAAAAAACGTTAATGGTCACACTGGTATAGTCTAGCCTGCATTTGGCTGGCAAATTCTGCATTTTAATGCAGGATATCGGATATTCCCGAGCGATAAGGATACCTGTGTCTACTCCCTGGGTAAAGTTGTGGTTTGTCAGAATCCATCTGACATCAAATCTGACATGGCATCCATTGAATTTAATTGGAATGTATTTCCGAGTACCAAGACAGACGAGAAAAACATGGTAACACCATTGGGGTGTATTGTGTCTCCGTTTCATAATTCTGAGGTGCCTCTATCTACCTCAGAACCAATCGCGTGCTCTCTGTGTGGAAGCTACATAAATCCACACATTAGGGTCGATCGTGATAATCATTCATGGTGGTGTCCTATGTGTTCAAAGATCAGCTCACTTCCCAGTAGCTTTGAAATCCATGATAAGGACAGCCCGAACCTGAAAATAGCTGTCGAAATAACACCTTCATCATCCAACACTATTGACTACGTCCTACCTTCAGACATAACCTCAAGCAAATCATTGGACAATGATTTCATTCTTACTTATGTCATTGACTTGTATCAGAATATTGACTCACTAGCATTGCAAGAGATCGATTCACTCTTACTGACTGTGGCGGGTAGTATTGCCAAGCTTCCGGAAAATACTCAGATATTGCTTATTACATTCAGTGATTGTGTGCAAATTCATCAACCAGGGATCAATAAATCTGTAAGTGTTCTGCCCAAAGATATGAAAAAGGAAAATGTGCCCTGGTCTGAGGCTTTTGAAGATATTCACTTCTTTGACAATTTAATAAAAAGGCTTTGTCAGAACGGGGGCATCAACGAAAATGACAAACTTAATCTATCACATTTTAAAGCTCTACTGGCGCCGTCTGAGATGCTCGCTTCATATATTAGAGATCTTAAGCCAAGATTTACCAGAGATGTCAAGCCGAATCGGTCAACAGGGTTGGCCAGCCTTATTGCAGTATCCCTATGCACCAAGTTTGCTCGGCCAAATTCTCAAGGAAAACTAATGCTATTTCTCGGAGGCCCAGCGACTCTAAGTCCGGGAAAAATCGTCTCTAAGAAAGAGAATATACGATCGCATAACGATGTTGCGAACTTTCGGGCTCCACATTTTCTTTCCGCCTCAAAATTTTATAGAACTCTCTCCTACATGACTGTCGGATATTCACCAAAAGAGGCTTATACCTCTGTATACTCTTCAACTGGAAAACTTGTTGATTTCGCTGTTTCAGAAAATTCGCCAAAATTTTCGATTGACATTTACACCGGGTCTTTAGACCAGGTAGGTGTCTATGAAATGAAGGCAATGGTGGAGGCGGGTGGAGGAAATATATTTATGGCTGAAAATTTTGCTTCGACAGATTTGCAGAACTCCTATGACCAAAATTTGCGAGTACTACTCAATGCCAACCACATATGCAAGTTGACAGTGATACCTTCCCCCAGCCTCAAAGTAATGAAAATTTTGGCCAACTGCACTGAACTTCAATCATCATTTCAATCGGAAAAGTTCTCTTCATTGCATCATGAGAAAATTTCAGATACAATAACATCGTTTGACTCTAGTTTGAAAAAGAGGAATATCACCAACCAATGGTTCCTTGGTAGCGTTTCTTGCAATGATTCTCTTGCCCTTTTTTTCGAAATGAATACTGCATCATCGTCTTCAAAGAAACCCGAAAATTCTAGAGGAAAAGGCGAAGCGGTAATTCAGCTTCAGTTTAAATATTGGAGCATGTCCAAATGTACGATGATGTTGAGGGTTGTGACAATCAAGAGGCCAACAACTTTGTCACTTTTAACATCGAAACAAGCTACTATTTCGGCCGAGCAAACTGAAATTCTGAACTTGAGTGTTCAGGTGGCCAAGGAATTGAAATGGTTGGAAGGATTCTGTGGTAGAGTTTGGATTGTTTTACTAACTAGACTTCTCATAAGCAAGATAGACACTGCCATTGGGTTTGAGAATTTTGAAAGTATTGTGAATCAAGTGGATGATTCCATAATAAAGCTTCTTTCAAGAAACGGAGGAGTACGAAAAAAGTCCAAATCCTTTGAAAATCCCTTCACAAAGTTGACTCAAACCTCGATCTTAAGTGAAAGATTTTCTCATCTACCAGCTTTGGCATATGACTTGCGTCAAAACCTTCAGCTCATGAACATTTTTAATTGTTCTCCTGACGAGACTGCGTACCACCATCTAAATTTTCTCAGGTGTAATTCAGTTCTTTCTTGTAAGATGATCTCTCCAGCACTTTACCGAGTCACTGGAAATCAATTACTTGATGTCCCCTTGGATCGACAAAGTCTCACATATCTGCTGTTTTTTATTCTCGACTGTCTTGATCTGATTCTCATCTACAATCACTTCACTTGTGCTCAAGATGAGCTACCGCTTCACCCCTCGTTGAATGATCTGAAAGTTTTGGGAAATTCTTGCACAAGATTTCTGGAGATCCTAGAGTTGGTAAATGAATTTCTTCTCCATGAGCGCCCTTTTCACCCAAAGATAATTACATCTCAATCAGGTCACTCTCAAGCACGATATCTTTTCTCGAGAATGGCAGCATCGAGCAGCAGTGATGATTCACCACCGAACGTAGAATCAAAATGGCTAAAGTACTTTACTGACTTGATGCTGACTAGAAAAAGAATTTCTGCTACCGCTAGTTTTGATGAATATTGTGAAGAAATTTTAGAAAGAGTGCAAAATCTCTCAATATGAAACCATATTAGAACGATAATACACTTTGATGTTTTTTATTGCTCCCTTGACTATCTATATGGTCACAACACACGCTCGAATTCATCCTCTACAAACGAAAGAACGCTTTTAATCAACTGATCAAGTGCACCTATTTTGGAATGTTTCCCAACGTTATGGGTGGCACCCTCCACAATCTTGCTGTGCTTGCTCCAATACTTTGGATCACATGCCGCACGCCAGCGCACAAGTAATTGATTTTTATCAAGATCAGAGGAAGCAAATTCATCATCACCACTGTACAAAACCAATATGGGCCTCAGAACGTGCCCAAATGATTTCTTAAGATCTGTTTCGTGCAAATAGGATGAAAAGTAATCATCGTCACCCCTCTGACTCAAGAGAGAATGGAACCGATAAGCTGTGACCGGGGATCCAAATGTGTATTTCAAACACGAAGCAGGCATAAGTTCATTTGGCTTCCCGTCATCAATCAATGCCTGTGACTTTGCTATTAAAGCGATTAAATTCTGATCTTCCCCGAAAGTTTCCTTTAAACCTTCACTATCACTGACAGGAGCTTGTAATATCCCAGCATCAATATTCAGATCTGTTGGGCAATCCCCCGAAAAGCTATATTTCGACATATATTCCAAAGTATCTTGTGATCCTGTCGAGTGTCCCATTAGTATAACCTTGGAGTCTTTGCTTCCTCTGGTGGTTCTCAAATACTTTATCAATTTTGACAATTCTTTACAGTCTCGTCTTAAGCTTCCTGTTCCAAATCCGAGATAAGAGGAACTGATTAATGCTTGAACAAGAACCCATCTTTTACCGAAGCGTTGAGTGATAGCCTCGGCCAAAGGTGGCACATATGGCACGGATAAAAATCCATCACCTAAGCCCCCAATAAACACCAAGAAATTGTGTGGTATAGTGTTCTTCTCACCAAACTCGATAGCGGAGAGATTACCGGAGTAGTTATGGATAACAACAGAATGCATTCCTTCCTAGTTGTGCGTCTGCGTTCTGACTTTCTGTTGTCCGGAAAGTTGCGCGATAAGGACATCCAATATCATGCACACCCAGTAATCACTAGACGATAGTTCGACGATGAACGTTATATATGAGATATCGAAACCTAATTTTCAATGATCGAATCGTGAAATAACGACAAGGAAAATATCGCCAGCAGTTGTGAACCTACACAGAAAATACCATGGATTTTAGACTGAAGTATTATTTACTTGTGCTAAAATATTTCTTTAGGGACCAGGACCTACTAAAAGGAAGCATCCTGAATTATTTTTCCTCCGTTGGCATCCGCTACACCCCCAGTACTATGACTGAGTCCAACCTCTGGAATCATTCTTGCACTAAGACTCATCGAATGGATTGTAGTGAACATGACAATGCAATGAAGGCAGACACAGTATACAAGGAATAGTATCCTCGTAGTCCTTGTTGCTAACACTGACCTGGTAACAAATATAAACAACCTTTCAACTGGCGACAATCTTGAATTGACCCTTTCTTGCTCTTTTTGTCGAAATTGTTCAATGGGGTGTAGTTTTGATTCATAGCTGATATGGTAGGGGTTCTCAAGATTTCTCACATTTGACTTTGGGTTTAATAACTTGCGTCCATTTTCTCTTTGATAAGATGAGTCTCTGGACATGGATTTATAGTCTTTGCCTCTCAACGAGGCCACATAGCGCGTTTTCTCATACAAATCCTCATTGTCAGTTTGCAACTGTGAATTCTTTCTTCTCAAATCATTGATTGTACTTTGCTGTTTTCTTAAGTCATCCTCTAAGCTTTTGTTTTTTTCCCTGAACCGATCTCTTTGTTTTGTGATAATAGGCAAGATCGAAGCATCATCTAGATTCTGAGCACCACCTATGGATCCCTCTCTCCCGACTTGACGTGTACCATGTGTCTTCACGGACATAATACTAGCAGTGTCGTTGAAATTAACATTGTGTACATCTTGAACATTAGTCAAGTCACTTTCCAACTTTGCATTGAATGCTTGAGCATCTTCTAGTTTTGTGGACACAATATGCAAGGTTTTCTCCAAAGACTGAATTTTATTCACGAGATCTTCATGTTCAGATCTGTGTTCTGAAAGCTCCTTTGTTAAAGCCTTATTTCTTTTCAATAGAAGCGAGTCCAAGTTTTTGTCTTCATTTGCCTCCCCTTCACCAAACTCAATTTGACGCATGAGGTAAAGTTCCTGTTTATTTTCTTCATAGTCGTCCATACTTCTTAATTTTTCACTTAGAAAGTTGATTTCACGAATCCTTTGCTGCAATTCATCAGAATCTAATGACGCTTTATTTTCCTTCTCTCTCGCTAATGATTTGATGCTTTCACGGGCTTGACTCAAACTTGCAAGAAGGATAACATTTTCACTTTCCAACTCGGACAACCTTTTGCTAAGATCCCCCCTGGAAGTACTTTCCTTGGAGTCAATCTTCGAGGCTGTAAGATCTGTACGTAGAGTTTCATTTCTCTTTTCAAGTTCGAAGACACGCTTTTTCCACGTCTCAACTTCACGGGTTAAAAGATCTACTTCAACCAAGGCAGAAGCCGTGGACGGCGCAGAATGATCAGTTTGTTGGTGATGGGAATAGAGCTGCAACTCAGCAACTTCGTTTGACGTCTTCAACTCTTCAATTGTGGACTTCAACATGTTTAATTGGTTTTGATGTTGGTTCTTAACACTCGCCCAATTTGACTCTTTTTCATCAATCAAAGCTTTGAACATGTCTTCTTGCTGCTTTAACCTTGCAGCTATAAGTTCGGCGGTGCCTTGTTCGTTGCTTAGAAGTCTCTGCTTTAGTAAGTCGTAGTCGGCTCTTTTTATTAACTCATCTTTAAGTCTTAAAATTTCATTCGTGAGTTCTTCATTTTTCATGTGATCATTGATCTTTTTCAAAGAAAGTTGAAGCAATGGCTTAGGATCGGGGGCTTCTGCGATAACACGGTAAAAGCCAAAAAAATATGACTCCGCTTTCTTTTGTTTCGTCGTGAGGGTATCAATCTCATTTTGATACAGTTTGAGGAGTTGATTGAACTCTAAAAGTTTCAGCTCATCATCAAGTTTTTTAAAATCTTTGGTTTTCTGTGCTAAGTCTCGACGATTCGAGAGAGATTCTTTCTGCTCGCGTCGGAGCTCGATTCCCTGCTCATCAAGCCGTTTTTGAACATTCGACAAGTCGATTTGGGCCCACGTATGTACAGCATTTTCATACGCAGAATTCGATTTGGAGGTTTCTAGTTGGGAAGCCATTGTAGCTGCAAATCAAGGTAGGGGTGTCATCTCCTCAGATTTCTCAGGAGAGAAGGGTGTGAAGCTCCGTAGTATGATGTCACGTGTTCTTTATCAAGCGGCTCTTGCGACTACATCCTTTTAGTTTCAGAGTTTTAGAAGTGATTAAATTTATACTTCAAAGCGAAAGTCGTCTGAAATGTTTTACACTGGCTTAGATTACGCCACTTTGCCTTTTTTTTCAGTTTCGGCTTGGTGGTTGTAAGAAACATAGTTCACCTACTCAACAGAGCTTGAAAACATCATTAGTATTCCTGATGCGATGTTGCTTTCAGAAAACTATAGTCAGGTTCTGAAAATTCAAACCAGGAGACTGTTAAGCAAAGACGAATTTTTCAGTCTGTAGTGCCGCCTGGGACGAGGACCCAGTACTTTTCAGATTCAGCCTTTTCGGACTGTGAGACTTGAGCTTCGTGAAATGTGAAGGAAGTAATGATGAACATACGAACTCATACTCTGTGCTGGAAAGTCGCGGATCATGGGTTGCAAAACAGCTATAATCACATTGATTGAGAAAAGAACATACCATATCTTTACTAAACAAATGGTTATCAAAAACTAAAAGAGTGGTGACGGAAACCAGAACCAAAAGAACTTTCAGAGGAAAAAGAATTAAATTATGTACTGATGACTTACTCGTCAGCCTCCTCGGCATCCTCACCCTTACCTTGGTTCTTTCTCTTGACTCTACCAGCTCTGCCACCACCGTATGGGGAGTTTGGAGCGAAGTCAATGTGCTTTTGAGAGTCCAATCTCACCATGAAAGATGGAATGTTGACAATTTGCTTACCAACAGCAATGTGCTTTTGAGAGATCAAGACTCTAGCGTGGTGAATAGATCTAGCCAAGCCCAACTTAAAAACTTGGGTTTGCAATCTTCTCTCCAAAAAGTCCTCTGGTCTCAAGGCCAAAACGTAATCCAACTTCATCTTGTCCTCTGGCAAAACACCAACTCTAACCAATCTTCTGATCAAAGCGTTACCCTCGAACAATCTCTTCTCGTCCTTGTCATCTCTGGTCAACAACTCACGAGCAGCTCTTCTAATCTTGGACAATTGGAAGTTGATTCTGTAGATTTCTCTCTTGTTCTTCAAACCGAATTCACCGGCCAACTTCAACTCAGCGTCCAAACGAGCAGACTCGTATGGTTGCTTTGGGACAGAGTAAGTCTTGGAGTAGGTTCTTGGAGCACCTATTATTTGTTAGTATATGTTAAGCCGAAAGCATTACGAAATCTTCATCCAATCAAAATGAGCCTGAAACAGATTACAGCCACAGCAAAATTTGAAGTGCGGCATAGCTTTGATTCGAAAGTTTCTGCCTACTATAATTTAGCTAGTTGTAACTGAAGTGTCGGGATTCAGTCACGGCCTTAGGGGCAGTTGAGGTATCATCTTTGGGTGAAGTCCATGCAATGCATCGTAGACAAGATAAGTCTATGTTTTCTGTTGAGGGCCCGAATCCTCATAGACAACCAGTATCTATTGTAGAAACATACGAGGCATATTGACTAAAAGAAATGTGTTGTATGATTCGAGTTAACTGCGCGGATTATGACCTTTTTATATTCATGAAAATTTTTCATAGTTCTCGCGCGGGTGTCGTGTATGTGATCAAAACGCATCGTATGCGTCGTGGAGTTATCTCATCGCCAGGGTACAAGCTAATGCGCGCCAAAACTATGGGTGCTGAACATAACGGCAGACAAGATTCAATTCTCATGTCCCACATAGGTCAGAGTTAAAATCTATATATACCAAGAATACTAGAGATGAAGTTTGTTGCTCTCATATCAGGTGGAAAAGATTCTTTCTATAATATTATGCAATGTATGAACAATGGGCATACGCTCCTGGCGCTAGCTAACTTACATCCAAGCGATTCTTCGGTGAATGAACTTGACTCGTTCATGTTTCAGACTGTCGGACATGACATTATTGAATATTACAGACAATGCATTGACGGTGAAGTTCCCCTATACAGACGCGCTATAAGTGGGAGCTCTTCAAATGTTTCTCTTGAATACGAAGTCACCAGTAATGATGAGACGGAAGATTTGTATGAATTGCTTAAGGATATAAAAAGACAGCACCCTGATATCGAGGGGGTTTCTTGTGGAGCAATTCTATCACATTATCAAAGGACACGAGTAGAAAATGTATGTGATCGGCTAAAATTGACTTGCTTAGCCTATCTTTGGCAAAGCGATCAGTCAGAGCTTATGCTGGAAATGTGCCAACTGGGCCTAGAGGCAATCTTGATTAAAGTTGCAGCCATAGGACTTACCGAAAAACACTTGGGAAAACTGTTGCTGGAAATGTTGCCTATATTGATAAAGCTTAACGCCATGTACGATGTACACATTTGTGGAGAAGGTGGGGAATTTGAATCTTTAGTTCTTGATACGCCTTTCTTTGTTAAAAAATTACGTGTTAAACACCTGAAGATTATTTTGCACTCCCTGGATGCTTCTTATCTTTCTCTCGAAGTCGAGGTTGTGGAGAAAGAAAAAAATGACCAGACTGCATCCTTATCATGCCCCTCTTTATTTCTAGAAAATTTTGAGGCTTTAGGAAGCGGACTCTCTGAAATGCCCAATTATGTTGCAAATTCAAGCAATCATCAAGGTGCACACTTTAATATTCGAAAGTCGAGATGTCATACCCGGCAAACGCTTTATTTGGGAAATTTGACGAGCACTCTACCAAGCATAGAGGAGCAAACTGGGGAGATTCTCACTCATATTAAAAAATACCTTTTCAAGGACGATTGTCTGCTTTCACGAATTCAACATATGACTGTCCTTGTTCGAAACATGGCAGACTTTTCCAAAATCAATGCCGTATATGAAACTTTTTTTCGCGGTATCTTTCTTCCTCCTTCGAGAGTTTGTGTTGAAACAACTCTTCCAGCGCCTTATTTGTTACAGATATCCTGCATGGTCATGCAAGAGCCAAGTGTTAAATCAGGAATTCATATACGCTCCAGGTCCTATTGGGCACCTCAAAACATTGGACCATATTCACAGGCCATAGTTGGAACACGCGAAACATTCAAAATTGCAACATTATCGGGCCAAATACCTTTGATACCTTGTGATATGGTCATCAATCATTCCATGCAATCCTCCATGCAATCAATAATCTCTTTGCAACATCTCTACAAAGTGAAAGCACTCATTAATGTGGGGAAAATAGCCAACATAATTTGTTACATCACTGAAGAAATACCGCCAGCTTTGGTCGCTGAAATTTGGAAGCGCTACATTAGCGAAATTGAAATTAGTCAATGCTTTTTGGATCACTTGCTTATTTTACAAGTAACGGCATTACCGCGGGGAGCTATCGTTGAATGGGGAGGATTGACTTTTGAGAGAACTTTTGACATGTACGCTGAAGACAGTGACGACGAACTGACATCAGTGTCCAATACAAGAGAAAATATCACAGGAAGGTTTGATGTTGTCTCTGTACCTTTAGGAGATGAACTCTTTACCAAGTTCACAGGTCAAGATATTAATGATTTGAGGGAGTTCTTAAGTGATCCACTTGTCAAGAATACTTTCGTAAATGTATTTTCTGACCTTGATACGATACACAGATTATCCAACCTGGGATTTGATGCAGAATGGACACCGGTAGTCACTGTCTTCGACAATAATGGACTGAGATGTAATTATGGTGTGATATGGATAAGCTAGAAGATAAATTATCACTTATGTAATTTTCTCCGTGTAAGTGTAAGACTATATAACGAAAGTTGGGTGTTTATCAGAAATATTACCTTCTTCGCGATATTTTTTTCAGATAATTGCAGCAGAAATTTTGGCGCTATGTGGCTCATATTTTTTTTTACAGCCAGAACACGAAAGTAGATACCTCATGTCCTTTCAAAATTGAAATTGAAACTATGTAAAAAACTATATGCTTATATGGGCTATCTGGTGCAACGAGTGGTCACTGGAACACGGTGATATACCGCTCATGCCAAATAGAATATTAACACTTAGTACCACATGTTTGAATAGAAGAAGAAGCGAAGCTTGCAAAGAAAACAGGTTACTCAAACTTCCGTCTGATAGTGATCAAAACAACAACTGCGGTTTTATATATGACGTGATATTTATATTCCGAGATATATGTAATTCGGCTCATAAAGCACTTCGTGAAACTTGGCCATAATATATAATGCGAGAGATATGAACCTATGACAGACAAAAAACTCAAACCTCGAAACTTCATATTTAAATTCGCGGCCGTCTAAAATCTCCAGGCTGTGTCGTTGAGGTAATACACCACTACATTATGTGAATATTGCTACACGTCTATATCATGATTGAAATCAAAGTCCCTGCAGACTTTTTTTGCGCCCACCTGTATAACCATGGACTGCATGTTCAAGCCATGGCGCTGCGCATCTCCATCTCCATCTCCATCTCTGAGGTGCTAATATTTGTATATTCTTTGAAGTTACCTAATTGTGTCATGAACCTACAACCTACATATGGTTTAGTCAGGTCTTATAGCTCGCAGATTATTTTGAAACGAACAATTTTTGTTCTCAGCGCGGATAGAAAGCGAAGAACAAAAACAAAAAAGGAAAATCATAAGCGATCAACTGAAGTGGAAAGTGTCAAAAGAAAGTACAAGGAAAAGTCAGAGCTATCACATGAGTACCGCGAACTTCGGAATTTAGCTTCCAGTGTATCTGAATATGTCAGTAACCGAAAATTTAGGGATTCCAAGGGACCGGCAGAAGTTACAGACGCAATTCCTCGTCACGAGAGACACCACGAAAACCAAGGACAAAGTCAGGAAGAACTTGACAAATTGCCAGAAAATCGGGTAGTTGATTTTGATCCCAAAAGTGCCTCACTTTTAACCCCTGCAGTTGGTATACCTACCTCTTTCAAAACTAAACTAGGGCCTGCAGTGAAGTACCTAGTCACCAAAGAATACCAGAACTGGGTGTTTGCTTTTAAACAGATAGAAGCAAAAGGAGGATTCAAAGATATTCCAGAAGTAGACATTCGAAAACTCATATACTCCATCCCAAAACATCAACTTGTTATAGTATTTCCTCAAATTGAGCGTCTTTTACTCGATGCTGGGGTTCAAAAATCACCCAAAGTTGTGAATGCTTATCTTAAAGGCTTAATCGCGGGTGGGGAAATCAGCAATGAGCGAGTGGCTCTAGTGGAACATTATGTACAAGAAATGAGATCACTCTCCAAAAATGAATCACTTTCCCGCGAGACCTACGAAATACTCATCGAGGCATATGGTAAGAGTAAAAGGATAGAAAGCATGGAGAATATAATAGGGGAAATGAAGAAACGTGGTCTTAAACCATCATCAAATGTTTACACAAATGTCATGAGTACTTGCGTATACAAAACGAAAGACCACAAACAAGCAGTTCAATTATTTGATCTGATGAAATTTCTTGCCGGGAACATGGCACCAGGGGTGAATCAATATCAAGATATCATTGTTTCATACGTCAACAATAAAGACATCGAAAAAGCATTGGATTTGTTCGAGGAAATGAGAACAAGGGGGTTACCGGTTAATCAAAAAATATTGGTTGCTTTGGCAAGAGGATGCATGACACGACAGCTGCTAAAACTTAAAGCGTGGGATTTTATCTTTGAGATTTATGAGCGACAGTGGGAACCAACAGTCCCTACACTCGAGTATATGGTCTACTTGGCTGCAAAGGATGGTGATCTTCCATTAGCCCGTGCTTTGTATCAAAGCTTGAACTTGCTGGGATCTGTGACTCCAAGATCATTTAGCTTTCTCATGCTAGCCTATTCGAAAAGTGGAACTTCAACTGATAATCTGATATATAAGGTGCCTTCAATCTTAGTTCATGAGTCAGGCCGAAACTTCCGTCGCAATATTCTTGATACGGCCGACTATTCGCCTCGGTTCAGCAATCCAAAAAAATCGATCCCATTTCTTCCGTTGATAGAGCTTTCGAGTACGTCAGAGTTTATGTCAGAATCTAGTGCTATAATGGCCCACACACTTCTAATGAACCCGAATTTAATCAGTGGAGAAAGTATCAATATGTTTTTGGATATTGCTGCAAAGCTTGGATCGATAAAAGACTTTGTGGATCGATATGATGAATTCACATGCTTTGATACCTCAGGGGTACCAGCAACTAGAATTGTTGAGAGTCTTCATCCCGAGAATGATCACGAGCATCAAAACAAACATGAAACGAACTTGGATCTCTGTGTTGAGAGTGTAACAGAGGATACCACACTCAACACAAAAAGTCCAATTCTAGATTTAAGTCGAAGCAAACAATTCCTGCAGTTCCCGAGGACCACTAGAACATATATCATTGCACTTAATGCAGCTGCGAAAAACAAAGACTATGGATTTTCTCAGAAGGTTTGGCAGGAAAGGGGGAACTACAGAAAGTCATCTCATTTCAGAAGTTTAAGTGCTCTGGAAAGAACAAAATCTGACTTTGCCTTTGCTGCTTCGATGGTGAGCTGTCTTACCAAACTCGGGCTTCTTGATGATGCCTTGGCTATATTGGTCAGTACGGAGTATCAATTCAAATGGACCTGGAAAGAGCTTAGACATTTACATACTGCTGCTGTCAATATTGGACATGACAAAGTATCCAAAATTGTTCGGGGTGTTGCGCAAAGAGCACAAGAAAAATTTGAAGGTAAAATTAAAAAGAAAGATTTCAAGCTTTATGCTTTAGGAAGAAATCAATAACTTGTATATATAATTTCACAATCGATGAGATCGAAAACTATCCTTTCAAAAGTATGGTGAGATCATCATTTGGAAGCTTTATTGTAGATGATAGCATACTGTTTTATGTCGGAGCAGCATTTACTTTTCAAGACAGATTGTGCACTCGAAGTGAAGTAGAATATAAACATGTTGACAGTGTGTTTTAGGTCTTTGCAGTGATGCATGTAGAATGGGTGCATACTGGAAAACTTGAGGGACATAGGGATCTCTATTTGACCTATGGCAAGTTCTAGTGACTCCTTACCGACCTACAGACCGACAACAGAGGAATAAAAATGGACAGAATTTTGAGTGGCTGTACAAACGCATTAGTAGAGCTTCTGAGACCAAACTCATTCATGGAAAGTGTAAACTGGTCTAATTCCTTTAGTATTATACTGGGATGAAGCTTCTCAAAGAAAAACAGGCAAATGCTTATTCTACATCTGACAATATTAGCTACATAATAAAGCCTAATTTCTGGGAAGATGGTATTTACTTTCGCGTAATCGAGGCAAACATCCAGCATCATTAGCTCCCGCGTTTAATCCACTGATCTGCCGGCCTCAAGGTGTCACCTGAACCATTTCCAAATTTCAGAAAATAGTTGGCTGAAATATCAGGAAAAACCTCATTCTTGGCAAGCGATACCACACGTAGTCTTGGAAAAACTTTTCCACGGAGTAAATTTTGGTCAATCAATGTGACGAGACAATTCTCTATAGAGTGATCATCCAAATTCGTACTCAAGATATGCTGCTTGGGACTTGAGTTCATTGTTGACACCGATGACAACTCAAGACCATTCAATGATAACAAGAGACCTTGCTTTGTGGCATCATACCCGAGTCGTACTTGCTTTCCCTGAGAAAGCCAAATGGTTTTGACTAGATTTCGAAGAGTAATCAAATATGCCTTTGAACTGAAAAATGATGCAAATTTTTGACGCTTTAAAAAGCTCGAAATCTCTGCATCGTTGATTAAATTGTGAAGTCTGTAAAAATTCCCCAATCTTATAGCATTTTCGAGCTCAGCGTATATAGAGAAATATTTTGGGCATTTCAGAGGAGCTGAAAAATATCGTCTTGAGAAGCTACCGAATTTGGGTCTCTTGCCCAATAGGATACTCACAAGCAAAAACTGACGAAGTATTGTGGAAACGTTCATACTGTCAACAGAATAATTGTATGGTACACGCGCTAGACACCAATCCAAATGTTCGAATGCATCAACGAATTCATATTTAGCAATGTAGAATTTAGCTAAGTAGAACCTGTATTGTAGCTGTTGATTTGGATGATATGAGCTAAAGTCTAAGTTAGCATTACCCATATTCGAAAAGACGTTCTGACAGAGAAGTGGATTGGAAAGCTGAAAATAGGTTTGGCATAATTTCACGCCTATAAGCACCATTATTGATTTCTTAACAGCATCAATGTAATCATCTGCACCTATCTGTGATCTTATGTTGTTGAAAATTTTCAAAAGGATGGAAGCCATGAAGTTTAGTCTCGGTTTGCGGCACATTTCTCTATGCAACATATGATAATCTAACAGTTTAGACATGTACAAGACCTGCTTCAAAACATCCTCAAGCAAGTAAGTTATCAAATATCCGTGCTTCTTATTCATGAAGGCAACGGTTATATCATTGAGGTATGTTGTATAAAGATCGAATGATTCCAATAGGGACCATGGGTTGACTTGGTTGCATAACCTCAAAAAAGACACAATCAATTGATCAAATGACAGCCATGCACCATTGAACCAATGCCTTCTTTCTATCAAAAGCAGAATCTGGCCTTCACTGAGATGTCCCAAATTGTTTATTTTCACGACAAACGGGTTCATCTGAGGATGTAGCCGAAGCAACTCTAGAAGCTTTAGAGGTTGTTGCCTCAGATCTAGACAGGTACAGTTTTGAAGTCTCTGTAAAAAGTCCTCCACGCATTCCATGATTAACAGCAGTATATTGATGCCTTCTGGGCTCTTTGGAAAACTGGTTTGTTACTCAACGTGCGGCATTCTTCAACACATTGCGCGAAGGGAATATGCGGCAGCTGACCCACATGAAGGAGTACCGAAATTGAAAACATTCATACAAAATCAAATTCCTGTTGATTGCAACCTCGTCATGCCAAACAATCGTTTTCCGTAGTGTGTTAGTCGATCGTACTATGGTGTGGAAAGAGTATTGGAGTGTTATTGAAATCGCACGATAAACCGGTGCAATATTTTCAGCCCGACTGAGAAAGAGACCCTTATACTTTGACACAAGAAAACTCAGTGACGGTCTCACAGTGTTTCTTGGAGGGCAATGATCCTTTTTCCAACTAAAATGTTTAGTTGAGTAATTTAATATTATCGATTCTTCGGTTTGGAACACCTCACTCTTCCTGCCTCAAGAATCGCGAAGCGCAGCGTCTTCACAAATGCTTTTTCCATACTTGAAAAAAACTGCTATGGAGCCGAGCAAAAAAGTAGCGCAAAATATCAAATCGAAGAGAGTACGGCGCAAGCAAAGGCAGAAGAAGACTGGCCTGTTGATTGAGTATGGTGATCCCGACACAAAAGTTGCCGTGAGACTCCTACCACCAACTCTCGAAGAAATGGACTTTCGAGAACAGGCAGAGAAAATCTCGCTCACTTTCCGATCAGGCTTCGAAAGCTTCACCTACAAGAAAGGAAAAAAAGCTTCAAAACCTTTCGAAGAACCTTGCTTCTCTGTTGCTTTCGTCAAATTCAAAACCCCGGCTTTGGCAGAAAATTTCAAAAGAGAGATAAGCCATGTTCTGTTCAAAGAAACGACAACTGAAGACAACATCAAATGTAACGTAATGAGGCCTATATTCGGTGAGCTCAATACTAGCCAGACAACAAGTTCCGAAATTCCGATTGAAACCGAAGTGTTTAAATTGTTCGCAAGCCTAAGAGGCCAAAAAGAGGGACACGTCGACATCCATGAGGTTTTGGCTACTTGCAGATCAAAAACAAGAGGAAAGAAGACAAAGCTTAAGCTCTCAACACCGACTTCTCTGGAACACTTGAATCAAAGCAGCTTCTCCCCAGGTATTGTAAAAGGCTCCAAAAGGAAAGATCACAAACATGCAGACAAACCAAATGATCCAAAACTCAAGAGCAAGCGAATCACTTCCCATACCTCCAATTTCTCAGAGCACGAAAGCAAACCCAAAAATAAGCAAAAACAAAGGAAGCTTCCCGAAAGCATTCCGCATAAAAGCACTGATGCTCAGCCCAGTGGTCCGTTACTGTCCACTTCTGGTGTTCTCAATAAAAAAACAAAAAAAAAGAAAAAACCCTTGGGATCCCATACCCCACTGGCTAAGAACATCAAAAATCTTTGTGACGGAAAACCCATTTTAGAAAAAATTACATGAAGGTATACAGCAGGTTTCAGATGGTCTATATACTATGATTTTAATCACCATGTTCAATTCCGCATGAATGAAAGTTTCGTGACGAGACAAATCTCTGGGGCCAGATAATCAGATCATCAAGGAACATCGACATGGAGGTCTACTCGGAGAAATCTTTAGCTTCGTCGGAAAATGGTTATGTCGTGTGGTTCCAATTGTGCAATGCAAAGTTGTGTTTAACAAGAATGTTTATTTCTTACATGACGGGTGAAGGACGAGCACTTACATCTATCCCGACGACAGCTCCCGAGTATTACTGGTGGATTTTTGATCACACAATGGATAAGTATATAGATACTTCTTAGAAGAGTCATATGCACGGAGCTTATTAATTCTCAATCCAGCAATCAAGGCCTTGAAAGTCTAGCGTGCCTGAAAAATTCACGTAAGAGGTTCACCAATCCGTGCTTCTGATGTACCCCACAGGGCGACTTATGTCAGGTCGTAATTGCCGGATGCGCGGAAATGTACTGGCCAATTGACCTCACGGAAGCCGTTTTACACTACTCAAACAAGGATCCTCATCGATGTTTCTTCGTCTCATCCACCGCCCCCTTTGCGCAAATAAATGTATGGGAACAAAATTTGTCTCATATAGACAAATATCTCGGACCTTGTCTGATCAGAGCTCTCAGAGTCTTGATGAGCTCTCGTTGGACTCTTCGATCAACACAATGGAACGCATACTAAGTATTCTCCATAATGCACACAGTACAAAAATGGAAACAAGAGACTCTGTGTTGAAGTTATACGACTCTGCTCCCGAAGCCTTCGAAAGCAAAAACATGGCTCTGCTCGGTGAAAATATATTTGACTTGAAAACTATTGATATTCTCATAGACCTTCAACTCGGAAGTAATGTTGATATCTTTAAGAGATCAAACCCAAGTCATGCCAGGAATATCTTGCAAAAATACATATCTGCCTTCAAAGACCAGTATGCGCGGGACTCATCATATCTTTGTATGGAGAGTTTGGGTCGATCTTATGCGGAGAACACTCGAAAAGCAAATGCGACTCTAAACAATGCCATAAGACGCACTGCTTCAAAAGCTATGATAGGTGAGTCCATTTTGCATGACGAACCCCCAATTCACCTAGATTTCTGCCGTCTTAATACATACAATCCATTTAGGAATGATATAATGGATCCCTTCGCTTTACAAAAAGGGTTGTCTACAAAAAAACACCCCGCAAACCTTTTTGGTGCAATGATAAATGATCAGAGAGTGTTGCTGAGCTTTCTTCATAATTTAAAGAAACGGATTTCGCCCTTGACTATTCAAAACATCATGGTTGCTCAAAGTATGTTTGGGAACCTAGCGCTCAAGAGTGTTGTAAAGCGAAGGTTATTATCCACAGATCCACGGATGCCTCTCGATACTCCATTCGAATTTTACCATTTGGACATTACAGATGAAAATAATAAATTGAAAGAATTCAAGGCAATTGTTGTGTACCGCAGTATGATCTTGAATCGGCTCGAATGGTTCCCGCCTTTTAGAAAGTCGCTAGCTGAACTTGAAGAAAATAAGTATGACTCGATGGAAAAGATAATTGCGATTATGGCAGACACATTTGATCGCTTCTTTGGGTTATGCTTCAAAACAGATGCGAAATATTGCGACAAGTGGGTCGAAAACTTGATGACATTCTATACACGAAATAAGTCAAACGAGATTTTTTTTCAACACCTTCTCGACGATGCTGTTGTTTACTTCAAAGAAAAAGTTTCTCAGCTGAGTTTCGAAACATACAGTTCAAAATGGAAGGACGAGGCGTTGCTCGGTAAAAAAGAACGTCTCGATGATAAGCTGCAAGTCGTCAGACAATTCTTAAATGATGCACGCATTGCCTCTTCCCATTCCAAGTCTTCAGTGTCACTGGTTGAGCAATTGAACGTGAAGAATGAGTGATCAAACATCTAGTCTTTCATTCCATACAATACCATGATCCTCTCTCGTTTCAAATTCGTTCAAATCCTTCGCACAGTATCGCAATCTAAAATCAGTTTCGTTGAATGTTGTGAAATTCACAACACCATTGTCTACAACCGCGAAAACAGTTGACCTCCCAGTGGTACCTTGCTTAAGTAACTTGTCCCTGTTTCTGAGATAATTATTTCTATTTCGAAGCTTGGGGTCAAGTCTAGATTCGCGCTCTGCCTTGTTTTGTGCTTTCATTTCTTTCTTTGTCTTATTGGATACATCGGTTGTTTTGGAAATTTTAGTTTCCTTGGGTTTCCGAATGCATTCAGTGTCACGCTTATTGTCAAGATAAGCCCAAGTTCCCTGGATAGATCCAAGGTCTGGGAATGCTACTTTTGATGTGTTTAGAATTCCGATCTGAAAATCCGGTGCTGGAGGATTTTTCTTGCTAAAATGCGGAGAAGGTTTCCAGACATTAAATATAATTCGATATCGTGGGTCTAAGGCATAAGGAGGACCGAAACTCATGAAGTCGCTTGTGGGAACGAGAGCGAGTGATTTATAAACCAGCGTGTAGGTGAGAAAGTGGCTTTGCTTTTCGAGCAACAATGTGTAAAGTCTTCTTAGTGTGGTTCCAAAGGATACGCCAAATGATTGAATAGCGGAAAAGAAAGACAAATGCTTCTTTCCCTCCGGTTCAGAAGGTAGATCACATTGATCTAACAGTATATGAAGAGCTCTGTGTTCCATTACGGAATAACCTAATCTCTTCAATAATGCAAAAACTTTGTACTTGTCTACAAGTTCACAATTCAGGCCGAAAGCAGTAGTTTGTAAATGGGCCAAAGTAAGGTGTGTCAAAGTCTCGTAATTAAACAGCAAGTTATCGTTCTCCATAAATTCGAGAAATTGATCATTTGCTGCGTACATTACAAGCGATCCCCTCTCGGTCAAGTATATGGCTTCTATTTCACTAAGCCATACTCCTTGAAGTTTTTTTTTCAATTTATAGACATGAGGAGCCCCCATGTCTTTGAAGAAGCTGCCTTTGGCGTGCGGGATAAAAGCTTTTCTTTTGGAATGAATCCATACTCCTACCAAAAGCTGCTTAATATGATGCCCACGAATGTGCAGAAGTGCTAGATACATTTGATCACGAGCATATTCTAATTTCAGTTTTTGTGCATCCGAGCCGTCTTGATCGAAAAATTTCTCTGACCTTTTCGGGAGAGTTTCATCGTTAATTTTTGATGAGCTCTGGTTCTGGTTGATCAATCCCCAATCATTTATGGACTCTTCGATGCAGTCATCATTGATCAAGTCAAATTCTCCGTCACCCCCTGACATATGGCCTTTCTTACTTGTATTCACACTGAGCTCCACTAGGTAGAAATTAGCGAGATTCAGTTCCTGGTCACGTGAACAGAGATGCGTCCGCAACCGCATTTTTGTGCGCCAGCATGCTTGTTAAATCGATCAGAGATCTACTTTTTAAACCCTGAATGACAGCTTCCGTGACCATTGATGCTTTAGTATGTAAAATAATTATATGAAGAACCAACAAGATCTACTTTACTAAACACTTCTAGACTGAGTCTTTATTTGATGACATTGTGACGGGTATAATACGACAGATCAGTGTCAATTGCATAAGTCGTCACCGCGCCTTGCAACAAACAATAGGCAAAGAGAATCAACCCTTCACATCCCTCTACCTTGAGTCATGTACAAAAGATATTTTTGGACAGGAAAAGTCCAAGTTGAAAGGCTTAGAGACTTCGAGATATTTTGAGTGCGGAAATTGCGGAAGAAAAATCTCAGGGGGCCGTTTTGCGCTGCACATCAACAAATGTTTTGACAGGGATCGAAGATGAATTCATCTCATTAAACAATGCAGAAGATCGGGTCTTCGTCGCTCCTTTTTGCCAGAAAAGCACCTTCAAATGTGAGCATATTCGCTGACGAGGTTTTCTTCTTAGATCACGCAGTTACTTGCTAAAAGAATTCATGTTTGTTCGTGATGACGGATGGCTCCCTAGGTTTACTGTCTTGGAAAGGTATAATTGGTCAAGTGAAGGTTCTGAATACAAGCCTGGTTTTAAGATTTTCTCGTGGGTAACAGGGGACGATTTCAAATTATTGAAAGAACAAGTACTAACCAATTGAAGTCACTCGCAGACACCATACATAAATCTAGTTTACGTGTGATGACTTACATACCTAAAGATTCTATGATTTTTGTGTAACGAGTGACATACGCAGAAATGCCATGACTTTTTTGCTGAGCAGAAAACCCACTATGCTTCTTCTAATCTCGCCTCGGTAAGATCTGATAAACGGGCTCTTATTCAATTTAGCTTTCCACCATTTTTAACCATTTAAATTTGGTATTTCATTATGAAGCAACTTGATGCTCGCTCCTCGACTGAATGGATGAAACAATGTTTTTTTTTTTTTCAATTGCAATACATATTCATGAAAACAACAAATTCAGTACTCAAATAGCGTATCCTTCTTCAAGTGTGTGGAAAGCTACATAAAACTTTACCGTCTGATGAAATGAGAAAGATAAGTTTTATCAGTATCAAAAATTTGTTTTCACTGGAGCAGCACTTTAATTTATACATCGTCGATGACATGCTGTTGTTGACTTTCAACAAGTGCAAACAAAGTTTTGCATGATGTAGCGCCCATAGCGCCATTTCGTTTTTTTAACCGAAATGTCGAAATTTGAGTACCGCCTTATCCACGATTCTCGTGCTAGTTTGACGGTATGCAACCTGGGACAAGAAGCTTATATAATTCATGACACCTTCTTTACATCGCGCGCCTTGTAGCACCAACGCCCAAGGCAAAGTAGTATTCAATTATGCAAACTCCGAATTGAATAGTAACTCTTGCTCTTAATCATTTCATTCTTTTCCCGATATACTTTCAATTACATCCTCCTGAATGGAACATGTACAAAAACTTGTAATTAGGCGTGGATCTTTCACAATTCTACCCGCCTTTCTCACAACTTGAAAACCTGAATCACGTGCCTCAAATACTATCGCATCTTTTCTATTGCCCAGAGACTTCAACAGTATAAGATTAATTTCCACAGTCCAGGATGGCCCCACCTCCACCAGTCATTATAGATGCTCAGGTTGTGTCTGGTATCACAGGCTCTATTTCTTTAGCTTGTTGGATTATTGTGTTCGCTCCGCAAATTTACGAAAATTTTCGTCGTAAATCATCAGATGGTTTATCTTTAATGTTTATTGTTCTATGGCTAGCAGGGGACGTTTTCAATGTTTTAGGGGCAGTCTTACAGGGCGTTTTACCCACGATGATAGTTCTTGCTGTATACTACACTTTGGCAGATGTAGTGCTCTTGTTACAGTGCCTTATGTATGGAGATGGTAAGCAACCAGATTTTGTTCATCTATCACCAGCAAATCCTCTCAATGATGACGTTCTTGAAACGGCTTTATCACGAGAGTTGATTGAAGTGGAATCAGAAATCACCGTCACAAATTCGAACTCAAGATTCAGCCCAGTCAAGGCATTCTTGCACAAACTATTCATGGTTTCCCTTGTATTTTCGGCTGGCTTGATCAGTTGGTACATATCATACTCCAAAAATCACGGCAAGCAACATAAAGCTCCAGAAGAGATGGAATTTGATCCTCTTGCGCAATTTTTTGGGTGGCTCTGTGCGATTTTATATTTAGGGTCAAGAATACCCCAAATATTGTTGAATTACGAACGAAAGTCTTGCGAGGGGATTTCATTCATGTTTTTTCTCTTCGCTTGTTTAGGAAATTTGACGTATGTCATCTCTATTTTGGCTATTGATATGAGCTGGAATTATATTTGGGTGAACTTATCCTGGTTAGTTGGGTCTTTGGGAACTTTGGGTTTGGACTTCACAATATTCATTCAATTCTTCCTATACAACGAGAATGGTGAAACAGAATCTGAAGAACAAGAACAGCTAATTGGGGGGCTGCAACTTCAGTATTCCTCTACCTAGAAGCTTGAAAACTCACCTATTATGTGATCAATGCTGTACTATTCAAAGACTTTAATACCGATAAAAACGATTTTTTTTGGTAGATTCATCTGATTGAAGGGGCAAAACTGTATAAATGCTATATATAAAAAACCTTTCAACAGCTCCCAGCTACGTACTAAGTGTCGAAACTCGGCCCGTCCCCTTCCGTTCGTCACGGCCTGGACGGTCCTCTTGGCCCGTATCTGTTTACGTATTGGATTTACGTCATCGATTCCTGGGAAAAGTCTCCTGTAGTAGTCGCTTCAACTCAGATGGTTGTAGCGGACTTAACGAGCCAACTTCCTGCGACTCGCCACGCCTTCAAGTGTAGACCTTAAAAATCGTGGTGACGAACCAATTTAATTTTGTAAAGTTTTCCAAATAATGGGGCCAACATTGAGTTCAAGCTCATGGGCTCGGAAAATTTTAGCTCTTGCCTCCAGTATTTGGATGTTTCGCAGTTGTTGTAGATATGGCTTAGGAATAAATTCTCGAAAAATTCAGACCCTCTCAGAAAAAGATTCTTTTTTTTTTCACTCTTTGTTGTAAGATTTTATTTGTAACAGGTGAAGTGAAGTGTCTTTGGAGAAAGATGACTATACTTTGGTGTGTCAAAGGTTGCTTCTTGAAAAAGAATCGCTACACAACAAAGACAAAAATAAAAAGAGAATTTGTCCCAGGGGTGAGTCGAATACCCACGATAATGGAGGATTGATTAATTCTAGATGAGGGCCCAAAGCTTTCTAATGCTTCTCGGTGCCTGATGTTTCGTTCACATCGCTGGCTTAATAGTTTCATGCTTAGAGCATTGTTGTGGTGTTTGGGCTCAAAAAGTCATTCGAACACACACTTTTCAAGTACCGTGGTTTTGTTCTTTGCTTTTTTTGACTTCTACATTGAAAAGTCTGTTCTTGTGTATACGGCACACACTTCTACTTTATATGTTTCTTTTCCCAGAGGTCCGTTTAAAACACAAAAAGAAGAAAGCATTGGCTAGTAGTATTGAATTCAGCCCTAAGCTTATTAAGATCCGAACAGATTTCAATTTTGTGGCAAAAAACTTGGAATCGAGTATTGATTGTCTGTAGCTCATGGGTATCACCGATGGCCAATATTCTGCAGCTTCAGTTTCACTACCTCGGTGTGAATTTTCAATTCCATACAGCTTTTATGTTTGAACCACAAGCTTGTTGATTTACTACAATAGACTCATACTCTGTGAAAGATGTTATTCAGAAGTTTGAATCTGGAAAAGAGAACCCAAAGCCTAAACAATCATTCAATAAGAAAGTGGTGTTTAAGTTCGAGGATTAAAGCAGTATGGACAGGTAGAAGCCACATAATACCCCTGAATGGTTTTTAACAATCTAGAGTTACATAAACTTTAGTCTATTTAGCAAGTTCATGCTTGTTCTATTATTATGTATTCAGAATTTGATTAAGTCTTTTACGTGAAAAAGAAAAAAAAAGAAGACGGAATATCTTAATCATAACATTGGATAAATCAGAAAATCCATATCCTACAAGTCTTCAAATGAAAGTTAATATTGCGTTAGATTACTTTAATTCTGAGACATTGAAGCAAGCTCCTCACTTGAATGCAAATACAAGCAGTGACACGAAACTTTTCCTATATTCTTTACCACGTGTCAGCATTGAGCATTTTATACCAGAACAAAGGATCAACAGTAAATATGGCACAATAAAGAGCGGTTAGAATGATTTTAAATTCAAAATTCATTCAACCAGTGCCTTGGGGGCTGAAGTGAATAACAAGATTACATATTTACTAGCCCAAATTTTGGAATATCACAAGAGGTGTATGTCAAGACTTCTGCTTTAATGGCCAACTCACTCACTCCCAATCGTCATTGATAATTCTAAAATCTGACAGAAAGCGTGATCTGTATAAGCCGAATATGAGCCTTATTCTTGAAAGACTTTTTTGTTTACCGTTTTCTTTTTGACTTGCAACAACAGTTTGCTTTTAGTTCAAGAGCTTGTGTATTTCGAAAAATCAGCCATGAGTTTTGAGTTTCGTATGTGAGTGAAAAAGAAAGAACGGAACAACCCAAGCAAATCAACTTTTTTTGTTTGCTACACATGAACGGCTTACTGGTAGTTTCTACTGGTCACTGATTTAAGAATGGAAATAAAAGCAAAATTTGAGGGAAAGTAACATCAGACCCAGAGTTGATGATAAATCATTACATCATGATTAACTTTCTTTGCGCGCATAGGATGGCACTCATGAGATGCGCCAATCTAATTGCTAAAATTTCCCTATCTGAAGTATTCATATCCTTTCATAATAATAAGTGTATTATCTTTTAAGCAATACTTGTACAACACAAACATGTAAGCTTTTGTCGAGCCTTCTGAATTTGAAATTAAAAGTGATAAAAAGTAGCGCAACGAGCCCAGTGAAATTATGATGTGTACGCGCGCCAACTGACATGCTACAAAGACAAAATGCGAGATGAGGAAAATCAGTTAGTTCAACAACATGTCGTCAACAAACTCCCCACCCAATGAGACCGCGAATCTAGAACATGCAATTGTTGGCGAATTCAAGAGACAGAAGGTTGAGTTGCCCGAGGGTATGTCAAAAAATGCTTGGAAAAGGTTGCAGAAACAACAGAGATGGGAAGAGCAAAAGGATGACTTTAGATTGAAGAGAAGAGAGAAAAAGCGAGTCGCACGCCAGAGGAAATCGGAAAGAAAGATGAAAGGTTTAGATGATGAAGAAAGCAATTATCACCAGGAGGCCAAAAAAGAGCTTCCTCAGAAACAAGAGCCAAGTGGTGTCAATATCATAATGGACTGCGAATTCGATGAATTGATGAATGATAAAGAAATCGTATCCATGAGCAATCAAATAACTAGATGCTACTCAGCCAAAAGACATTCAAAGTATGAGGTTGGCCTAACCATTTCAAGTTTTAACAAAAGACTTAGGCAACGTTTTGATAAATCAATTCAAAATTATGCCAAATGGAAAAACATACAATTCGAGGAAAACGAAACTCTTGAGGATCTCTTACCAGCAGATGAAAAAGAAAGAGCGAAATATGTCTATTTGACTGCTGACACAGATGAAGAACTTCTTCAGTTAGAGGAGGGACACACTTATATATTGGGTGGCATAGTTGATAAGAATAGGCACAAAGAACTTTGCTTTAACAAAGCAAAGAAACTTGGCTTGAGGGTTGGAAGGTTGCCGATTGGGAAGTACATTCAAATGAATAGCCGTCATGTTTTGGCGACTTCTCATGTTTATGAAATCATGTGCATGTGGCTCGAAAATAAAGATTGGGAAAAGTCATTCAATTCAGTGCTTCCGCCACGAAAACTCAAGAAAGACAACTCAGAAGGGGTTTCTGACGAACTTGTGACCAAGACACAAGAAGCTAACACAGATGAACTTTAGACGTCTAAGAAATCAATGAGCTCAAAAGAGATTAATTGCAAATAAACTAAGTCAACAAAACACGTATCAATCTCACGCGCGAGGCGGATTTCTCATCGCGACGAACATAATCACCTTATTGATTCTCAGCTGTCACGTGTGTCGGTAAGAGTGTCTCAAACTGTGTCTCTATTAAGGAAGTTATCCTTCACATCATCGTATAGTTGTGCCTGCATTTGGTCGCATTGGTTGTTGTTCGTTAGTTGGTTTTATAACACGTTATGAAATGCTTCACATTAAAAATAATTCTGGTTCTCAGGCTAATTGAGTGAACATGCTTTCGACCAATACGCTTCAAATATACTATTTTGATCCTATTAATTTCACCGCTTTGGAATATGCGGCTTCAGTGTGAACAAGGCTTGATTTTTTATTGGTATAAACTATTCGGAGCTTTATCTGAGAAGAGAGACGTATACACGGACGGAGATTAGCCCGAAATCGAGACTCAATGTTCTCCCTGAGAGTTTTTCAGAGTATGTTTATCTGGGCTTTAGGTTTGGAACCAGGTTATCACGCGGGCATGCGCATAGTAATGCCAAATTTGGCTTCAAGCCCTTGCTACGATGTGGACCCTCCCTTCTGATATACATCACCGAACTAAGGCAAAGGGAAGATATCAGACGCAGGAGAGGGGCACTTTTAACACCATTCTCTTGTATGTCGTACTAGGATATCAGCTGACACAAAATGAAGTTTATATAAAAATATCTAGTCTGTAGTGTATATGATGCATGTTGTGAGAGAAAAAAAAATCAGATAATATCACTGGAGCATTCAATTTTTATCGTGGATTTCCTAGTCTATTGTCCCTTTCTAGATACATGAACGGAATGTAAGCGGTTGGAGAGGCCAGCCAAAGAGCCACGGATTCTCTTTAAAGATGATAGTATATCGGATGCCCTTCGTAAATGTGCATCTTATTTGACATTTGTAGAAGCATTATCTTACCTACAGTTAGCTAAATTTATGAAGAAGATAGATGTGAAGGACACAAAAGACGATGGGCTCAAATCCAAAAGTATATAATTTGCTGGTGATCTTAAAGTGACTAATTAAACAAGTCTCATATGAATCAAAACTAAGATTGCCAGGTTCTACAAAGAAAAAGATGAAACTGTGCATAATATGTTACAACATCCCTTTAAAAAATCAAATTTGACTTTAGAATGTCTATTGAGCAGAAGACTTAAATATCTGTTTTCAGATATGCGGTCTGAGATTTATCAGATCATAGGAATCAATTGGCACAGATACATGTGAAAGTTTTACGGAATGTTAGGTGCTAATAATCCGTGAGTTAATTTTTGATTTTACAAAAAAAAAAAAAAGAAAGTTGGTATTCCATATAATAGAAGAGGTTGCGTGTAAATGAAGGTAAATGAACGAAAAATACGAATATCACAAAACTTCACTTAAGCGAATGTTTCACATGTGAGTCAGGATGACAAACTATGGTCCATGGGTAGGGTCAAGATTCAGCCTACTAATTTGGCACAAATTTTTAGCTGTGTCTCTTAAATTTTCCAGGTAGTGATGGACTATGTACCTACGTGACTCGAACATGGTTCTCCTAAAGGATTTGGTTTTAAAGTGTTATACGGAGTCCGTCGAATTTCAAGCCATATACGCTATATGAAGGAATTGTATCCTGAAGCGCGGAATGGAAAGCCGCCCCCTTGTCGTGCTCATGCACCCGTGCCTTCCCACAGCCTTGAAGACAAAAACTCCAAAAAAACATCAATCTACCCACTAGAGCTTCTTTGAGACTGAATTGGTATTTGGTTCAATTTTCCAGCCCACAAATTCAAATCTATATAAGTACGTATCATCAAAATTTGGACCACTAGACTTTCATAACTCAGTTTGATATCTTCATGGAGTGTTTACCCGGATCACCGATATAGGGGATGTTTCGATTCCATCATACTTCCTGCAAGACGTTTGTCAGGAATTGTTCTATCAGGAAAGATGTCCCTCATTAATCTCAGCCCAATACATGGACTCATGACATTTTGCTATGGCAATCTGAAATGTTGGTTATTCGTGTCAGATGAGCCTCTTTTCTTCCGTATTCGCTGACCTACACGTCTAGAAGTTTGTTTTCTCCAAGAGGCTCTCAAGGGACTGACCTCATTTGCATGACAAAAGAGTTAAGCCTAAACAGTTCTGGGTAGGAGAATATTCTATGCTCCCATGGATAGCTGAGATATGAATAGTATACTTCTGTTTCTTTGACAAATATATACTAACTGACAAGAATGGTTCCACATCCCGCAGAGATCCGCAGAAAGTTAGTTATTGTCGGGGACGGTGCATGTGGTAAGACATGTCTCTTGATTGTATTCTCAAAGGGTACTTTCCCTGAAGTTTATGTCCCTACTGTGTTTGAGAACTACGTAGCAGATGTTGAAGTCGATGGAAGAAAGGTTGAATTGGCTCTTTGGGATACTGCCGGTCAGGAAGATTACGACAGATTGAGACCATTGTCTTACCCTGACTCCAATGTGATTTTGATCTGTTTCTCGATTGATTCCCCGGATTCTTTGGACAATGTTTTGGAAAAGTGGATTTCTGAAGTTTTACACTTTTGCCAAGGTGTTCCAATCATCCTTGTTGGATGCAAAGTTGACTTGAGGAATGACCCCGTAGTCATCAAGCAGTTGTCACAAGAGAACCAACAGCCTGTTTCCACCTCAGAAGGACAAGCTGTAGCCCAGAAGATTGGAGCTCAACACTACTTGGAGTGCTCGGCCCGAACTGGCGAAGGTGTTCGAGAAGTTTTTGAGATGGCAACCAGATCCTCATTGATGACAAAAGAGAAGAAAGAGAAGAAAAAGAAGTGTGTCGTCTTATAAGTGTAAAATGATCGGAGATAGCGCAAGGACGACTTCCTCTCTTTAATTCTTTGTTTTTACTCGCTTTTGGATGTTGAAATCGTTGTTATCATATAGTCTTAGCGAACGAACTATTAAGATAAAATATAACACAGTTTCCTTTATTTTCCAGTAGTTCAAATTGATAGACTGAATGAGTATGTATTATCACGTGATGATGGGTTTCATGCACTCCTGTGAAGGATTTTATCCAATAAACATTAGGGCAGTGCGGTGAGATAGTCTCTGCCTCCTTCAAGTCAGCAAGAAGTAAACAATATGTTGGGGAAATTTTCAATTAAAGCGCTAGTGAGATATCAAAGTACTGCAATCAATGCCACCAAATCGAGTGTCACGGGTCTTAAACCTCAAGAACTAGCACAAAACCCAAGCGCCATGCCTGCCCCAAATAGAAAGGAGACCTGGACCCCAAGTCAAGCGCCCAGAGCCGACGTTATTTCCACACACCCACATAGATTCATCCAGAGAAATTTAGATGAGCAGCCTCAGCCATATGCCGCTATCGATTTAATTGCGAAGGAACCTATCAGGTTCTTGCATGAGGGTAATATCGCAGTTTGTGATGGAAACAAAGGTAGCACTTTGCAAGGTCATCCAAAAGTTTTCATTAATTTGGATCAACCTAAAGCATCTACTTGTGGATATTGTGGCTTGAGATATGCTAAAGATGAATACAGAGATCTTATAGAGAGCACAGAAGCTTAATAGTGGCCCATATAGGTGGACGTATATGATTCGTTAAACAAGCGGATTGCGCAATAAAAATGTGGGTCTACAGCTTCTACTTTTTACATTACAATATGCTACAATTCATTCTAATCATGCCGTAGATATTCTAGAAAAGTGCCAGATCCCTGATGAACAAATATAAGTAGAGTTTAAATCGCGCAATTTTTAGATCTGACCGTTTCTGGTTAACGGATATGTCGTCAGCAAAATGTTTCCCTCGTTTAAAAGAGATTCAAACTTATTAGTTTCAATATAAACCCATGTGTTGGTGTATCGCTTAAGCAAGAGGGGGCATAAAACCGCGGGCAATCTATCGAGAATTCCAAATACCCCCACACTGAGAACAAGCTATAAATTCGAAACCGATAATGCAATACATTCACGACACCACGAATGGTGTCATACATGGGATTTGGTATTCCCGATACCACATCATACATTCTTTTATCATCATTCCGGTCGGGTTTTTGGTCCTTCTTTCAATATTGTATGGCTTCAATGTTTTACTTCGTGACATTGCGCAGATCAAGTTTCCAAGCTCTGTCTTGTGCATGCTTATCAACTTGTTTATCTTAGTCTCATTGAAAACAATTTCAAATCTTCAAGCCGCAGAAGCTGTATCTGAACGAACTTGGAAGGGCAAGGTAGGTTACTCAGCTTCTTGGGTCTTGGAACATTACCTAATGATAATCAGACCGCCCATGAACTTCTCGCTCAAATGGATAAACGTCTTCTTCATACCATCTTTCGTGATTCTTCCTTTGAGTGAATCAATATCTTTTATTGAATGCTTGAAAATTGGTGCTATATTCGTGGTAGGCGGTATTACATTGATGATGGTTGACATCTACATGATTCTTTGCTTGAGAAAAGTATTTCAATTCATAAGGATTTTACCTTACTGTGATTCAGAAAAGCTGCCTTCAGAGGCTTATCTGAAGAACAAAGAATGTGAGAAAGAGACCCAAAGTGAGGTGATGAAACCTATTAAAATAAGCCAATCATATATCTTAGCTCCCAAAGATATAACGACCATTGACATAAGCTCTCTTAGGTCTATCAAAACTTATCCAGAATACGATAATAGACAAACTTCGTTTCTCAGTGGCCAAAACAATGAGTGTAAGAATTTGCAAATTTTTGCGACTTCAACCGCTGGAATAGAATTATCCACTGTATCAGAAGTTTCTTTCGAGCAAGAGAGCTCTCAAGAAAAACCTCATTCAAAATGTGATCCCCCCTATTTTGACACAAGTATCACAAATGAACATTCAACAACAACTAAAACAGTCGCCAATTTCATCACTTCTTATATTGATTGGATCCTCTACCTTGCATTGTTCCTATTATCCCTACCCTTTTACTATATCAGCACTATTCATGTGATGTTACCTTTCCATTTGGGATTAACGGTTATTTCATACTATATTGCCATTCAAATCTTGGACAAGTTTCCAAAGGCCAAAAGGTTTGCTCACCCAATCTTAATTCTGACGGCAGAAGTTTTGTTTGTATGCTTTATATCCTCCTTGATTTACCATAGTGGGTCTCCAAAAGGCTTTCTTGATGATTTGAAGTATTACAAAACTGGCAAAAACTACTTAAATTTATTTAATGGTAAAGCAATGTATAACAGCGGTGAATTTGTGCCCCAAGGAGAGGGCATAACCTCACAGCCAATGTGGCCTGGTTGTGGTGATTTCTTATCTTCGTTGATGGATGTCTCCATTGTATCGTTGTCACTACCAATGTTTACACACCGTGGAGACTTCGTGAAAAACTTCTGGGTTTTGCTCCCGCCGCTTCTATCATCGGTAAGCTTGACTTTCTTTTGTTACCCATTAATTTGCTACAAAGTTGGCATAAGCTCGGAAAGATCAATAGGCTTCATCGGGCGCCTGGTAACTCTCGCCTTAGGGACTCCGCTTATTGATTCATTAGGTGGCTCTATATCGCTCATGGCAGTGTGCACAATTTTGAGTGGAATATGCGGTGTCTTAATCGGTGATCCTTTATTTAAAGTATTGAGGATCTCAGCCAACGACTATGTCACCAGAGGCGTAACTCTCGGGATAAATTGTGGGGCAATCGCGACGGCTCATTTATTAAATCTGGACCCAAGAGCAGCTGCCATGAGCTCTCTAAGTTTCAGTTTATTTGGTACTATCATGATTGTTTTGGCGAGCATCAGTACAATAAGGGATTTGATTCAAAGGTGGGTTGATCTTTAGAAAAACAATTTTAGGAATATATATTAAAAGCTCCTCTCAAGATGCGGCTGCGACGCGCGACGCGATGCGTAAAGTGTTCGCAAGGAGCAGTCAGTTTTCCATAGCTAAGAAGGCCATGTCGAACGTGAACGAAACCACCAGAGTGTTATTAATTCCTCGTGGAGTGGGCGATCTTGATGTGTTTCGTGTCAACTACGGAAATACCTGTAAGACCTTAGCTATATCTGAAGGCTTCGTCTATGAACTTCGTGAAATTGGGTCGTCAAGTGTGTACGACCAAAGAGGAGAGCCACAATTCCCCAGCGGGGAGCCTGTCAGATCCTTGATCATGGAATTCCCAAAACATGAATTCAGTGGGGCTGTTCTTTCGAAGCCAAACTTCATTATGTTAAGTAAATTCGATTTTGTTTTTGCTTTTCTAGGTTGGGTTGCATCCCGCTTGGAAGTCTATACAGCTCGTTTTCATACAATTGAAGATATATCAGAGAATTTCTCTAGATTGATAGAATCATTGGAAGTTTCTGAAAAACTTGAAGTCAATATTCGTAATTGTATTGAGAGAACATGTGTGAGTGTTGAAGAAAACAATGAAAAGTTCTACAGGATTTGTTTAGCGAAGATAAACAGTCTTCTAGGTTCCAAAATTCAAAATTTACAATCGATTATTCTACAAAATCCGGAATTTGTGCTATCCAAGAAAATTAAGGAGACCCTATCCGATTCGCAAGGAGAGCCTGCTGCTATAATACTCCAACAACAAGTCTTGAAGTATTCGACTGACTTTGTGTTTGGTCTATTCCCCAGCGATGACTTGAAAAGAGATTATATCAAAAAACATGAGAATGATTTTTTAGAATTAAATGCTTATTTACAAAGTCAAGCTTTTACGCAAAAATCTGTTTCAATAGCTGAACAGAACTTGGCATCTTTGGGAGCACAGCTGGGAAGTGCGAATGGCAATAGTAAATTGAGAAGTGGAAAAACAATTAAGTCCCATAAAAAGCAGTCAATCAAAGTTGCTGTAGGAAAAGGAGCTTTGGATAATTTCTTCAAACAAAAATAACTACTATATATGCTTCACTATTAAAACTATCTAGGTGCGCCAACCTCGAGTAGCCTCAAGTTCATTTTGGTATATCTTTCATCTTCATCCTTCTTTAGCAAAATCTTAATTTCATCACTCATTGTTTCGGCCACTGCAAAAGCCGAGTCCGCTAATTGTAATAAAGTCGCTCCATCAATCGGAAGGCCACCGTTCTTTGAGACTTGAATCAATTCCCTATTCTTATTTATTGTGATCACAAGTGATCCGTCTCTGACAAATTCTTCACTCAGATCAGCATCCATAATTGCAATTTCTTGGTTCAGGTCTCCCTTTATGTTTTCGACTTTGTCCATAGGGTTGAAAAATGAATACGTGACACAAATTGGAACATGAAGAATACTCAAAGGAACCGGTTGACGTTCTTCATAATCGTGAACAATTATCTCTGTGCCCCTTATAGAGACATCTGGCTTTCTAAAATGCTGGAGAGCGGTCATCACTCCTAAACAGGATGCGTCTATGAAGCCTCCATCGGAATTTAAAAAATTTATATCAGCGGTAACATGCCAAACTTTCTCACCTGCTATAATACACAAGCTTTCAAGATCTAGAGAATTAGATCTCCTCACCGCCTTCTCTATCAATCTTGAGATGAGCACCTCATCGTCTGTATTTTTTCCGTTTTCGAACGAGGGAGATGCCATTGGACTGATTTCTGTATTGATGGTAAACACACCTTCAAATGGCCTGTCATCAAAGGGTTTTATGATTTCACAACTAACTCTTACTGCCAATTTGGTTTTTCCAAGCAGTACTTCAACAAATCCATACTCAGTCTTGGAAATCTCTATCTGAGGCTTCCTCATTTCGTTGAGGCCTCTCCCATTCAAGCGGATCCCATTTTTGAGGCCCTCGATAATGAACGCACGCTCATTGAGTGAAACTGTGGTTGTTTTAGCCATTCTTGACGAGAGTGTCAAAAATGAGTCTATTCTTCTTCGTCCTTGAGTACTCAGAAGCCACCACACTCGTGGTCACGTGAGATCATAGCCTCGTACAAAGAAAAACCTATAAACTCAACTTCAGCTTATAGACATAAGAAGCGCTGCAATGTTTTTGGACTAAATAACTTTCCTTCCTGCGCTACTATCTTCTCTTACTTTCCAGAAGGCATTGTTTGTAATCTTTCGTTCACGTGTTGTTTGCCCATAGCTCTGGGTTTCGCACTACCAGTATAGAAGCCTGCGATCTTCTTTCAACCCTTCGTTTCGGCACTGTCACCTTCATTGATCAAAATGAATTCCACACGTATCATCAGATCACCTAGCTTTGGTGTGTCTCGCTGGTATAGCTCTTTTAACAACACCAGACTTGGGCCCTCGGCTTTGAGCTTTTTTCAGAAGGAACGCTTGCCTACAAACACATTAGTCAAATTCGTTCCACAGCAAACAGCCTATGTTGTGGAACGAATGGGAAAGTTTCACAAAATCTTGGAGCCAGGCGTAGCTATCATGATACCTATTCTCGACAAGATCACTTATGTCCAATCGTTGAAAGAAACAGCGATCGAAATTCCTTCGCAGAATGCCATAACTTCAGACAATGTGTCTTTAGAATTGGACGGAATTTTGTACGTCAAAGTGCATGATCCTTACAAGGCTTCATACGGTGTAGAGGACTTCAAGTTTGCAATAAGTCAGTTGGCGCAAACTACCATGAGGTCCGAAATTGGGTCAATGACTTTGGATTCTGTTTTGAAGGAGAGACAACATCTAAACAGTAATATCAATGGTATCATCAACGAAGCTGCTAAAGAACACTGGGGAGTTCAATGTTTACGTTATGAAATAAAAGATATACACCCACCCCAGAATGTTTTAGAAGCGATGCACAGACAAGTGAGTGCCGAAAGATCTAAGAGAGCTGAGATTTTAGAATCCGAGGGAACCAGACAATCTAAAATTAATATCGCAGAAGGTGAAAAACAATCCATGATCCTCCAAGCAGAAGCTACAGCGATAAGTATTGAAAAAATCGCGAATTCAATCAAAAATACACCAGGAGGTATGGACGCTATCAATCTTCAAGTTGCACAACAATACATCAAGGAGTTTGGTAAAATTGCGAAGGAGACCAATACAATTGTGCTTCCCTCGAACTTGAATGACTTAAATGGCCTCATGGCGACTGGCTTGTCGCTTTTCAAATCAATGAACAAGCAACAGACCGTTACATCGTCTAAATCAGAAAAGTGATATTTGTAAATAGAAATTATACTAAATCCTAAAAATCTGTGCGCTGAATCTCCACCGTTTTCCCTTCAAAAACCTCAACAGTTCACCAAAATTTGATCACACCTCATCCACCTTCTCAAGGTCTAGTGTGACGGGCAAATTCGAGTCTTTTCTCGACCTCTTCTTCACGAACTTTTTCCCCTTGAACTTTGAATAAAGTCTTTCAGAAAACTTTGTGAAATTTGTGCGGACGCACCACTGATAAAACCACCATTCCAACAAAAATACACATCCTGCAATCAAAAACCCTGCAAGAACGGCTAGGCCTATGTGCTGAGCCATCAACTTCATAAGTTTGGCATCATCTAGATGCCACGATGATCCTGGTGAAATTGAAAAGAAAGAGTCTGAATTTGCTTTATAATCGTTAGGAAGTAGCACTCGAACTTTTCCCGCCTCAGGTACGCCCTTCCTTTTGTATTGCATTAGCATCACAGAGAGGAATAGTGGGCCAGTAGAGAACATAATTGTAATATAGGGGACAAGCCAGTTTCGCTGGTATTTCTCAAGATTCTCGAGAACTTTCACAAAAAACAAGTGGCCTTGTACAGCCCCCATAACATCATTTGATATACCTGTTGGCTGGGTCTCCCGGACGAATGCTGGAACAGTCAAAAGAGGGTCTAATCGTCTCATACATCCATCGTCGAGGTCGATATAAATTCCGCCATAGTGCGCCAACGCAAAATAGCGGATTGCATCTGCTCTCTGTATTGGGTACGGATATAAATCCCAGGTTCTTAAGAACCACGGATATTTTTCTGCGATAAAGTCTCTGGCCATCTCATCTGTCCATAAGATATATTGATAATCGGGGTGTAGATCAACACAAGCTTGCTGCCCAGGTTGCCAGGTTTCGGGAATTTGATCAGTTTTGTAAGTTTGATGAATTATCTTCGGGATTAGAAGGCTCTTGTCCAATTTACCATCCACCGGGTTGAGCTCCATATCAAGAAACGAGTCAGGGAACGAGTCATCGAATAGCAAGCTGATCAAGTCATAAGTACAGTAGAATAAGAAAAAAACTATCGCAAGATGCCCCCATAAGATATATTTCAATTCTTTCCGCATGTTCGGTATGATCTCAGCAGGACTTCTGATAGTTCTATTCCCAAGTTTGTTTACTTCAGCATTGAACTCCACTCTTTTTTTTTGAGGGATTGGGAATTTGTTTTGAAGGTTTGTGGGTGTAATTTGAGTTTTAAGTATTACTCAGTGAGATGGACGTGTAATAAATGTATAGTGGAAGCAGGGTTTCGACAAGCAGAAACGACTATTGGGGAAGGTAAGAGTTTTAATCCCAGGAGAGTGTGAACGCGGCTTTTCATGTAAGACTACGAAAAAAAAAAAAGTAAAAGAAATATGAGCTACAAGTATTGAACACTGAATGATAGTGTTTGTTCAGTTGAAAAAGGTTAATTATGTGAAAGCAAGTTTCATGCTGTGATTTGGTCATTTAAACCGTAGTTTTTTTTTTTCTCTATCTGTGTAAATGCTACAGGCCATAGTTAAGGATGAAAACATTACCAGGCGGAGCAGTTTCAGTGACTGTCACGGTGTTCGCTGCGCGAAAATAGGGGTAAGGGAATTTATTTCTTCATTTTGCTCTTACGTACTCAATGCGCACACAAGGCTTGGAAAATGATCTGCTCAGAGAAAGTATTCTTGTTGGCTAGCAGAATATTTTCCCCTTTAATCCCTCCCCAATATCTTGATTATTGCAGGTAACGGATTAGGTATTTCTTATATTATACGAAACTCAAAATACACATGTGAAAATCTATGAACCGTTGTCATATTTTGGGTTTGTTTCTCTTCATTTTGTCATACTATGAACACATTTTAGAATCCTTCTGCAAAATTTGACAAATTCAATTACAATATTGAAAACGTAATTATGTGACCACACCTTTTACAACTTACACACACGTGCTTCGCTTGTGGTTCCTGGAAAAATCCGATCAAAATTTTTGTCAACAATGTCGATCATGTAATTTATAGAAGAATCATCCGACTTATTTGCCTTAAGGCCGTTCATAAATCCGGAGATGAAGTACAAGTCGCTGGGATTTTTTATCATGACATAAGCCTTTGTCTTGGACTTATTTTTTAAAATTTTGATGATCTTCAAATTGTTCAAATAAAACAAGAATGAAAGAAGATACTGTTTGTTGTAAGTTTCAACGTGATATGATGCGGAGTCATTTTCAAAATTTTTGAGATTGTCTTTTTGAATAATTTTCAAAAGAGACTTCGTTGTTGGATAGTCTTTCAGTAGCGAAGCATCGTCAATGAGCTGTTGTTCTGGGATCGCATTGCAATTTGCGAAGCTTTGACTATCTACGAGAGATAAGCTTTCAATACAAATGGCGAATGAGCCGATGAATGGTCGAACTATTGTGGCAAGAACTGTGTGATAATGCACGTCGAGTATTTCGAAAGAATCTGATATCAAGTTCAAATCCTTGAATTCTTTGAGAATGTTGGATAATTCGTGCCTTGCATTGTAATCATAATCAAAAAGAAACTCGTTTTTCAAAACACCTGTGAAAATGTAGTAAAGCTGACTGATGCGCTTCTCATTCAGTGTTATAAGTAGGATCAAAGAGACCAAGCATTTGTGGATAATCAAATGTATTGTGAGATTTTTATAATAGAGAAGTTCGAAACTGTTCACCACTCTCACCCTTTTAGTATGCGGGTTTACTTTTGTATATCTGAATATTTTGACGATTTGAGACTCAATCAATGAAACCTTTTGATCCTCAGTTAAAGATTGTATTTTCTTAAGGCAACCAATGGTTGATGCGTTCACGGTTTCTTTTTCAAGTATTGCCGTTAAAAGATTCATCATTGGCAATAATTCCTTGACGAAAAATTCTTTGCGGCCATCATAATAGTAGAAAGTTTGAACAGTAAATCCAATCAAAGCAGATTCAGGAATATAAGATATATCATTTATCGAATGTAAGATCTTGAATCCTAGCTTCTTGAGGTTGGTGTTCTGTTCATGTCCAACTGCGTCTACCTGATCTAGGTCAATCATATTCTTAGGATCATTGTAGTATGAGGAATATGTGAAATTTTTCGCCAAAGTCACAAATATTTTACCGTTCAAAGGCCTGCTTGAGTTGTCGACAAAGCCATCCGACAGATATGTGACTTTCTTGCGATCATTCCTCGATATCATATTCGTTACTCCATTTGACATTATGCTGATGAAACTTTCTTGCTTCTTGTCTTTTCCGATTAATTCGTGAAGATATCCATCTGCCTCATATATTCTCTCGTAGGTTATAGAAACGGGCTGGATCAAAAAGTCAAAGTGGGCGTTCTCATTTTCCTTCCGTTGTTTCTGATAGATTGATGCCAACGTCTTCAAGATTCCATACTTTGGAAGAAGTAATTTACCATCTCTAGAGCGAGTTCCTTCAATGAAAACCTCAAAGTGGATTTTGTTCAACAATACAAATTCAACATAGTTTGTCAAGTTTCTTTCAGTATAAGCTTCGTTATTGAAAGATCTTTTAATAAATATTCCACCCAAGCCTTTCAATATCGACCCAAATATTGCTACATTCAAATTATCTCCTGCAATAACTGTAGGGAGAGACATTTGAAATCTGATCAATATGAGGTGCAAGATGACATAGTCAATGTGAGACTGATGGTTTGGCAAGAGCACTATCGACATTGGGTCATGGAGATAAGTCTTGTAAAGATTGCTAAATTGCTCTCTATTAGTCCACACACCTTGGGGAAACATTTTTGTGACAGTCTTGATAACTGTTATGTAGCATAATCGAATAAAGCTGTACGATCCAAATCTCGGAAGATTTTTCAAATTTTCTTGTTTGTAGTAGTTTATCATAAAATTTTTTACCTCCGTAAATCTTCTCGGAAAGTCTTTTGCTTTTATCAAATTCATTCGTAACTCCAGATCGACTAGATCATACACGATTTCATCAAGCTTCTTGTCTGAATGTTCCAATCTATCGTTCATGAACAGCTCGCTCATACTGTTGAACCGCTTTGACGCCTTATGAACGGAATACCTATACTCAGCATTTTTGTAGATATCGAAAACATTAATTCTTGTGAAATAGTTGATAAAATGTTCTAAAAGTTGAAAACTTCTACTAACCTCTTCGTTGGATTTCATGGGAAGGTATGTTTTTTTGTCTGACGGCAAGGGAAATGTAAGCTCAAGATTTGGGCTAGTCAAAGCATCTTCAAGAATATTCACATCAAACTCAGAATTCGATATCAGGTCTAGCATCGTTGGCTTCGTTAGATATTTCGATGTGAGTTTCAAATTCAAAGAAGTATATCTGCGAGACGGGCCCAACAATTCTAACCCCACATCTCGAGCTCAATGTACAGTCGCATTTCTTCAATCCGCAGTACTATATTCTTTTAATCCGAAGCAGAGAATCATCCATCATTGCATGGACTTATTTTCATGTTATTACCTCGAATGTAAAGATGTATTCCTACTGTCTCCATATCTTAATTCCTGGGGGTTTGATTCATTTCTACATATCAAAAGAATTGAAGCAGATAAGAAATATAAGGTGCGGGTTGTATCATCATCGCCTTTTCCGGGGAATATATCTGCTACACGCGTTCAAAGCTCGAAGTGCAGCAATTATATGATTCCTAAGAACCCAGTTCACACCAGTCTTTTCCCTGGCTTACCTGTTGAGTACATAAAGACTTCTCAAGCCACAAGCTAATGAATCCGGCGATCATGATGCCAAAAGAGTCGCTTATACCAACACAAGCCATTGAAAACTCTCTCATATCAGGGTGTACATTTTGGCTTACATTCAAGAAGGTATTGACGTACAGAAGCCCACCTAGTAAACCTTCGTAGAAAACTACCAAAACAACTGGAACAATATTATCAAACGGAAAGTCACATATCGATTGCAGGAGCAAAATCAACAAGTTAAGCATTTGTAATACACTCAAGGTGTATAATCTTTCAAAACGAAATCCAAATGTTAGCGAAGACCTCGACAAAAAAACACCAAGTTGATAGACAAAACCGTATACGACATATATGTCTCTGTAACTCGTAATTAACCATTTGGGAAGGTCGCTCAAGGGAAAAAGTAATGTAGGGGAAATACCTTGATTTATAACATATTCAAAAATGTAAACCGAACATAATGGAATCATGTATGGTTTTATAAGAGGCTTGATGGAGAAGATGGTGTTTTTCAAATGATTCCCCATTCTGGCCGCCTTTGTCTTCAATCGCTTGACGGGTGGTCTTTGGTCCTCAATATAGGTTTCTTGGTTGTGAATTGTAGACAGAGTCGAATTTATGCATAACGGCTCATAATTTCTTCCGGTTTGAGGTTTTGGTAGCACAATATGATATGTCATTGGAAAGCCAAAGGGGATGATAGCAAAAACTAGTAATGCCATCCGAGTACTTATACCGGCAAGGTTTGTCATAATCAAAAAGGACAAGCTTCCCAAAATACCTGCTGCTCCAGTCCCCATAGAAAAGCCACCAATTGATTCCTTCTCATCATAAAAATGTGTAAGCTGTAGAAATGAAACTTCCCCCAACCCAGATGAAAGCGAAGCCATAGAAACACCTAATAACTTTGCCAGGGTAGAGTTTTCCCTTGACATGCTCACTAGTAGCATACCAAAAGACGAAAAGACGACCAAAATCCAGATTCTCGTGATGTAAGGCACTTTATGAATGAAAAAGGGGGCCAAGAGCTTTACAGAGAGGGATGGCACAATATCGGCCAAAAGTACGATAGCTTTAGGCAAAGAGAATCCAACAATGTCGACCGCTGCCGACAATATAACAACATAAAGGATATTTTTGATTAGACCAAATGCCAAGAACGAAACGAACACTCGCTTAATTTGAAGAACCATGAAAAATAATTGGTACTCGATAAGGATAATTGTGGACCACTATCATGTTGTGACGCGCGCACCCGGATGAATAGCAATTTAGAAACCATATACACAAGTTTGATGCGCAACAATTTTACCAAGCCTATTAGAATGTTAAAAACTTTTGGTCTGTTGTTTCTGTAAGTTCTTTGCATTCATGAATCTTATGCGAGAACCTGGAGCTTCTTTGGGAATCCTCGCACATTACTTTGTACATCTGCTGAACACATCTGCTGAACACGTATCCAGTCTCAATTTTCCCTAATGTGGCTGTTCTTTCAGTTCAGATCTCCGGGGCCGGCTTCATTAAATCCAATTAATATTATATTTTCGGTCAATATTTGTCTCAATATTATGCAACAAGTAGTTATGCCGTAGCTGAAAAAAAAAACAATTCAGAAGGATGATATGCAGTTTGATCTGAACACGCCTAAAAATTTCATGACTCACTAACTGGAAATTGCTTAAAAGAAGCGGCATATTTCTCATTGGCTTTCGCCGAAAATTTCGACACCGATCAACAAGAATTTCTTGAATCATGAGTAAGACTCCTATCCCCGAAGAATTCGATGACACCAGAATTTTGGGCTATGATCCATTGATTCCACCTGCGCTTCTTCAAAATGAAGTGAGTGCTAAAAAAAACTCTTTGGAGGTGGTCATTAGAGCAAGAATCGACTCTGCGCAAATCATAGCAGGTACTGATGACAGATGTTTGGTTGTTGTGGGACCATGTTCTATCCATGATACCCAAGCAGCCATGGAATATGCCAGACGGCTCAAAGAACTCTCACAGGAGTTGGAAGATGACTTGGTCATAATCATGAGAGCTTATTTGGAAAAGCCAAGGACTACTGTCGGTTGGAAGGGTCTTATCAATGATCCAAATGTTGATAACACTTTCGATATCAACAAAGGATTGAGAGTATCAAGACAATTGTACGCTGACCTCACTGGTGAAGTGGGTGTTCCAATCGGTTCTGAGATGTTGGATACCATTTCTCCACAATACTTCTCAGATTTCTTGAGTTTTGGCGCTATCGGCGCCAGAACTACTGAGTCTCAATTACACAGAGAATTAGCATCAGGATTATCTTTCCCAATTGGTTTCAAAAACGGTACAGACGGAAACATCGGCGTTGCATTAGATGCAGTTCAAGCCTCCTCCAAAGGACATCACTTCATGGGTGTAACCAAAAACGGGTTAGCTGCCATTACGACAACGAAAGGAAATGACAACTGTTTCATTATCTTGAGAGGTGGTAAGAAAATCACGAACTACGATGCTGAGTCTGTCAGAAATGCAAAAGAAAGTATTGCTAAAAGTTCCGACCCAAGCATCAAATTGATGGTGGATTGCTCGCACGATAATTCCGAAAAGGATTACAGAAATCAACCGAAGGTTTTGGACTCTGTTATCGAACAAATTTCTGCGGGAGAGAACAGTCTAATTGGCGTGATGATCGAATCTCACATCAATGAAGGAAAACAAGGTATGCCAAAGCAAGGCACAGGAAAAGAGAGCTTGAAGTACGGAGTTTCTATCACTGATGGGTGTGTTTCATGGGAAACTACCGTCACTATGTTGAGAAAACTCGCTGGGGCTGTGCAAGAGAGAAGGGCCAAAAACCAAGCTTAAAAATTATTGTCTTCGCGATAAATTGGTGTCACGATTTCCTACAAAGAAAGTCTTAATGATTTTGTATTTAAATTTATTCAGTTTCCAACGTTTATGTTCATATTTTTAGGACGATTTGTGTCTATTGCAGTACATGACAAGATCCTTGTGTCCTTTATGATCTAGGCCTCGCGGATCTGTGGACGACAATTCAAGTCAAGCATAATGAGGTGCATTTAAAGTCAAAACATCTTCGTTGACAGGGCATCAGATAGTGTGTTGCTTGATGAAGTATTTTTTGGGCTATGTGTCGTAAGACTTTCTACTTTGCCAATGTACGTGGCAATTCGAGAGTGCCTTCAAATGGCAAGCTGCCGCAATCAAAACCATAATGTGAAAAATTTGATGCAGGTGGCCAAAGATATCGAACTTCCCCGGCACTTTTTTACATCGTGTTTCCTCTGTGTGGCAAAATCTCTCAGGAATTCTTGCTGCGTATAAAAATGCCCCTACGATGTAGAAAAGGCCCTCGAGGATCAACCATTGTGCACTTAATCGATGGAACGCATCAATTTTCCCGAAAACATTTGCAGCTATTATAACTGGTATAACACCTGAAAGACCATATATCACGAAAACAAATGATCTTAGTGGACGGTAAAGAGGCGTGGAAAATTTCTTATCGAAGGTCATAATAGTACATACTGAGCCAAGGGTCATGAATATCACGACAAGACTATTTCTCCATTGAGGAACCTCTTCGAAAACAAACATTACGACTGATATCAACGAAAATGTGATCATAACAACGATCCCAAAATAATCGCATTGATTTCCAAATCCGCACACTCGTGGTGAATGTGACTTAAAAAGATGAAAGAGGGCAGACAGTGTGAGGCATGTGTAGGCTCCGATGCCAAATAAGAAGTAACTCAATCTGATCCAAGCCGGAGTGCTTGCACTCCAATATATGACGTATAAAAAGAGAATTATGGCTGTGAGAGCTGCAGGCATAAGGTGAGAATAAATATTGACGGTTTCATTGTGTAAATATGTCATGGACTCCAAACATTTTTTATAGCTTGAAGTATGCTTCACGTAAGCGGAACGAATGAAATGATTGTCCTGTTGCCACAGATCCAATTCGTGATAAAAATAAAGATTATTCCGTTGAGGCAAATATATCACATACTGCTTTTTCGACTCCATTTTGTTCATTCTTTGTCAGGAAAAAAATGATAGATTAATGGCCTCTACTTGACGTACACATGTGATAAACAGAGATTACCAGTACGCACAATCACGTGATGCTGACACACTGTTTGATACTATAAATAGAAATATGGTGGTGGAAATTGGTATTTCTTCGCTCATTTGAAGGAAGGTTCCAAATTTTCAACCAATTCAGAGTACAAATGAAGCTTTTCAGTTATGTCAATGCCCCTTTGCTCAGTACCATCTATCTTTGTACCCATACGTCGATTGTATATTTCGCCAGTGTAGAAGAACTTCCAAGGGGAGCTTTTGATATTCACAGAGCCTCTGCATCTTTCAAAGTACCATTTGTTTACAGGATTGTTTGCCCTTGACCTCCAGAGTAGTTCCGCCTGATGCGATTGGGTTATGAGCTTGAAAATAACGTCAGCCAAACTAGGAATTCCTTGGTTTCGTTTAGCGATTGCAAACTTATCCAAGTAGGCAACTTTATTCCCATTACTCAAATATTCCCACGTGATAATCGCTGCACCTTCATAGTCTCCGACAATTATCAAAGTAGCGAGTGAATCGTTTATACGGGCTAAATATTCTTCTGTATTGAGGCTTTTTCCAAAAGAATCAGCGATTAAATGTAGCATTTTTTCTTGATTAGCCCATCGTTTACTAGGTTCTCAAATTTGAAAACACCATGATATGAATCTTGATCCAAAACAGTCACTTGAAATCCATTTTTGATAATTGATGTAGATACTTGTGGTGTTCTCTGTAGAGCCGATGGCAATGATGATGAGATGATTGGTCTATCTGTTAATACATTGTATACCACAGGATTAAGCTGATCATCATTCACGGACATCACAAGAGGCGTTGTTATAATCCCAGTCGCAGAGTTGCTTCCAGTTTTTTGAGCGACAAGATGCAAAATTCTGTTCATCGATTCAAGATTAGACATGTGAGACTCTCGCATTTTTGGCTCTAAATGTCCAATGTACAACTCTGAAACAATGTCTGAGAATTCTTGGGAAAGGTTGATAAAGACGTGACTTGTTTGATTGCGCTCAATGGACGGAATTCCACCAAGAGAGTCGATGTATATGATCTTCTCAATCGACAATACATCTGGAATTTCCAGCAACTCGGAGCATATAGTTAGCAATGCATCTTTTGGCTCGAGAAACCTTTGCGAACCGTCACTTGCGTTGAATATTGCTGGAATGATTATTGGCACGATACCCTGGAGCAAAGGAATCAAGAGCAGTTCTAAGGAGTCAATTCTTGCTTTACCTCCAGATTCTCTAATCTCTTCAATAAACAAAGACCTTGTTAAATTAGTTGGAATCAGGTCAAGCCCACTTTTCACTTTGTTCAGTAAAAGCAGCAGTAATCTCTCGGCATGTTCACTTAAAAATGAGGAAATCAGTTTAAAACTATGTTCAGTCATATCATCTTGACCACATACTATAATCGGCGAGACTCCTAGTTGAACAAGTCTGTTCAAAGTCTCAGTAATTCCTCCAAGATGTTCATTCGAAATATCCGCCATTGATATTTTGAATAACGCCACTCTTAAGGGGGCACTCTGATTTTGTTGCAAAGACCGCATCTTAGCTTGAAAGCCAGACTTCCCCCTGGTTAAGTGCTTTTCGATCAAAGCCTGCTTTCCTGGTGTTGTAGACCATTTTGGGAGGTTTACTTCATGGAAAGAGGTGGCTGTCAAATCAAATTGATCTTGGTATTTTTCAAGAAAATTTTTTGCCTCCCTTTTAGTGGTAGTTGAGCGTAGAATCGATAAAATCAAGTCACGTTTCGATTTAGTAACGAGATCGGAAACTTTAAAATTAGATACGAATTGTCTATTCAAACTCGTGAAATGACTCATGAAGCCTTACAGTTCACTTGTAAATGTTCAAGATCTCAACTTTTGAGGTACACTAGTCACGTGTTGTGGCTACTCAAAATCTGACCCTTCTCCTTCCCCCTCTTCAACGGTGGTGCTCTCATGCAATTCTCTCAATTTTCCCATCACACCCAAAACAAAAGGCCTCATCTCGTTGATTTCCATCAACGAAAGGCCATTAAGTTGAATATTTGACTCGTTTAATTCTCGTAGTCCTCGTTTCGATTTCAGCTGTCTCAACTCTTTCAAGTCCTGAAGTATCGATCGTAAATAGGTGCTTGAATCTTGTAGATCATCCGCGGCTTTCGTGAGCATTATCTTCGCTAGCTCTATCCAATTCCATGGTAGTTTGGAAAACATATGCGGGAACTTTCTCTCTTGCTCGTAGATCTCTGACAAGTGATCATGATTCAACCAGTCAGGTATTATTATATTACACTTTCCTTGACCCTTGAGTATAAGAGCTATCCAAAGCGGAACCTCAACCCTTTTCATTCCTTTAAGTTGAGGAACTCTGTCCTTATTATTAGTATTTTGTTGATATTGTATTGTTTACTCTGGACCGAGACAAGACGAAGAAATTTCCAACATACGGCTATGAGATCCAATTTAGGCATGGAGTATCGCGGAAGAATTGAGATCATTTCATTCTCGCAAAGAAACTGGATTTCAGCTGGTGACAAGTTTTGTCTTAAGTTTTCTATCAAAACCATGGCTTACTTTCGGGATTATGGTGGTGTAAAGGTGACATAAATATCAGAGCCGTGCAGGTTTCTTGCGCGATTGTAACTTCAAAAGCCGTAGAAACTCGCTCAACAAAATCTCCCCATGCCGCTCATCGTCGGATGTAAGAGAATCTCTCGCAGAACATGTAGACAAAAACCCCAAGCAATTCGTCAAAGTTTTCGATATTTCGCATTCTGGATTTTCAAATACAGTTTGCTCATTATATTCCACCATTTTTTTAAAAATATCATTTTCATTATCCTGACACGAAAGCAAAATCATTCTCCTATGGAGCTGAGGAAGAATAAATGTATCGCGAAACGCCAAGAGTATATCGTTATCGAAAGTGTATCGTCTTGTAGCTGATTCAAACTTCGAATCTTGTGAAAAAAGAAATTCGAGATAGGATTCAGCTGGGACAAAGATGTGCAACAAATAGAATCTCACATTAGAGTTGAAATAATTCCAGGCTCGAGCAATAAGGCGCCAGTTTTCTAGATAGATCGTGAGTTCTCGTTTTAATTCAGAAAATTCTTGAAGATTCTCCGAATCAGAACTCTGAATTGTTAGCAAACCGAAAGAGTCTTCCGGAAGTTTTGGTGCCTTTTTATGAATAAATATGTCAGCTAAAGTCTGACAGCACTTCAAGAAGAATCGTGAAATTTGAGTCAAAAATTCTTTTAATTCTAGTTCGGTTCTTTCATCATCAGCACCGTCCGTTGAAATCCAGTTGCTTACCTGCCCATCAAATATCCTCTTCGGGAAATTATCTATCTTTTCTTCTTGACTAGGATTTTTTTTGATTTCATGCCTAATACCAAGAAGTCTTTGCTCGACAAAGGATTCCATTTCTTCAATACATAGCTTTTGTAGTTCCTGGCTACCTTTGCCCTCGGGTAAATGTTCTCTTGGACAAAGTATGGGAGTAATTAAATCAAAAATATCAGAGAATGCTTTTGTGTAGTGCTCATCACCAGGGTGTAATCCTAGTCTCAACTCGTCTGGTTGAAATCCAACAATCGGGCTTTCAGGTGCGGTTCTGTGATGTTTTTGAATGTATGTATCAGCAGATGTCATGTACCGACGGTGAAGCTCGAAGATTGTAGTACCTTCAACTGTTCTGCTATCTACTCCAATTCCATGGTTAGGGTCAGTAAAGTGATATGTTGATGCAGCCACGCGATCAGTGATATAAGAATTGGAGCTCTGGGAAGATAGCTGAACAATATTTCGTCGCAGTGATGTGTAGATACTATTCTGCTGAAATTCTCGACTTTCGGAGTTGGTTTCGGCGTTCTGATCGGTTAATGATGTATGGGGTCTATGAAAGAGACTGTTGAGTTGAATCGAGGGAGAATTTGCTTTTTTGAGAGTGCTAGATTCCAAGAAAGACGGCTTTCGTGAAAGGCTTCTCGCGTTGCTTCTCTTATTCCTTCTTCCATGAACCGTTGATTCATTTTTGCTGAGAAACGTTTTTTTGGTATCTAAAGTCGATCGTGAAGATTCTAGATAGTTGACATCTCCGTGAAGTTTTGAAAGCTTGAACTCTTCGCTTTGATCCACCAATTCGAGTTCATCGCGGCTCAGCCTGTTCGACAGCCAATTATTTGGTTCCAGAATCGTTTTTTTACGGCTAAAAAACCTATGCAAAGATCTTTTTCCCGATGTGTTCGTGTTTAAACTCGATCCTTGAGACGTGTTTGTTGCCTGTTTTTTCAAGGTTGCAAAACCCACGCTCGAGATTTGAGCCTGTAGTTCTGTCAGCTTCTTTTGAGGTCGCAATTCCACGCTGCTGTCTTCGCTTTGAGTAGGATTCGAGAGCATGTGTATTCTTGATAAGGAAATAAGACGAGTTTGTAAGCTTCTCACTCTAAGCGTAGTAGAGACATTCGGTTCACGTGACGCTCTGCCATGGGAGGATAAAAGGTTGGGTTTCACGGCTAAACAAAGCTTCTTCTATAATGATTTTACTGCAACTCTGATCAAGGCTTGCCTTGGCTCAGAAATAAAAAGACAAGCCTCACTTTGAAATTTTCATTTTTGAATTTCGCATTCGTAATGTATGAAGAATTGGAGACATTAAAAAGCGTTTCTTCATCAGCTAATAACAATAATCGTAAATAAAAAAAGCAGGAAATCAGAAAAACACAAACCCATCAATTACAACAGTGAAGCCGAAAGGGTTAGTATCAATGCTAGATTATCGAACATATTTTTTCATTCACTCATCTCTTTCACTTCTCTGTGCCTTTACTCGGCATATCGTGCACGAATTATTCCTGAATAGGAAAACAAATAAATAAACAAACTGAACCTTCGCGCACGTTGAAACGAGAATGCCATAACTAAATTTGGAATGTGGGACTACCGGTGCTTGATAACTCTTCATGACTTACTCCAGTGACGACTCAGATCCTTTCAGGGATCATCCAGATCCCAGTGCACCACTAGCAGCTTTTACAAGTGATCGGACTTCTCCCAGAAGGTTATACCAGTTGAACACGGAGGTCGCACACTCTGACGACGATTCAGAATTTGTGGGTATTCCATCATCATTGCTGGGAAACCCCAATCAAAGAAGATCTCCCAACATATTTACTAGAAGCTCAATGTATGCTCAACCAAATGTGAACAGTCTTCTGAGTTTGTCAGTTCCTCCTCTTACTCCTGAGACAGCTAGAACACCGCGAGCAAACTACACCTTGCAAGAAAGCCCAAAAAGAAAAAAACAAGCGGGCTATAATCTTTCTCGGATTTCATCAATACGGAATAAAGAAGATGATGTGAGTCCTGTCCAAAATTTTCAATCCCCAGATCGACTCAGTAAAAGTGAGAGGATCTTAGAACCTCCCGAACCCATCTTTACACCAGAAGCCCTAGCTGAAGCCAAAACTCTCAGCAGCGAAGTGTTTGATGACCAGACTCTTCATCTGAGTGCAAACAGTGAATACGCATATCAGATTTACCAAAAAGAGTATGATGACAAGCAGAGTTTCTCTGATGTAAATACCGCAGTTACGAGTGAGTCTTACCAGACTTCGAATCAAGAGAGTGATTATTTTGGGGCATCGTTAGATAAAGATATGATGCAGAATATCACAAAAGACTATGTTCCCAATAAGGAGAAAACTTTTATGAAACGCAAGGTACGGCTTGTCGACGGCAAGTCTGGAAACCTTGTATTAGAGAATCGAATTCCCGAAGAATTGCAAAAGGTGCTCACTCGAACTGACTCCCCTTTTGGTGAATTCACAAACATGACGTACACTGCTTGCACAGCTGAACCTGACAACTTCGTGCAAGAGGGATTCACTCTTCGGGCTGCAAAGTACGGAAGAGAAACCGAAATAGTAGTCTGTGTTACTATGTATAACGAGGATGAAACTTCTTTTGCCAGAACGATGCATGGAATAATGAAGAACGTTGCACATTTGTGTTCTAGAAGCAAATCATCAATTTGGGGAAGAGACTCGTGGAAGAAAGTACAGGTAATTATTGTCGCGGATGGACGCAATAAAATCAACGAGTCTGTGTTACAACTTTTAACTGCAACTGGTTGTTATCAGGACAATTTGGCCAGGCCATATGTTAACAACAGAAAGGTAAATGCTCATTTATTTGAGTACACCACTCAAATTTCAATCGATGAGAATCTCAAGTTCAAAGGAGATGAGAAGAGCTTGACTCCAGTTCAGGTACTATTCTGCTTGAAAGAACAGAATCAAAAGAAAATCAATTCTCATAGATGGCTATTTAATGCGTTTTGCCCAATTCTAGACCCAAACGTGGTTGTCTTACTAGATGTCGGAACAAAACCAGACAATCATGCAATCTACAATATGTGGAAAGCTTTCGACCAGGACTCCAATGTTGCTGGTGTAGCCGGGGAAATTACTGCCATGAAAGGAAAGGGATGGATTAATTTACTCAATCCTCTCGTTGCGTCTCAAAACTTTGAATATAAAATGTCCAACATTTTGGATAAGCCTTTGGAATCTGTTTTTGGATATATATCTGTTTTACCGGGCGCCCTATCCGCATACAGATACATTGCTTTGAAAAATCATGAGGACGGTACAGGTCCGTTACATGCCTACTTCAAAGGCGAGGATCTTTTGACAAGTCATCATGAAAGAAACAGCAAGACAAACTTTTTCGAAGCGAATATGTATTTGGCCGAAGATCGAATTTTATGCTGGGAGCTCGTTGCGAAGCGGAATGAAAATTGGGTCTTGAAGTTCGTGAAGCAAGCGACTGGAGAAACAGATGTCCCCGATACAGTTCCTGAATTCTTGCTACAAAGACGCAGATGGATGAATGGTGCATTCTTTGCTGCCCTATATTCTTTGCGCCATGCTAATAGGATCTGGCAAACAGACCACTCTTTTACAAGAAAATTTTGGTTTTGCTTCGAATTTGCTTATCAATTGCTCACATTAACATTTTCATTCTTTTCTTTGAGCAATTTCTATTTGACGTTTTATTTCTTGACTGGATCATTGATCCTGGAAGACAGTCTCGGGAATGGTGGCTTTTGGATATTTACAATATTCAATTACATTTGCATTTGCGTCTTAACGTCAATGTTCGTTGCCTCTATTGGTAATAGACCTCAAGCTTCGAAAAACATTTTTAAGGTACTCATGATTCTTTTAACCATTTGTGCTTTATATGCTTTGATAGTCGGATTATACTTTGTAATAACGACTATTCAGAAGTTCGGGACGGGCGAGACATCGTCATCCGTTTTCGTGAGCATAGTTGTTTCTTTATTGGCAACGTACGGACTTTACACTTTGACATCTATTTTATATTTGGATCCTTGGCATATGGTTACGTGCTCACTCCAATACTTTTTATTGATCCCCTCATATACGTGCACCTTGCAGATTTTTGCATTTTGCAACACGCATGATGTCTCTTGGGGCACGAAAGGGGACAGTGATCCAAGGGAGGATAAGACAAACCAGTACATTATCCAAAAGAATGATGAGGGTGAGTTTGAGGCCGTCATCCTCGACTATAACATTGATGAGGTATATCTCGAAACACTCTACAACATACGCGCCAAAAGATCAAGTCAAAAAGTGAAAAGCAACAAAAATCAGGCGAAAACTATTGACGGAGAGGACTATGCCAAAAATGTTAGGACAAAAGTTGTCTTAATATGGCTTTTGGCTAATCTTATTTTTATCATGACAATGTTGCAAGTATATGAACCGGGGGAAACATCACAGAACTACTACCTAGTGTTCATCCTTTGGTTTGTGGCTTTCTTCGCTTTCATTAGAGCAACAGGGTCTATCGCGTACCTCATTCAGAATTTGGCTCGTAGAATGGTGCAAGCTAATAGCAAATGGAGCCACAACAAAATGGGGTACTCGCATGCTGGCACCAAGTCACTAAACTAGGTAACTACTTCTGCGAAAATATATATATATATATGCACTCCTGAGTAAATATTCGAGAAACAGACGATGGGTTGATATTCTCATATCCCACTAAACAATGGTGGCATTGAATAGAACACTGAAACGCTCAGCGTCTCCAGTTCAAGATGGGAGACATAAAAGACTTAGATCAACTTCCTCTAATGTTCTTCAATCTTACTCCAGACTCCCCACCATAATTGATAGACCCCCTCCCAAAAGCCAGAGTTTGGATATTTTTGTTTGGGGAACAGGTTCAATGTGTGAACTTGGTCTTGGTCCACAAGCGAAAACGAAGGAAGTCAAACGTCCCAGACTAAACCCTTTCCTCACAAGTGAGAAATTAGGTGCTGACGGAATTGTTGACTTTTCAGTTGGAGGAATGCATGTTTTAGCATTAGATAGCAACAACGTTTTATGGTCATGGGGAACCAATGATAGCAAAGTCTTAGGTCGCGATACAACGGGAAAAGAAAACTTGAAATCCATGGACGATGCCGAGGATTCCGATGATGATGACGGAGATTTAAACTCGGCAGAGTCCACCCCGGGAAAGGTAGAAAATTTACCCAAGACGAACATTAAAATAGTTCAGGTGGCAGCAACAGATAACCTCAGCGCTGTATTGTATGAAAATGGAGAAGTTTATACATGGGGAACGTTTAGAAGCAATGAAGGATTGTTGGGGTATTCCAAAGAGGTTAACACGCAAGAGTACCCAGCCAAGGTGAACAATTTGGAAAACATTGTTCAGTTGGCCACAGGAAAAGACCATGTATTAGCCTTGGATGCCAAGGGGATTGTGTATGCTTGGGGAAATGGGCAGCAGTCTCAACTTGGCCGGAAGATACTTGAGAGACACAAGTTTACAGCTTTACAACCTCACACATTTGGCCTCTATGATATCAAATACATTGCTAGTGGAGATTTCCACTGTTTTGCAATCGATTCCAATGGTAAAGTTTTCGCTTGGGGCTTAAACCAATACGGCCAATGTGGTATTACAAACAAGCAAGGCGAACTCGAAGATGGATCAGTCATCCAGAAACCGACAATCATCCCTGCTTTGGAAGACAAAAATATTGTTGAAATTGTCGGGGGTGAGCATCATTCCTTAGCCTTGACGGGGGAAGGGGAGCTTTTTACTTGGGGAAGATACGACATGAAAGAAGTCGGCATTGCAAAAGAAAACTTGCCTGATTACACGTACAGGGATCAACATGGTCTGCCAAGGTCTGTGCCGATACCTACCCTCTTGCGTATTGCCGATGGAACGCTCAAATTTAAGGCAATTGCAGCAGGTTCTCACCACTCTTTTGCCGTCACACGTGATGGGATTGTATACGCTTGGGGGTTTGGTGACACTTATGGCCCTGGGCTTGGACTTCTTGACGGTGACGTTGAGATACCAACGCGTATATATAACACAGCAACCAAAGACATGGACATTCAAATCATTGGCGCTGGTGGTCAATTCTCTGTTAGCGGAGGTCGCAAACTCTCCGATACTCACGCCGCGGAAAGAAATGAAAAATACGAAATTTTTGACTAAGACAGGCAATACATACAATTATCAAAAACGCAATTGAGCAAACAAAATAATATGTGTAGATCATAAAAACCTAGAAAACCTTGCCCCATGATTCACTCACTCTTGTTCGCACTGGCTGAAGCCAAAAATCTCCCACAGCTTATCCAAAAATACCTTCTCCACCATATTACTAATTTAATTCTGGGCCGCCACATTATCCAACTGTATTATCCCAATCACTACTTAAAGATGAATGGTTTACATGTAAAAAAAACAAAAACAAAACAAAAGGGGATTAAGATTCAATACAACATTAGCACTACATCGTCAAGTATTCCAGGAGCGCACTAACCGACAATTCAATAAATTAACTCACAACTAGAATCAACTCAGACATACAAGCTCAGAACAATAAGATAAATATTTGGACACTCAAATAGACAGAAAAAGCAGGAAACAAGGTCCCCGCATATAGCTTTCGGGGAAATGAATACATAGACTTTTTTTGGTAGCCCTATTTGAAAGGCGGAGGAAAACATGCACTCGATATGCATAAGAACTCCATAAAACAGCTCCAAGTGTCCAATCTCGGCCCATAAAAAGCAGAATAGACGAAAGCCCAGAAGCCTGGAGAAATACTAAAAATTCCTAGAGGCATTGTATACGATTATAACACAGTTGCAACAAGAATCAGGGATCAAGAACACACAAGCATATCATACGTGAACAACAAACATTCATAATGCGCCAATCAAGTATGTGCGGCGAAATCGTAAGGAGTTGGGAAAGTATCCCAACTACCGCAGTTTGGATTCGAAACTGATACTTCTTAGAAAAGTTGCCATTGACGGTGTTATCAGAACGCTTCGTGTACGAAAATTGCGTTAGTAGCATACCGGACGCACGATACGTAGAAATGACATTCATGATTTAATCGAGTGATCGCTTAAAAAGATAGTTTGTAATAAAGATATTCATCCCCTTGAATATGGGCTTACAAGGAATTCACAGACCAAGCATATTTCGCTTAAAATTACATTCCCAAATCGCAGTCATAATCTGTTACACTTTAACACGCCACACTCTAATTTCCAATCAATTGCTGTCGTTGATGTCTTTATTGCTAGCACACTCGCTATCTATCACAAACGACCTTTGTGCCTTATAGCATCAAGTGTTTTGGCAGAACAGGAGCTTGAAATGTGGCNTAACTCATGTTCATATACTAAATAACATGGCAGAACAAGATAAATGTATCC